ATGTCTGTTGATATGGTGATCGCGATAAACATTCAGACATGGAGCCCTCCGCCTCTCATTTTTCTTAAATTTTAATAAATCAGGTCACATGTAAGAAGTGTTCATAAACCTTAAATGTTCAAGAATAGTATGCTAATTCCATTTACTTGTAACTGATTAGTCCTCAAATGTACCTCACTTGTGATAACAAATAAGATGTTTTTATGTAACGTTACCATTTATATATTAAAAGAATATTAATGTTTATTGTGTAAGAAAATAATATAACACAAATATAAATATAATATATAACAATGGATAAAAATCACCATCCGGAAGAAATTCTGGAGAGAATAGGTGGATGTGGAAGATTCCAAGTGTTTCTTTCAGTGATGTCTCATTTGATGAAATTGCCAACTGTGTTAACAATGTACCTAATGGTGATCTCTATAGCAACGCCCGAATGGCGATGTATGGATGACAACGGACCTAGTCACGTGACTGCAGCTTTTAATACAACTTTTCTACATGTTAATTCAACTTACGCAAATTCTTCTGATATAGACTATTTTGGTACAGCAAATCACTCAAAACCGTACAACAATATAAAAGCATGTGAAAACAGAAATGGTACCCGGTGTAACAATATAGTTTACAGTGATGAAATGAAAACGATAGTGTCTGAGGTAGGTGGTCCACGACAATGAAAGAGAGCTTGTATTCTATGTGTTTATGTCAAGGTTTAGTTTAACATGTTGTATGATATATATTGTATGTTTTTTAAAAGGTAAAGCTGCTTGTTTCAAACGGAAAGAAAGCAAAGGATAGTTGCGTATAGACTAAAGCAACCTTAACTACAGTGACTATAGCAGAGTTATTAAGTGAGCAAACTCTATAATGTTATCAGTTAAATACTTTAATACAATTTGTAAATGTGTGCAGTCGAATTGTATTATATTCTTTATACAGTGAGTCACTATAAAAAAAAACATAATCTCCTTAATTCACAGGACTTGAACAAATCCAAATATATAGCAGGGCTATACAACTAAATACTTCATAGAGTATCATAGGTTAATAGAAAAAATACAATGACAGATACAATGTCATGTTGATGAAACTTTCCTTGTCTAAATACAAAACTACCGATAAACATAAACTTGGTTGCTTCAATATTTTCAACAACAAAAATGTAGGTTTGTATCAAATACTGCAAACATATTTTGTATTATCTGGTGTCGTTTTTTCTATTATAACCATAACTCAGTGTATTCCAACCTTTATCGCTATTGGTTCGAATCTTTCATGTAAGAAAATTGTAAAATTTGCTGGTCTTTGTTGTTGGATTGTGGGGGTTGCGTTCATTGAACGCCGCCTTTCCTTGTTGATCTTGTTAATCATATTTTTTGCCTGCAGAAGGTAGGTGTTTTTACCCGGATGCCTACTAATGCCTGATAAAAATGCCCGGGTGTGGTACCTTGGGTGCTTATCTACCACAGCAGGAACGACATACAGCCTTTAAAGTTCCAATGTGATTTTACACCTAACAGAATGATATTGCTAATTCTATATGTCCTAAACTATTTCTTCTCTTGTTTTTCTCCAGTGGTCAATGTCATGTACCTTACCGTGGGTTCCTTCAACAATTGCCTCAATTCAAATGCTTGCAATATTATTTGGAAACCTGGCTTGCGGCCAAATAGCGGATAGCTTTGGTCGAAAGATGCCTTTATTTTCATCACAGCTGTTACTTATTGCTGCTAACTTAATTGGGTATTTTTCTACATCTTGGCTGATGTTTGGTGTTGCACGAGCAATATGTGGTATGTTCGTCCTGCATTTCTAATTGATATTTTTAGTCATTATTGTCATCGTATATCTATTCATTTACATTTAAATTTCCAAGTTTGAAATAATCATTGATAATACAAAAAGGTTATTATTTATTAATGCATACGAATAGAAATAAAACTGTAAAACTTACCATTTAAATACAGTTAAAACATAAAGTCGCATACTTTATTTTTGACGGTTTACTCAAGGTTTATTTATTTAATTTAGTTACAGTTAAGTAACAGTATAGTAACATTTAAGTTACAGGTCGGTTATAGTTACATTACAGTTATGGTAAAGGGAGAATTAAGTTAAGTTGTTTATCTTTAAGTCTTTTAAAGGTACAGTTAAGTTATAGTTAAATTACAGTTAGATTACAATTAAGTTATATAAATAGATCAGTATGTAGATCAACCAGTCACTTATATTTTTATAATCAGGTATCGGAATGGGAATGTTTTTGACCGTTCAGTACAGTCTGTCCACTGAGGTCAGTGTATCCAGTTGGAGACCATGGATCGTGGCATTTCCAACATGGGCATTAATGGCGTGTGGACTAGCATTAGTGAGCTATCTGATGCCAGACTGGAGAAAACTTCATCTGCTCACAACTATAGTAACAATTCCATATCTTCTCCTGTGGTGGTAAGAAAAAGAACAATGTGTATAAATAATTTCATGTTTTGATGACCAAAGGTTAATTATAATGAGAGATAAGGCACAGGAAACAAGATTTGTTATTGAAGCTTGATTAAGTATAGGTTAGTGTTCGAGAACGTATTTAATGGAATTAACTTAGTCGTTGACAATAAGATATAGAGGATATTTGTTTGTTTGTGTGTAAGATGAAATTTTATTTCATCGAGTGGGCTTTAAAAACAGTATTCTCACGAGTGGCGTAGCCACGAGTGAGAATACTGTTTTTAAAGTTCACGAGATGAAATAAAATTACATCTTACACAACAAACAGACAAATTTTCTTTTTATTTTATGCTTTAAAACAAGTTAAAACGAAATTTCCATAATTTTAACGTTGATATTAAAATCTGTTTCCCCCGTTGAGAGCCCCATTTAGAGGGAATTTCTCATTAAAAACAAGAAGTCTTGAGCTGAAAAATAAGTCCGCCAATGAAAGTTAAATGAATGTGATATTTATTCATCTTATTAAAAAAATATGAATGATCGCTTGTTTTAATAATAAAAACAAACAATTCTTGTAGGAGAAATCATCCAACCATCCATCCATATTTCTGTTACTTACTGCGAATTTATATTAGACCTGGCTTTGTAAAATGTAAACGGCAGCCATTTTTTAAAGTCGTGTATTTCATGGGAGGAAAATAATTGTGTAAGATACAGAAGGATATAATTTGGATTTGTTAGTCATACACCTTTTTAAAAGAAAGAAAACTTATTTGAGGATTGTAACAGACAAAAAATAAGTGTTGACAGAAGTGAAAACATTCAGAAAAGGAGCTAGGAAAATGGAAAACTTGGAAGCTTGCTAAGGCATTGTAAGGAACGCTGGGTTGATTTACTTATTTTACGAGTGATAGCTGTCAATGCTTTTCAATTTTTCATAAAGCATACGGCAGTTATTGCTCGTAGGATACTTTAATATGCCCAAATGTCATCAAGAGCAGTTTTGCATGGGGAAGGAATGTATTTTTCAGACTGTAAAAACGAAACAAAAAAAATTTAGAGACGAAATTTTGTGATTGGAATTTGAAGGAATAGAAGTAAGTTTTCTCTCTTTTAATTCTTTTGACATTTATGTTATTTATCTATTTCAGCTTTGCTATTTTTTTAACAGCCTGATATTGTCAGAATTGTCAGTAAAAATAAAATTGAGGTACCACATGGGGAAAATCTTAAAAAAGTAGTTTCGTCATTGAAAAAAGTGAAATTATATTTTGATAATTTTCACTGTGAAATTATCAAATATAATTTTCACGGATAAATCAGTAATCCACTGAAAACTAAAATAAAACTGATAACAAAAGTTTAAACGGATTAAATTAGCTAAATTTAAAAACTTAAATAATGAACGATTGATTGGAAAAAATCACCCCGCCCATTTTTAATTGTTTTTCCCAATATTAAAATCTAAAAATAAACCGTTTTAATTTAATTTTGACCTTTTAAATAACTTTTCGATCCTTTTAACATTTTCCGAGACAGGAGTAACTCTTTAAAAAATGAAAATCCAAAACCAGTCTTTTGAAAAAAAAATTTTGCGTTCGTTTCAAACAAGAGGAGATCTCATCAGATTAATCAAAGTTCCTTACTATTTCCAGTTGTTTTAAATAATGCTCGCAGATCTGTCTTACCCGAAAGTCGCCTTATGACGTCATCAACAATGAAGAAAAATGACTTGTTTATAATCTGACAATAGTTCTAAGAATGCTTATGTAGATTAATTGTATATAGTCATTGTGTCTGTGTTGCAGGTATTTTCCTGAGAGTTTCCGGTGGCACCTGTCACATGACAGAACTCATGTAGCTAAAGATATCATACAACGTATAGCAAAGTTCAATAAAAAGTCAGTAAATGATGAAACAATTCTTGAACTTCTTAACACGACAGTGCTTGATGAAAAATCTGGGGACAGAAAGAAATATTCACTTTGGAATTTGTTCAATACCCGGAGATTAGCAAAGATAACGGTACTGTCGATGACTAACTGGTAAGATAAACATTCTATTGTACGTGTACAAGAATAACATGTTGGGAAACATTCTATTGTACGTGTACAAGTATAAAAAAAGTTCTAAAACATTGTATTGTACGTGTACAAGTAACAAGAATAGAATAATAGAAAACATTATTATGCACATGCACAAGAATAAAAAAAAACGGGAAACATTTTATTTTACGTGTTCAAGATTTTAAAGTTGGGAAATATTCTATTGTACGTGTACAATTGTTTAAAGTTGGGAAACATTCTACTTTAAGTGTACAAGTTTTAAAAGTTGGGAAACATTCTACTTTACGTGTACAATTTTTTTAAGTTGGGAAGCATTCTATTGTACTTGTACAAGATGTTAAATAGTGTATACGCGGAGCATTTTTAAACGTTTAACATATTTTTTACATTTTATCATTAACACGGAATGATTAACTAATTAAGTTTCATTCAAATCATTTAAATTTGTTGAATATTAAAATGCTTTTGCCAGAAATTCATTTAAAATGTTTATATCTGTAAAGTACATATATATGTATATCCTACATGATTTTCTTTACAAAGTTGTATTATATAACAATCTGTTTATTCTTTAGCATAATTAATGCTACTCAACGTAAAGCTCAATGTACATGTTTTTAGTAAGAATGAATTCCTCTTTTATTGTTTATAATGTTCTACAGTTCGTGTTGTCTTATAAATAAAGTGATAACTATTTCTATATCAATGTTTACATTCTCCATACATGTAGGCTGGCTCTGGGACTATTATCATACGGAATTCAGTACGGGATAAAGGCTTTATCTGGCAACTTCTTTTTCAACTTGTTTTTATTTAATATCATTAGCGTTCCAACAACCTTTATAGCTATCATACTCAGTAATAAGTAAGTGTTTAAACATTTTAAAATATTTATATATATACGAGGCCCTCGTACCAATTTGACAAATTTATTCATACAAAAATAGTTACTTTAGTGCTCAAAGTTGATGGGTCTACAATGGGTACATTTTCATAAGTATTTCATAATAGAAATGTATCATATAAATATTCTTATAAAATGTTACTTAAAAATAGTTGATAAAGCTCTAAATAATTAAGTATGAACCTGTTAATATAGAAAAATGATTCCCTTTAAAAAATTTTTATTATTGCTTTTAAAATTTTTATTGGGTAGTACCACCCCTGCCAACATCATTTTAAAGGATTCCCCAAAAGGGCAAAAACAAAAACATAGATTTTTTTTTGCCATAAATCAGGGGGAATTTTCAAACGATAATTTTTTTACAGTTTTTGTATTTTTAACCATGATTATGTTATTTAAAGCATTTTTTTCAGAAAATTTCTTAAAAAATTTTGTTTTCGATTTTAAAAAACATTTTTTCAGAATTGAAAAGGGGAAAAAAAACAGCCGTTTTTACGTATTATGCAACTTTGAGTTTTTTCGTGGGAAAAGTACAATATAGGACTTATGCTCAATGTGTCATTGTTTAAGGGAAACTTAACGTGCGGTTATAAAATTTTTTTTAAAGATTATAGGAAACAATGTTATTTAGCTATATAATATTCAACTAGTAATCAAAATAATCGATGTTTTTTTATATTTCTAAAACTTAAGAATTTTTTAAGAGGTTTAACCCCACTCAAAGATAGCCATTACAATTTTAAAATAAAATTTATTGTACGTGTGATGTATACACTTAAAATTAAATGAGTTCTCATAACTATGGTGTGCGGTAGAGAAAAACAATTTTTAGATATTTTCATCACCAATTATTTATAAATGTTTATATATGGACACAGTATATTAATATGAAACATTTCTGCACATTCACTCATGATCTGCTTAATATCCCAAATGAACTCATCAATACATGTTCATTATCAACTTAGGGGATATCAAGATGGAATTTAAAGGTTGAAGACTTGAAATGTTAGTAGTTTTACAAAGGAAATCAAGTAACTTTAAAACTATAGAAATTTTCTTGAACTTTGCATGATTTAAGATAATCAACATTAAGTTGGGAAAGCCAACAGTATCAAACCTGGACGGTCTGTACATCGCCTGTCTCTATACTGGTGGCAAAGTCTGATATAACCACATTCTATAACAGCAGGGTTATAAATAACACGTGACGTGACTTAAATATTTTAGAGACGGACATGAGGGATTCGTTGACAAATGGGTTTGCCTTGTTTGCTAATCTTGGAATAGGTGTAGCCTGGGGTCCTGTACAACTTATGTCTCTAGAATTATACCCCACTGTTGTCAGGTAATGTAAAACAACAAATGTTTAATTTAAATATTTCAAATGAATCTTTCAATAAAATACAGACCGAGATCATTATAGACACCAGACCGCTATTTTTAACTAGTTGTAATGAAATGTTTGCATTAATTAAATTACAATGTATTGCATTACTTGTGTCACAAATTTTTGTTTAAGAAAGTAAACATTTTCAGTTTCTCAGTTTCTTAGTGGCATTTTTAAAAAAAGTATTTTTCCAATTTATTCCTATCAATTAACTAACAAAATGTATCTGTTGATTAGATTAGTGTTGTTGTATTTTAAATTATCTATTGTGATACAGTTATTATTACAAATTCATTTATATAACTTTATGTATAAAAATAGTTATTCTATTGCTTGTTTTAACGTGAATAAAAACAATCATATCTATTTATAAATGAATACTGAATATTTAAAATTGATCATATTACAGAAGTATCGGTTATGGATTCCTGAACACCTTTGCAAGAATAGGAGCAGTAATCGGACCACAACTTGCCTATCTGGTATTTATTTTCACCATATACATGTATAAAGGATACTGTTTGGCAATATGGCCGTGTATCAATATAATTTTCACCTGTGACTCTGGGCTATGTAAGATTGCGTCTATTTAAAACCTGTAAATATTTACAACTATAATAAACACCGTGACTGTAAGTGCTCTGCTATATGAGCTTTGTATTGCTTTGTTACCTTTTATAAGTGTATACATGTACCTCATGCAAGCAACACCTATGGACTGCAATGGAAATGATGATGTACCCTTTTTGGGTTATCATTGCTGTTGGTGTGGTAATCACTGATTTTAGTGTTGTTATCACTGATGTTGGTGTTCTTATCACTGGTGTTGCTATGGTTATCACTGATGTTGCTATGGTTATCACTAGACAGCTGGTGTGGTTATCACTGTTGCTTGTACGCATTTTTTGTATGGTCATTGAGCCAAAATCTTACCTTTTTTATTAGTCGCCGGTAGAAACCGACTTGATGTTTTAGTATCAAAACCTCTACTTATGTTATATATGTTATAATTTACGATTCAGGATACACGTATACCTGGAGTGATGTATTTCGTCTGCTGCGGTGTGTGTGTTTGTTGTATTATAGCATCTTTACTTCTGCCAGAATCACGAGGAGCAGATCTTGATGATAAAATTACACATAAAAAGTAAATTAACTGTTTGGTTTTAAATATGCTGCTAGGAAGGACGTTTCACTATCAACGCCATGATCTGGATTTGCATTGATTACGTTACATTATATGAAATATTTTTGTGACAATGTTATTTAATAGAACAGAAATTTCATTATATATACACTATAGAACTATAAAACTGCTTAAGATAAATTTTATTATTTCAAATTTAACAAAACAAAATAAAAGTCTGCGAGGCTATAGTTATATTCGTACTTGCTGTCGAATTGTACAAGCAACTATACGATTTCAGAATATTGTACATAATGCAAGATAAAATAAACATTAACCAGATATACATATATAGTTAACTTATTTGTATATGTCCAATAGATAAAAACGGGTCGTACTATGGGAACGTACCTTGCGTACAGGCGGTCGGCGTCCATTTTTCTTTGGAGCATGTCTTCTTCACCTTTGGAGGGATTTTAATGAAACTTCAAAGAAATGTCCACCATTATAAGAAGCCGTATCGCGCATAAAGAACAAGTCTCTAGGTCAAGGTCACTCTTAGAGGTCATCTAAAAATGCTTGTCCCGGGCAAAACTTCTACATGCTTAGAATGATGACTATTAACTTGGCACAAATGTTCACTATCGCGAGGCGGAGTGTCGCACGCTTATTTCAGGTCCTTTCGACCCAAGTCAAGGTCACACATAGAGTTCAAAATTCAGATACGCAATATGAAGATGTATATAGGGGCCATTTAGTTATCATTTATTGATGGATTGTTACAAAAAATTATTATGACTGTTTCTGTGTCACATATCTAATTTAGGTCAATATATGCAAGGTCAAGGTCACTTAAGATGAAATATCCAGACCTTATCTCCAACGCCTATGGAGGGATTTTATTGAAACTTCAAGGCAATTTTCACCACTAACATAAGCCGTGTCACGCTTATGAACTTGATTTTTTCTAAAGCATATCTCCAACATGCATGGAAGAATTTTTATAATAATTCATAGAATATTCACCATCATGAAAAGAATTGCTCCGTGCTTTAACTAGGTCTTTAAGTCAAAGGTCAAGGTCACACTTAGAGCTTATGAAAAAATGCTTGTCCTGAGTAAAACTTCTACATCCAGTAGGGGATTTTACACTTAGCACAAATGTTCACCATTATGAGGTGGGGTGTTTTACGCAACATATGGTATCTACAACTAAAGTCAAGGTCACACATAGAGTTCAAATTTAAGAGAAAAATGTGAAGATGTGTATAGGGACCATTTATTTATTATTAATTAATGGACTTTCATACAAATGATAACTATCATGACTATACATTTAGGTCTAACAAGTGTAATTTAGATTAATAGTTGTAAAACCAAGGCCACAAGGGACGATTTAATATCCATAGAGTGTCCAGTGTGTATCTCCTACATGCATGGAGGAATTTTAATGTAACTTTTTATAGAATTGTTCACCACAATAGACGTAGTGTCCTGTGCATGAACCAGGTCTCTATGTGAAATTAGATCTCTTTGAAAAACGCATGTCTGGAGCAAAACCTCTACACTCATTGGGGAATTTTAACATAACTTGATACAATTTTCATCATTGTGTCGTACATAAAATTCAGGTCCCTGCAACCAAGGTCAAGGTAACACATAGAGGTACCATTTCAGACGAAAATATTAATAGGAACCAACTTGCCCGTCATACTTCTTATTGCCTACATATTAACCTAAAGTTTTTGTGACGGGTGTATTTTGTGACAATGTCAGCCTTGTTTCTATACGTTTTGTTCAACAAGGTTAAACAAGACTTTTTTCTTCTTTTGTCTCCAATATTATGAAGAAATAAAATCCCTGACGTCACAAAAGCAAACATCTTTTTCTTTTATGACCAGATGAATACGTACAATGCTGGTTTGAATTTAATTTATCATTGCCCTTTCTTAACCATACTCGTAGACTTCTATTTATAGACAATTTTAAGAGAAATTGATAACGAACATTGCAGACAATGATCAGACTGCACTGGCGAGATTTTTGTCACCAGCAGGATAAGTTTTTATCAAGTCGAGCTAACGCCTCAGTTAACTATGGTGGCTGATTTGTGCCATTCGTGTTTTGCCCCGCGACCCCGCCAAGCGAAAAGTCGAAAATTAACAAGTTAAAATGGCGGGGGCGCGGGGTGAAGTTTAAAAAATAAAACTTCGCCCCGCGGGGCCGCAGAGCGAGATTTAAGAAATAAAACGGCGGGGTCGCGGGACGAAAACGCGCTAATTAGAGGGGTCGCGGGGCGAAGTTTAATAAATAAAACTTTTATTTATTAAGTTTCGTCCGCGCACTCGCTAATTAGCGTGTTTTCGCTGTGCGTCCCGCCTTTTTAACTTGTTAATTTTCGACTTTTCGGTTGTCGGGGTCGCGGGGTGAAAACACGAATGGCACAAACCAGCCACCATAGTTAACAGTATTTTCCTCGGGATGTACTGTTACCCACAAACCCATGTATTATTTATATAATGTATATCCGTATCAGTACCTGTAACTGATACAAATCATTCTGATTGGTGACTGTTTTCTTTTAAACATTTTGTGCATCAACAACCCTGGTTGTAAACTGTTCGCATGATATGCCTTTACTGTGGAAGAAGTAAACATTATGAGGACTAATATCAATTTTAACTTTTTTTAAAAGTGATTTGCATTGTTCTTTTATATAAAAGCAACGTCATGACTATGATAATTAGGCATTGTGTATCTATTAAGAAAAGGTCTATGCAATTGCATAAGACACTACGTTTCGTAAAATTGTCTGTTTATCTGTCCGGAGTAACACAGTTTTTTCACAACAATTTCTTTCTCACTATCAGTACTTCCCAGACATGTATATTTATACATATGAGCCGTCTCATGACAAAACCAACATAGTGCGTTTGCGACCAGCATGGATCCAGACCAGCCTGCGCATCCGCGCAGTCTGATCAGGATCCATGCTGTCCGCTTACAAACCCTATCACAAGTAGAGAAACTGATAGCGAACAGCATGGATCCTGATCAGACTGCGTGGATGCGCAGGCTGGTCTGGATCCATGCTGGTCGCAAAGCCATTATGTTGGTTTTGTCGTGACGCGGCTCATATATATTCGTTTGCATGTGTTTTACAATTATATTTTTCCGGGCTTGAATTTGGAGCCGGTATTGCAGTGACGGATACAGGAAAATAATACTAAAACGTTACAATGTTGCAAGTACATGTATCTGCGATCCCGGTGCCTGCAAGAGCTCGGAAAAATATACATTCAACAAATTTTATCGATTCTCTTTTTTATAAGCATGTTAGAATAGAACCAGTTATTACTTATTTCGTGCGTGATGATGTTATAAAGAACGGTTTATCATTCAAATGTTTTTGTTATATCGACATTCGTGATTATATTCCTGTGCATTTGAACTGGAACCGTGAATTATTCTACAACAATACACTTAACAATTGATATTTATTATATTCAATAGGTTTCCAATATTGAATAGCACCGTCTGTTTAAAATTATATTGATCACAAAAACTGAAGTATGTTGAAATCAGTTCAATCAGTATGTTTAAAATAAAACTTTAACGAATACTTCCTCCTTTGTCATTGAACCATTAAAGGAAAACTTTGATTTTGTCTACGATGTAAATGTTGGCTCTTTCAGTCGTTTAAAACCCGTCAGTTATGTCTTTTATTTTCTTAACTGTAATGCTCGCTGGTATAACTATGTGCGTGATGGTAGCATATGGTATGTACTGTTTATTTATTTTGTTTCGTGTATATAATACATTAGGATTTGTAACTATATTATAAGTAAGGCCTGTTTGTAAAGATGCAATATGTAGATTTATATGACCGGAAGAACTTTGTGAATGACAGTGCCACGATCTTTATTCATGTGTTAACTGTTATAACTGGCAAGGGACAAACATATAAACTTTCATAGCTTTCTGCCTCATTCCTAAATACATTGTGTAAATATTGTTCATAATATCATATCATGCTAAATATTATGCTAAATTTGAATATGTGGAATAAATATGTTTAAACCAAAGTTATATGACCAAGATATACATTTAACGACAGGTATACAATTGCTAACTATAGGTTGTCTTTACAAATAAGAAAATGATTAATATCAAAATCACAAAAATACGTAAAGAACAAGAAAATGCTTGTCAAACGTTTCAGATTCATAGATGATAAAAATTATTCTAAGTTATTGAAAACTTGACTAACGTAATACAGGTCTAGTTACTTAATAGTCACGAGAGTTTAAACAATGTATTGACGATTATGATAAAAAATTATGCCATGTTTTATATTTGAGCCGCGTCACGACAAAACCAACAGAGTGGGTTTGCGACCAGTATGGATCCAGACCAGCCTGCACCTCCGCGCAGTCTGATCAGGATCCATGTTGTTCGCTTGCCAACCATATTACAAGTAAAGAAACTGATAGCGAACAGCATGGATCCTGATCAGACTGCGCGGATGTGAAGGCTGGTCAGAATCCATGCTGGTCGCAAACGCATTACGTTGGATTTGTCATGACGCGGCTCATTTGTGTGTTTAAAAGGGAAACTTTGTAAATAATGATATTTTTTATTCTGCAATAAAGTTGATTGTTACGTTGAACCAACGGAATGTTTCCAACCAAAAGTCTACCATTTTATAACAGAGAAGGAATCAAGAATGTTCATCAAGGTACACAGAGGTCGTCGATCTGTTGATTGTACTGGACATATAGGTGTCACAGTAAATTGTTACAACGAAAACAGCTGTGAATGTAATAAGGCAGCATGCTCTGTAAGTGGCGACATCAATATAACATGTTCTGTGTTCTAAGAAAGACATAGATAAATAACATTGAAAGAATGTAAGTTTAATACTGAATTTATTGAACAAGTTGAATAATGAATTTATTGAACAAGTTGAATAAAATTATATTTTGCGAGCCACTGGCAAGCATGATATTATTCGACTATTAAACGAGTTAAATAATTTCAGTAATGAACTCAAACGAATTCACTATTTTATTTATCACATACAAAAATATAGACCGTTTTAAGTGAAAAAGAAACATTTTTCACTGACGCGCATTTAGTGTAACGCTAATATTTAGCGAGTTTTTACGCTATGTTTATATCACGCAAATGACGTCACGTCAAATTATATGCACGGCCGTGCAATACCATTTATACGGAGTGGCAAAAAAAGGGCACGGTTATATGATAAAAGTGCATTGATTTCGTATAATAACATAATTATTTATAGTACTATAGACTTTCCATTAATCTCTTGAAATACTGGTTTTGACAAAAAAAATAAATAAAATCTTGTTTAAAAAATCTCAGATTTTCATTTTGAAAAGGAAATCAATTGATTTATTCTCCTTGCTGATTTTAAATACAGAAATAAACGAAAAATAGCATTAAATTGTACATTAGATTCGGCACTTGCACAATTCACTATTTATTATTTATTCTTTAATTTTAGTGTACCATTGACATTAACTACACAAAATATTACTTTAAAATATCGTAAACATTCATTTATATTGATTTAATTTTTATGATCATAAAATTCAGCCGTTTGTCTGATGTTAAAAAAAATCTTGTGTACCTGTGTAACGAATTTCAGTGATCAAAATTCACAGTAGTGGTTTGACTCAGAACTGCGTTGTTACATAGTCACTAGCCTCTTGTCAAGCCGGTTTTCACTCTTTTCCCGATCCTATAGATGATGAGTGATATGCTGTAACCATAGATGTGTTGTTTTATTTAAATTATAGCAAGAATCAGATCGTGAATACTATTGTCATTCCCGCCAAACACCATGTAGTTCAACACAAATATGCTATCTCAAAACACCTTGTCCTGTTCACTGGGAAACGGAATGTGGGTGTAAGTTACTCTTTCATATTATGTACGAGTATATGTTAGTGTTCATCAGTGCTGTTCTACAGGCATAAGAAACCTCGACGGGAGCGATAGCGACAGGAGAATGTTTCTAATTTCTGTAGAACAGCTAAGGATGAATACTAACATATTTAGTGTCAAACTTTATTCGGCCTCATAATCATTCACTTTATAACGTCACTATGTCGTTCAATGAAGTACTATGAAAAATAGAAGTCGACTATGAACAAAATTCGATATAGTATCGACTCCTGTTCTTCTATGATAATTAACTCATAGGATTTTTTTTAAAAATACAGCGTTTTCATTGGATTACAAATAAAGTTGGACACTAAATTAAATTGTCTACTGTAAAATTCTAGATTATTCTGTTTAATAGATAGATATTATAAGAATCTTACACCGGCTGGTCTGTACCGGCAGCCGGTGTAAGATTCTTATATTCTAGCACGGGTGAAAACGGTAATCCTGTCTGAGATGCAAGAAAAATTTAAATTTACAATTATTATAAAACACATTTTAATCGTATATAAGCACCTAACATTTTTTCTTTCTTTTCTTAATAATTATTGACTTACTCTTGGGTAGAAATATCTAAAATTCTTCAGAAGCTTTTAAATGTCTCTGTTATATCACGTGACTACCATCACCGCTGTAGATAGCTTCTTGTTTTATTCTATTTTAGATAATGCATGTCTGAGCAACCCATGTAAGAACGATGCCACGTGTACTGATGTTGGAATCTTGTCGTATGCATGCAAGTGTAGATCCGGTTATGGTGGAAAGAATTGCGATATTGGTAAACGATGTACCTTCTGAAACACATTCCTGTCTATTCTTTGAATCTTGACATATAAACGTATGAAATTATAAGCAAAAGATTAGAGACCGTAAGTCTGTCGGTCACGTGGCAACTGAATCAAACTATGCAATAATAGAGCAGATCAAGGTCATCCGCCACATTCATGTAGTCTGCGCTGTTTGTTATTCAGCCAGTACTTCAGTTTTTAAGTATCCCAAAATGATGAATTATGTTGTTCAGAACGAAAAAAAAGATAATTCTACTTTAGATATTTACTGTGATGTGGCGTAAACATAGTATTCATGTGCAGTAAGGGTTATTCTATTTTCAGAGTGTGGTTTATTAGATTAAACTTGAAGTTATACCCTGAGAAACAAATTGTTTTTAAAATAAATATTAAAGCCACTATTAAATTACTTTGATAGTGGAAAAATATGTTTCCTTACATAACACACAATTATGTAGTATTTTCTTTTGGACATAAAGATATTTAAGATTTTCGTATGTTATTATATTTCGATTTTATTTTGTTATTCAGGACATGCTGAACTTTAAACGTTTTCATTCTGACGGTTTGAAATTTGTGAAGTTGGCAGCCTAGCTTCCTAAAGAAAACTAAGAATACATATAAAAAAATAAAGATCATGATATTGAATAAAAGCTTGGAATGATCTAAGAAAGTGTCCATAATACATTCCCGACCGTTTTCATGTTTGTAGTATTCTTAGTTTTCTTTAGGCTGCTAGGCTGCCAACTCCATACTGCTGGGCTGCCATCTTCACGAACATATTAATATTGTATATTTCAGACACGTATGTAGATGTTGTGTTCTTAATTGATACTTCCGAAAGTCAAAGTGAAGCTACTCTGTTTAAACAGAGACAGTACGTAAAGAATTTCATATCAAGCCTATCAATAGGACCAAATGATTTTCAAATTGCAATAGTAACATGTTCTTTACATGCGAGCGTTGAGGTATATTTGAACAGCAATTCAACTGTAGCGGAAATGACAACAATATTAGACAGTATCCAATCTGACAACGGACCAAGTTTTATAGGTGAATGTTTTATGTTTTTAAGGACGGAAATATTCACTTCTGAAAAAGATGCTAGATATTATGCACGTAAATTTGTCATTGTTTTAAGTGATGGTTTGTCAAGCAACCCGACTGACACTGTTCTACAGGCGGGCCTATTGAAGCAAACGGGGATCGACATCTTTGCCGTTGCTACGGGAGACCAAATCAATCATAAAGAACTGTCTGATGTAGCGACACATTGGGATAAAGTGTTCTCCGTGATGACCGATGATGTCATGCATACAATCTTTAAAACACCAATTACAGTTAATACCGCAAGTGAGTCTTATTTTGATTGTTTGTTTGTTGTTATTGCTGTTGTTGTGGCTGTGTGTGTGTGCGTGCGTTGGTGCGTGCATGCGTACGTGCATGCGTGCGTGTGTGTGTTTTTTTTGAAAATGTCCTAAAATTTTTAGAAAGTGAAACGATTTAAGAAATAATTTACGTGTTACATGAGTTAAATGACTGATTTTGGAGTATTTGCCACCATATTAATCTGCGTGTCTAACGCAGTAAGGGTATTTTGCATATTCCGATTTATTTTTGATATTTTACGTAAATTTTCAGTGCCGTTTGCAATGTATAAATTACTTTTTTGTTTACTTGACATTTTACTTTTTCACATTTCCAAAGTTTTCATGAGATTAAGCATGAATCTGGAGGCATGCTTCTTAAAGTCAAATATTCTTGCAGCTGCTTTGAAAGGAAACTATATATGTCTTATTGCTTAAGCACTATCTACGAGCAATGCCAGATGGTTTTGACGAGGAGACTTTTGAGACTGTCCTTAGTTCTCATATTCCATTCATCTCATGTTTTATTTCAGATTGTGATCACCGTTATAGTGATTTATCTATAATGTTTGACCGTTCAATGGATATATCACCGGTTACATTTTATGAGCAAATATCTGCTGTTGGAGATCTTCTCAAGACCATTTCACTCGGGTCAGACAATGTTCATGTCAGTTTATACCAATATTCTAACGATGTTGACGTCGTTTTCAACCTTGACGAATATTTCTTATCTGGAGATATGGTCATAAAACTAAATGGAATAGCGCAGTCATCCGAAAACGGAAATACCACAAACGCGCTTAAATTCCTGCAACATGCTTTCGTTGTTGCAAATGGAGCCAGAACAAACGTGAGAAAAATAGCCTTACTAGTAACAAGCGGACACTTTGAAAAAGATATAATTGACGATTTGATGTCTGAAGCAAAAACTTTAAAAGACATGGACGTTATATTGGGAATAGTTTCAGTTGGCATGAACGCTAACATTTCTGCATTATCTAACATAGCCTCAGATCCGGCCGTAGTTTATGTTATAGGGAAAGAGTTGGACATAGATTACAGTGTTCTTTACACTTTAAATACATTACTAGAATATGACGTTTGTGAAATAAACTAAAAATAAATTCACATAGAATATTTATGAGAAATGCGACGGGTATTAATGGCATTTTCGTCAGGAGACTTCGATTAATAGATTTTTTATTTAAATACAAATGACTTGAGTCTCGAGAACATGGCGAATGAATCTATTCAATTTTTGACATTACAATTAGAAACATCTTCAATTCTAACATTTTTTCACTATTAGTTGGCTGGTTGGTTGATTTGGTATGTAATAAATATACATGGACAATTAAAACAACATGTTTCTATCTGAACTTATCAAACTATTATCATTATTAGTCTTATTTTGCTTTTCTTTAAATAATTGATATATCTTATATTTATCTATTCATTTTCGATGCAAGTTGTAACACATCAGCCTTCTAAGTCAACAAACGACAATTTATTTCGCCTTATTTAGCACATATATTTATTGTACATTGGGAAAAGACTTCAATAAGCATTAGGTTGCTTCCAGTCTAATCCTTTTCTTGTTTTGATTATAAATATAATGTATGTAAATATGCTTATGTGAGAAAGAATAAAATATGTTTAAACCAAAACAACATGTATGGTACAAATATTTAACACATACGTGTGAATAAATGTATTTATTTACGGTGCATACACCGTGTCTTTCCATATATGGTAATTCCTCGTGTTTTTAATGGTTATAGTTTTGGCGGTAATTATGCACGATTTTACGTGTAAGTTGATAAAATATAGTCATTCGAGGCATTACGTTCACGCCGTCCATTTGTGAAATTTCTTTAAATATAATTTTCATATATTACGAAATATCATGGATAAATTTATGGATTTAACATCGCCTTATACAGATTTTTGATATCTTGTTTTATCTATTTCAGATTCTTCGTCTTTGTTTTAACATGGATGTAAAAAATTTAAAAAAAAATGAAGGAAAGGGAAGATATCAATGCTATGTTTTGATTTAATCTGAAAGTAATGCATTTCATATAATTAATGGTTTTTTATTAGACTCAAAATTGGGGATATGTCAGATAGGCGATTGAAGCAGCCGCTGATCTAGAGCTTTGGAGCTTCCTACCTCCCCCTCCCAAGACGGAGTAGGGTTGGGTAGCCCGCTCGCAGCATTTCTGACTTTGGCTTTTTCCACTTATTTTATATTTGATACTACCTGCGATTGATTAAAAATAGTATTTCTTAGAAATCGAAGTTCATTAGGTTTGGTTGGTTGGCTCGGAGAGCAGAGCACGAAAATTTTAGAACTACACTTGCAGTTTTCCTTCAAGTATTGATCAATGGAGTTGTTTCTTTTGTTTCCTGTAAATTTTTTGTTAAATAAACGGGACGGCTTAACGGCATGCCCTCTAACCTCGTTTTATGTTATGTTTTTCTTTAAAGCTGCATGCTTGAATGTAGGTGTATGTTGGAGGATAATAAATAATTTATGCTCGTTTGAGAGCATCGAATAAGAGCATAAATAAGCCATCAGGACATCGGCACCAAGGATACCACAAAAAAAGAGAGACTATTATTTCCAGTGTGGCCAACTGTGTTGTTGGCATGACATAGAGAGCCTTAATTCAGTGCAAATAAATACTTTCAATTAAATATTATCAGTTCGATTTCAATTATTTTTACATATTTTGACTAGACTTACAGCACATAATATCACACAATTCAAGTTAAAACAGGATAAACATACTTTAAGAAACAAATGATAAAATTACTGATATAGAACAAAAGTGGTGATTGAGACTGAAAAAAAGTTGAAAACGGAATAATATTACATTTCCCTACATCTGCCAGTTACTAATTGACAAAATAATGATGGAAAAAATCTGCAACGATACATTTATAACATATCTTAATCTACAATTGCATATCCTTTGCATTTTGTCAATTTTTTTCACAAAATACAATGTCATAATAATGACAATAAGTACCATCTGTCGATTTTACGAAAATCATAAAGATAATGAGGCTACATAGATTTATGTCAATTGTTTTATGACAATGTAAGTTAATTGTTAAATAGTAAATTGTTGACCGGATATCTAATGAATGTTCGTCTGTACGACAAATTGATCAAATTTGATTTCTTGATATCTAATGGGTTTCTTCACATCATTTGAGCCGCATCACGACAAAACCTACATAATGGGTTTGCGACCAGCATGGATCCAGACCAGCCTGCGCATCCGCGCAGTCTGATCAGGATCCATGCTGTTAGCTTACAAACCCTATTACAAGTAGAGAAACTGATAGCAAACAGCATGGATCCTGATCAAACTGCGCGGATGCACAGGCTGGTCTAAATCAATGCTGGTCGCAAACCCATTATGTTGGTTTTGTCATGGCGTGGCTCATATTGCGACGTTCCAAGGAAGAACTCAGGTGCCCGTCCGGGTTAACGTAGCTGTTTAATGCTAGGCAAGTGTTTTAATAACATATTAAAATACAGTACATTTTTACTGCAATTAACCATTAATTTAACTTATTAGTGAAAGGAAAAGGATATAAACAAAATAGTCACATTCATTAAAATTATATACCCATTCATTTTCGGTAAACTCATTTTTAACCATTGATATAGTATTGATACAGTACAAATGTTTGAGTGTTTTAGGGGATTTACGCTGTCCCCTGGTCGACGTAGGGAGACGGGATTATACCATTTGTTTGAATGTATCCATCTTGTCATATATTTGTTATTTTTATTCTGAAAAATAATCGTCTTTTAGAGAAATACATGTTATATTCGAATAACCAACTACCTTTTGGTTGGTAGTTATGGATTCACGCGAATAACCAACTGAGTACTCTAGTCTATTTATTGTGAAAGGGGTGTAACCATGTAACCATATTATAGAAAAGACATATCTCGTTATATAACCGTAACATTTGTTTCAGAAAAATACCTTTTTTAAGAGGAATATAATTATGCAATATCCGAATTGCCAACTACCTTCTTGTAAGTAACTGGGTACTCGAGCGAATAACCAACTCAGTCCCCTGGTGGACATAAGGAGACAAGATGTTTCAATGTTGAAGAACAGATTTGGCTTGCTGTTTATCCGTTATATATATTTCGAAAAAGTACTTTCTGGTTTGAGAGGAAAACATGCATAGTTTGAATTACCAACCTCTGGTAGGTAGCTGGGGATTCACGCGAATAACCAACTGTGTCCCCTGGTTGACACAAGGAGACAGTTTGTTCCATGTTGGATAACAGATCTTTCTTGTTATATTTCCTTACATTTATGCCGAAAAGGTACTTTTAAGGGATAAACATGCAAAGGTCTTATTACTTACTACTTCTGGTAGTAGGGGACTCACGCGAATAACCAACTGAGTCCCCTGCCCGACGTAGGGAGACGGGATTATACCATTTGGTAGAATTAATCCATCTTGTCATATATTTGTTATTTTTATTCTGAAAAATGTCTGTTTTTAGGTAAATACATGTTATATTCGAATAACCAACTACCTTCTGGTTGGTAGCTGGGGATTCACGCGAATAACAAACTGAGTCCCCTGGTCGATTTATTGTAAAGGGGGTGTAACCATATTATAGAAAAGACATATCTCGTTATATAACCGTTTATTTCAGGAAAATACTTCAGAGGAATATAATTATACAATATCCGAATTACCAACAACCCTCTAGTAACCGTCTGAGTCCCATGGAGGACATAGGAAGTTGAAAAAAACAGTTTATTGCTATATACCCGTCACATTTATTCCGGAAAAGTACTTTCTGTTTTCAGAGGAAAACATGCTCACTTCGAATTACCAACTAGGTCCCCTTCTTTATGCTATGTTTAAAAAATGTATGATGTGTTCAAATATTTCATGCTAGTGATAATGTATTGAGTTACCAACTATCAGCTGTTAAATGGTTGGGAATGACGAATAACCAACTACCAGCTAGTAGGTAGTTTATAATTCGAATACCCAACTATCAACTTCCTACAATACGTCAGCGTCAGCTCATATATGAGGTAGAAAATACCTCAAAACGAGCGCTTTGACAGAAGTTATCATACATTTCATTACTTTTACCATATGACATTGTATTTAGCCACCGACTACACATTATTATCAGGGGCGTAGCCAGCTTTTTTTAACTTGAAGGCCCATGAAAGGGGGTCTGGGGGCTAAGCCCCCAGAAGCCAAAAACAAGTTCAGATTAAAAAGAGCAAATTGCGCTTCTAAAGTATTTTCATGGAAAATTATCAAAACAATAATTTTAAACTATGAATTTGATTAGATGCCAACTTTATTGAGGACGGTAAATCATGCATCAGCATTAAAAACACTTTAATAGACCATACAGCTTGAACACACTACCAATTTCACCCACGCCTTTTTTTTTAATTGTATTTTTGGGACTTTTGAAAATGTCGATTTCTTGACCAACTTGTAGGCCAGGACCTACATTGCCTAATAGTAGCTACGCCACTGATTATACACGTTTAGAAGTGTACACTTTTGGCTGTACAATTCACTACTACACATTCATTTTGAAGTACGGCTTTTTTATTTGTTATATGATTTATGATTTCTAAATTCAATCCATCCGCCGTCGAGGAACATAAATTCAATTTTCAGGATCAATGATTCCATTTCGGAAAAAGGGGAACCTACTGGATGCAATTAAAACAAGTACATGTTACAATTACAAAGTTTGGTTTCAATTATACCAGATAACCAATGCGGACAAGATTTTAAAGCTTGTCTGTGTTTTTTGGTTGTAGTTTTTTTTTTCTTTTTTTTCCAGACTAGACTTTTACCATCAATGATAGACACAAATACACAAAATGTGTCGTTATTGTAAATAAAAACAAGATTGTTATGTTTTCATGAGAGTATTTATTACAACTTTTGTTTGGATGTCAAATAGTAAGTTAATTAGCTTTTTTTAAATTTGTTTGTTCTCATTGATATCTAAATGGTCACTCCCATATAATCTTCCTGATGACTGTGCTTCAAGGAACTGCTGGAATTGCTGGACAGGTGGCGGCAGCTGAAATTGTAAACCACCAGTACTTCCTGCAGCAACATCCACGAGGTACCCATACATACCTCCATCTCCATGTTTGTAGCCACCCAAAAGAATCGATACCATTGCTCGTATTAAAGACTATTCTGTAACAATATACTGGCAAACGGATCAACCTGAATGAAAACAAACGGTCTTTGATTTGATTTTTGTTACAATGTTATTTTCATAATTTTTGTTACAATGTATTTTTTTCCATTTTTGTTACAATGTTATTTTCATCATTTTTGTTACAATGTAATTTTCACCATTTTTGTTACAATGTTATATTTACCATTTTGTGTTACAACCTTATTTTCACAGACAATAATGAGGTCATGAACGTTGCAATGGTGTTAAAACTGTGATTGTATGCATTTCCGTACAATTATACCGAGCTTACCATTGCTTTTGTACAAAACCATGTGTTTGAACTTTGATATCTTTGTTAGTAAAGCAATTAGCTATTGCAACTTAGAGAGGGATAAGTATACATTGTATTACTGAAAATGACATAAATCTAAAATGTAGGTATAATGTACGAAAATAGAAGTAACAATTTGTCTGTGTTTTGAATATAAAATATTTGGTCAGTAGTCATTACCTGTAATCGGGGAAACATCTGTATCTAGAGTCGACCCAAGTGAACGGCCAGTAGCTCCAGTGACAGTGGCTTCTACAAACGAAATACAAAAACATATATAATACAATTTAGTTCTCGTTGACATTTCATAATTAGTATCGTAGAAGTTTAGAAGTTAGACATATAGACATGTTAAGATATTAAGAGATTATTGTACTATATGAAACAAGCACTTCCTTGTCTATGGAAAAATTGACAACAAAGGATGTCAATGAAACCTACAAACTTATCTTTATTTTGTAAAATAAATCTAGAAATAAAAATAAGGATACACTTACGCTCCACAATATGTGCCCCAAACCCACCACGGTGACCACCAGTATTCCAGGATGACTGTACCATCAGACTGTAGGGACCAATATCTCCAGTACCATCTATAACGCCACAATACATACCACTTATACGGGCACGTTCTCCAGTAATATGGCAAAGCTCTAAAACAAACAAATAGCTCATAAATTATCGAAAGTGTAAATTATCGAAACTTGATATTACTTGATCGAATAATGATATTAATTAGTGCCACTTATCGAAACTTGATATTTATTAGTATAAATCATTAAAACTTGATATAAATGTAAATGTTTGCTTTTTATTCTCTCCGGCAGAGAACATTTTTGTTTCTTATGATAATCACATAAAAATAAACTTCATCTTTATTAAATCATATTACTTACGTTCACAGATTACAGATTCAAAATCATTGAAGTTATAATACTAATGAAATCAATATAGGCGTTGAAATTGAAACACGTGAAATATTTCACAATAACAGTGTGTACTATTAAATTAATCCAGCGTTTTTGTAGTAAGGCATATATAGTAAGGTACATTACAAAATTCAATACGTTTCTAATTGAACTACAACTTACATGTCTAGATCTGCAGCAGAACCAACTGGTCCAAGATCTGCTTCTAAAATGTCACGTGACACTAGCTCTTCAGCTTTTGCTTCTATTGAATCACTGTAATCATAAATACATAGAGGATATTCAAGTTTTTTACTGTAAATACATAATTTTTATTTTCATCAAGTGGTATGAAAATAAATATTTCATGAGTGGCGGTAGCCACGAGTAAAATATGTTAATTTTCATGCCACGAGTAAAATATGTTAATTTTCATGCCACAAGATGAAACTAAATCATGTATTTACAGAAAAAAAAATTGAATTTTCTGTTTATTATATACATTTTCCTATTTTTTGACATTAATTTGAAAGAATTTCCCTTAAATGTTGTGTACTGGCAAAATTTAAAAGAAAGTAGTCCCGTCAAGACACCAGTGAAAATACGGAAAATATGTTTCACCACAGTGAAAAACACATTTTTACAGTGAAAATACGGAAAATGAAAATACGCATTTTATTTCATCAATATTTCTCAATATTTCATCTATAAGTATATAATAAATACGTGTATGAGTCTGTGTGTGTTATATTTTGGTTACCTTCACCATCAGAAAAAAATTGGGCGAGTATGACTGCATAAGATGGTTCTGGATTAATGTTATAAGATAAAAAAAAAAGATTCTTATCAAACTACTTCAATGAAAACATTCAGTTTAGGTTTGTCTGTTTATGTTTCTATTAACATGCTTGTATCAGCAACACGTGATTAAAATGCAGTAAGAATTGGTTACCGCTTCCTAGACGTTAATTCTGCCAATATGACCTGGTCTAGGTCTAGATACACGTTTCACCTCGTTAATTCTGCCAATATGTCCCGGCTCAGGTTGCCCTCGAGGGCTGACAGAGCTGCAGTGTATCTGAGTCTGATATTCATGCTGGCAGTCGCTTGTATCTGAAGATCGTGATCCATCGCGTCTTCCTCGCTAGGACAATCCGGCATGGTCTTCTGAGACGTCACATACTGTGTCCCAAACAACACCATGAATAAAAACAATGAGAAGCGTCCCATTTTCCTGACAACAATACATGAAAATACGAGTTAAGAATGAATTTTTATTGGTAAAAAGCGTGCGTTTAATACAAATCTCAGTGGTATTTTTGAGGGCCTCATGGAAGATTGATATGTTTGTTCAAATGAGTTCTCTCGTTAAATAAAGTCTTTATTATTATTATTATTATTATTATTATTATTATTATTATTATTATTATTATTATTATTATTTCACTTAATTTTGAAGAGGCCTTAGCCTCTTAATTTTGGAAAATGTTTCGCTAAAATTGCAAATTTAGGAAGTAAAAAAGCTTAACATTTTGGGAAAACTCCGTGATTTTAAAGAAAATTTCCATTTGGAAGAGGCCGGTTATGTAGGCCTCTGTTGAAGAGGTAAAAATCATTAAATCTTTACCTTATACATGTATTATTTTCATTTTCAGATTTTCAGATTTTATATATAGCAAAGATTTTTATGCTGCTTATAAAATTTATATCATTAGAAATTTCTTTTTTCTTACAGCAATGGAAAATTTGATTTCTGAAGAAAAAAAAAATAAATAAACATTCATCCAATATTCCTTAAAAGATCATTTTATTTTGATACATGTTTACTTGTATTTGATATACATGTAGTTCGCTTTATATAAACAACCTGTCAAGATGTCGTTAAGATATTAAAAAAAAGTTTTAACCCTTTTTATTTAATTAATTATAAATATAGAGTTGCAAAACAGCTACGAATACACGACTTAAACATTGAAATACTGTAAATACATGTATTCTAACCAGTACATGTATAGGTTTTTAATTCATAACATGACATATTTCCAATTTAACTATCCAGTAATAAAGTAAATAATTATTAACGAAAAATTTCTAATGATACGAGGGTGGTTTCCCAATAATTCTTGGAATGCAAATACTCAAAGCGCTTCTTAAAGATTTTAACTGATATTTAATACGCTATTGTCGATAGTACGAACAAAACATAAAAAAACAGCATGATATCATTTAATTTGACGGTAAAGCTACCTAGTAACGAAATACGGCCATTGTCCACGGCTTTGCGGGACAGCCCTCGTTTAATTAATTTCAGACATATTTTATTTTGGCAATATTATCATTATTATTAGTATTGATGACAATAATGTTCTTGTCGAATTTAAAGCTCCTATTGAGATAGAATTCAATAATAAAAATTAAATTACAGTATTAATTGTGTAAAAGTTGGCAGCAATTAACATTTCAAAAACAAAGTACCAATCATATATTATACAAACTACCACTAAAATATCGCTGAATATGTAAGCGGTGCAAAAATAGTGTAAAGATAACTTACATTATTCTTATTTCCATTCAAATCACACTCCAAGATGATTACAAGCCCCGTGTGCTTAGCCTTTTAATCGCACTAGAAAGTAGTCCGGCAGGCACGTTGCAAATTTTGATTGGAGCTTTTACAGTCATCACAAATAATGGTAAGATGAACCCTATCTGGACGTTGAAAGCTGTTCCTTTGAACTTTTTTGTACACAACATGGGAGGTTCTTGCTGCCTATGCTATTGTCACCCTACCCCGCCCCACGCCCTCTTCTATAAGCTGTATTGAATGATCCTTTTACGTCAGTTTATAATATTTTTGATATTTTTTATGTTTTAATTAGTGAACAGGGTACTTCTAAATCATATATCGAATTAAAGAAGTTTTTCACGCAATGATATAAAGGTGTAGTATTATTGAGTACAAATGAAATATGGCAAAAGAAAACATATTTTGATAATTTTAGTCAAACATATCACAATTATAATCAGAAAATGGCGAGACTGTTAGTGATAATCGAGGCGTGTTTAAAGAATATTTTATCAAAGGTTAGTAGGGCATTTAACCATCATTTACCATGATTGGATAAAGACAGTGTATATGTTATATTTTCTATCTATCAATTATCTAACGATCCTCCCTTTATTGTTTTTTTTTTGTATTAGCCTTAGCGTAGTGATTTCTGAACTGCTGGATTACTAATCATGTTAATAATTGCGGTGATAAATCGATTGTGAAAATGAAGGATAACATAACAGACTTAGAAAAGAATCTGAAAATAATTACAAACACCACTTATGGAAGTTTTGGTAAGTTTTTTTATACATTCATTTTTATTCTTTTTTAAACTTTTGGGCTTCTAAAGAGCTATTCTACTGAGATTACGTTATGTTTCAATAATTGAGTGAATTGAATACTTTTGGCTATAGTGGCTGATTTTGAACACATTTGTTTGACGTGTTGTCGCTAGCGACACCACGACAAAGCGCCAAACGGCGCAGTGTCGCATTGTCGTCTTGTCGCTAACGAAGCACACCAAACGCCGTGCTGCCTGTTATCACGACCACATTGTCGCTCGGCTCAAATCGAAGGATTGGCTGTTTGTATATATATTATTAGTTATATATATATTTTGACAAGCTATATATGGCCCTATATAAACGATTGTTTGTAAATAAAACCCGAGCCGCTAGGCTACGGTTATATTGCAAACAACCGTTTATATATGGAATAAACTGTTTGCTCAAATAAGCTATGTATTTATATATAACACCGCATTTAAAATACCGGAGTCTTTGAATACATTGTATATACTTAATAATAAATTGAAACGCTATTTTTCAATTGATTCGTTTTAGAGATGTTTTGCAAACACTTGGTTAAATCGAACTTGAAAAAATGGCGACCGGGTCAAGAAAAAATATCTGGTGATTTTAAATGTTGTCCAAATTTTTAGCACATTATACTTCATTTGAACTTAAACAATAACTAGTCGCTGCGTAAAAAATTTTCATTAAATACCAATTCAACGTATAATCAGGTCCAATAAGGTCCTGATTTAGATCAGATTGTTGAATAAAATAAACAAATCTGGGATATTCTTATGTTCAACATATAATAATTGCAATAACATAACTTGACATTGTTTTTAATTTAAGTGTTGCTTTTCAGAGAGCGTTATGTATCTTTATGACGTGCATCAGTAATGTACAGACATATCCTATAGAACACGACATTAACAGCCGCCAAGTCACACGATGTTTATTACCGCAAATACAGTTACTTAATGGTATTCTTGTTCCCGACAGACCAATGCCACGGTACGATTTCTCTCAATTAACAATGTTGAAGGTAATCAAAATATAACGGTCTTTTAAATTTTATTTTTATCGGAAGAAATTGCAGCAAAATGACGTTCAATAACATCATAGATATAATGATAATGAAATACAATATTGAATTGTTTGTTACATGTTAGAAATCAATTTAAAATAAAAAAAATGACAAGTTGGCAGAGATACAGGTATGCCAATAATGTTTGGCTCTCGGTGTGTTAAGAATCAAGATCACTGATTAAAGGATTTCTGACCCTTATGACTGTGTGTTTGAAACTTGCAAAACCGTTAAATTCTTTCACACGTGTAGTCTATACAGCTTTATATGAAAACCGGTGACCCATAATACCCGCGTCCTTAATACGCCTGCATCCTCCCTCGCACAGGTGTCAGTTTACCTGAACACTGTTCCGAACTTAACCAAAGAAACATATTGTTGAATTATTGCAGAAAGGACTATAAGAATGCATTACGTAAAGAACCAAATGGTAGAGAGATTAATGCCATGATCAGACAGACGAAAGAAGAGCTGGGACGTGTAGCTGAGTATGGCAATCAACCTTTTAAACAATATGAGCCGCGTCACGACAAAACCAACATAGTGCGTTTGCGAACAGCATGGATCCAGACCAGCCTGCGCATCCGCGCAGTCTGATCAGGATCCATGCTGTTCGCTATCAGTTTCTCTACTTGTAATAGGGTTTTTAAGCGAACAGCATGGATCCTGATCAGACTGCACTGACGAGCAGGCTGGTCTGAATCCATGCTGGTCGCAAACCCATTATGTTGGTTTTGTCGCGACACGGCTCAATTATAACACTTTCCAATTTTCACATTTAGTGCCAGAATCTGTAGATTATTGTAATTCATTCAACTATCGATGCTTAATGAAGAGATAATAGAAATTAGATGTCACGTGGTTCATTTAAAGTTTTGTTCTTTATGAAAGTATACTTTGTATACCTAGTAGCGCTTATGTCAATAGTAGAATCAATATTGTTATTTTTAGTGTTCTCTTTCAGTTCCGCCTAAACATAATTATTTTCAGCAGCTTTCTTCCAGATTAATTCTAATTTTTATGAAAATTGCAAGTGTATTTAAAGGTAAAAATTGTAAAGTGAACACAAAAGTAATTTACACATTGCAAACATGTAATGTATATGATTTAGGTTTGTTGGTGAAAAATGCCGAAGCTTCCGGCAAATATTATTTATTTAATTTTTGGGGATGTCTAGAAAAAACATCATGTATCGTATACATAGACCGATTTATCGTTTGTTTGCATGGTAACCAGTTTAGAAAAAGAGTTTGACAAGAATTCCGCCCTCTGCTTCCCTCCTTTGTGCAAGTCGAGAATCCGTGTCATAACCAACTGGAGGGTTTTAGGCACAGACTGCTGGGCCATACAGCCTGTTATCTGGAGACAATGCAAGGAAAAGTGAGAGAAAAATGACACTAAATCAGTTATCCTAAAATTATATAAAACTGAAATGATTTATTATTTACTTCTTAATTTTAAAGCTGTAATTTTAAAGTTTTTTCTCTCTTATTGATAAGATCCGTGAAAGAGATCTTCTAGAAAAATGACTAAAATGTAAAGTCGGACTATTTTCTAAATGATTCTGGTCAGAGGTATATAATTGTTAACAATTCTCTGTTCTCACGACTTGTTCATTCTCGTACTTCTTAGCGAAAACTGAGGCAAAAAATAAACCTAACCACAATATACTTTGTGATATATATTTATATCTATGTTGTTTCAACTAAAACATGGAACACTTAACATGCAAATTTTGATGCATCTTTCTCTTTCTCACTGAGATATACGGTTACATTTCAACTTGAAAAAAAGTTTTTGCTGATTTTGGAATATTAATTTCAGACCATTGGATGCGTTTTCGTGTGTAAACGAGATGTCTACGACAGGGCTAGGTTATACTTGTCAGTCAGAATATATGCCGGTAACGGTGTTGGTATATTGTCAACATGGTGTGCCAGCGTTCCGCTACATGTCTGTTTATGTCTCATTTAAATGCTCACGTAGGTTCATGTTATAATAATATTTATACCTGTCCGTTTATAACAAATGTGAAGTAAATCTTTCAGTTGGTCAAAAAGATATAATGATATTGTTTATTAAGAATCATGGCGTGGCTATTTTAGTTTAATGGCATTCAATTCCACCAATCAATAACTCACATTAAGCTGATCAATAACACGGAAAGTGACGAAACATGCCGGACTTGTACGAGCCTGTGCTACCAGGGTTTTCCAAATAGAAAAGACCCTGCGCGGAATAAACATTCTCTTAAAGCAAAGTATATATTTCAACAACCATTGTATTTCTCTGAATCTGTTGTTGTTGTTGTTTTAACATATTTTGCCAAAAAAAATACAAGACGCACTGAAAAATAAAGCATTATATATACATAAAATTATTACGCAGGAACACAAACCTGTCATGCTTTCTTATACAGCTACATGTATATAACATTAATTTATTTTAATTCTTTTCTATTTTTCAGTAAAGAAGTATTGCTGTCAGAACATTTAATACAGAACACTGATTAATATGATTCTTATCAAACTGTCAAGTTAAAATAAAAGTAATCAAACAACTTTCTGTGTTGTTGTTTATTGAAATTTGGAGCACCTTATGCTTATATAAATAAGCTCTGCTCTACCTGAAGCTAGAAAAAAATTATGTTATAGATAAATTATCTATGTGATGTACAGATAATTATCAACCTTAACCAGCTGGAACTGAGCCAGGCCAGTCTCCGTTTCGTCTGACCTGTGATAGAGCCAAGCCAGCCTTTGTTTTGTCTGACCTGTGATAGAGCCAGGTCAGCCTCCGTTTATTCTGACCTGTGATAGAGCCAGGCCAGCCACCGTGTAATTTGACCTGTGATAGGGCCGGACCAGCCTCCGTTTAGTCTGATCTGTTATAGAGCCAGGCCAGCCTCCATTAAGTCTGATCTGTATCAGAGCAAGGCCAGACTCCGTTTAGTCTGATCTGTAATAGTCAGGCCAGCCTCCGTTTAGTCTGATCCGTGATAGAGCCAGGCCAGCCTCGGTTTAGTCTGACCTGTGATAGAGCCAGGCCAGCCTCCGTTTAGTCTGACCTGTGATAGAGCCAGGCCAGCCATCGTTAAGTCTGACCTGTGATCGAGCCTGGCCAGCCTCCGTTTAGTCTGACCTGTTATAGAACCTGACCAGCCTCCGTTTAGTCTGACCTGTGATAGAGCCAGGCAAGCCTCCGTTTAGTCTGACCTATGATAGAGCAAGACCAGCCTTCGTTTAGTCTGACCTGTGATAGAGCCAGGCCAGCCTCCGTTTAGTCTGACCTTTGATAGAGCAAGACCAGCCTCCGTTTAGTCTGACCTATGATCGAACCTGACCAGCTTCCGTTTAGTCTGACCTGTGATAGAGCCAGACCAGCCTCCGTTTAGTCTGACATATGATAGAGCAAGACCAGCCTCCGTTTAGTTTGACCTGTGATAGAACCTGACCAGCCTCCATTTAGTCTGACCTGTGATAGAGCTAGGCCAGCCTCCGTTTAGTCTGACCTGTGATAGAGCCAGGCCAGCCTCTGTTCGTCTGACTTGTGATAGAACCTGACCAGCCTCCGTTTAGTCTGACTTTTGATAGAACCTGACCAGCCTTCGTTTAGTCTGACCTTTGATAGAGCCAGACCTGCCTCCGTTTAGTCTGACCTGTGATAGAGCCTGACCAGTCTCCGTTTAGTCTGACCTGTGATACAGCCAGGCAATCCTCTGTTTAGTCTGACCTATGATAGAGTAGAGCAAGACCAGCCTTCGTTTAGTCTGACCTGTGATAGAGCAAGACCAGCCTTCGTTTAGTCTGACCTGTGATGGAGCAAGGCCAGCCTTCGTTTAGTCTGACCTCTAATAGAGCCAGGCCAGCCTTCGTTAAGTCTGACCTGTGATAGAGCCAGGCCAGCCTTCGTTAAGTCTGACCTGTGATAGAGCCAGGCAATCCTCTGTTTAGTCTGACCTATGATAGAGCAAGACCAGCCTTCGTTTAGTCTGACCTGTAATAGAGCCAGGCCAGCCTCCGTTTAGTCTGACCTATGATAGAGCAAGACCAGCCTCCGTTTAGTCTGACCTGTGATAGAGCCAGGCCAGCCTTCGTTTAGTCTGACCTGTGAGAGCCAGGCAATCCTCTGTTTAGTTTGACCTATGATAGAGCAAGACCAGCCTTCGTTTAGTCTGACCTGTGATAGACCCAGGCCAGCCTCCGTTTAGTCTGACCTTTGATAGAGCAAGACCAGCGTTCGTTTAGTCTGACCTGTTATAGAGCCAGACCAGCTTTCGTTTAGTCTGACCTGTGATAGAGCCAGGCCATTTTCTGTTAAGTCTGACCTGTGAAAGAGCCAGACCAGCTTCTGTTAAGTCTGACCTGTGATAGAGCCAGGCCATCCTCTGTTTAGTCTCACCTGTGATAGAGCCAGACCAGCCTACGTTTAGTCTGACCTGTGATAGAGCCAGACCAGCCTACTTTAATCTGACTTGTGATAGAGCCAGGCCAGCCTCAGTTTAGTCTGACCTGTGATAGAGCCAGGCCATCCTCTGTTAAGTTTGACCTGTGATAGAGCCAGGCCAGCCTCCGTTTAGTCTGACCTATGAGAGAGCAAGACCAGCCTTCGTTTAGTCTGACCTGTGATAGAGCCAGGCCAGCCTCCGTTTAGTCTGACCTATGATAGAGCAAGACCAGCCTTCGTTTAGTCTGACCTGTGATAGACCCAGGCCAGCCTCCGTTTAGTCTGACCTTTGATAGAGCAAGACCAGCGTTCGTTTAGTCTGACCTGTGATAGAGCCAGACCAGCTTTCGTTTAGTCTGACCTGTGATAGAGCCAGGCCAGCCTTCGTTTAGTCTGACCTGTGATAGAGCAAGACCAGCCTTCGTTTAGTCTGACTTGTGATAGAGCCAGACCAGCCTTCGTTTAGTCTGACGTGTGATAGAGCCAGACCAGCCTCCGTTTAGTCTGACCTGTGATAGAGCAAGACCAGCCTCCGTTTAGTCTGACTTGTGTTAGAGCCAGACCAGCCTCCGTTTAGTCTGACCTATGATAGAGCAAGACCAGCCTTCGTTTAGTCTGACTTGTGATAGAGCCAGACCAGCCTCCGTTTAGTCTGACTTGTGATAGAGCCAGACCAGCCTCCGTTTAGTCTGACCTGTGATAGAGCCAGACCAGCCTCCGTTTAGTCTGACCTCTAATAGAGCCAGGCCAGCCTTCGTTTAGTCTGACCTGTGATAGAGCCAGACAAGCCTCCATTTAGTCTGACCTGTGATAGAGTCTGACCAGCCTCCATTAGTCTAACCTGCAATAGAGCCAGGCCAGCCTTGTGTAGTCTGACCTGTGATAGAGCCAGACCAGCCTACTTTAGTCTAACCTTCAATAGAGCCAGGCCAGCCTCCGTTTAGTTTTGACCTGTGATAGAGCCAGGCCATCCTCTGTTAAGTCTGACCTGTGATAGAGCCAGGCCAGCCTCTGTTAAGTCTGACCTGTGATAGAGCCAGGCCATCCTCTGTTTAGTCTGACCTATGATAGAGCAAGACCAGCCTTCGTTTAGTCTGACCTGTGATAGAGCCAGACCAGCCTCCGTTTAGTCTGACCTGTGACAGAGCAAGGCCATCCTCTGTTAAGTCTGACCTGAGATAGAACCAGGCCATCCTGTTAAGTCTGACATGTGATAGAGCCAGGCCATCCTCTGTTAAGTCTGACCTGTGCTATAGTTCTTTATTAAACATATTGTCACATATTGCAGCATTACTTACTTAACAATCTTCAGGTTTAACACAATAATATCAGGGTATACATATAACATAATGACTTTACTATTACCAGCTTCTAGCAAGCTGGCCAGGCCATGTTCTTTTCAACAGCTATTTACATCAATAACAGGCTATTTATCTTCCAATACTGTAGTGTCTTGGTCATCACTACAGACAGACAGACAGATGGACAAGCAGAGTAAAATTTTGGGGTTTTTTTTCCTTCAACCATTAAGCCAGAGATAGTCACAGAGTTCTGTTATATACTTCAGAGATGTTCTGTTAATTCTTCCTTATATCTTCCAGGTAACAGTAAAAACACAGACATAATAAATAATGAAATGTTCTTTATTTCTTATTAAAATGATTATCACAGACACATTTGAATGAGAGAAAAAAGACTACTCATAAAGCAAATTATCTAATTTCAAATGACATCATAGATGGTTTATAATTCAATGTTATCAAAATACAATGTTATCAAAATACATAAATTGGTGGTATAGCCTTCAAACTAGTGATCTAAGGATCGCTCTCCATGTGGGTTCAAACCCCGTCAAGCACAAGGCGTTGTTTTGTTGAGCAAGAAACTTTTCACTCATTCCTCAATACTGGTTGGTTCCAGGAATGGATTTGAGGGTGTCTATAAACTTTACCTTTCTTACACAATCAAACTAAAATAAATTCTGTAGACACCAAAATACACTATGTAAATATAAATCATCATTTTCTAGTTGACTTTTGGTCCCTGCAGGTTCAATGTTTCTACACTCAACTTACATTCCCCTGCCCACAATATACCTTTGATACCTGTATATACATGTATACTATACCCTTAAATATCAGTCTTATTTACACTTTAAATATGTACAATATAAACATAATATGCTTACATACATACATGTGTAGCTATGTTACATCCAGATGTCTCAATACCTCACACAAAAACAAACATGAATAAATGAATCCCTGTCAGAATCAATACATCATAATAATCAGAAACATAAAAACATTCTTAATTAAGTTTTAACAGTGATACATTCAACAAAATCACACTAAAGTTTTACCCTATATGAATATGTACAGAGGGAAAAAAAACAGAAAAACAAGAAAGTATAAGCAACTTTAAGAGCTGTGGATCAGACTGAGACTATTCAATTGTTATCATATTTATTGTTATGAAAAAGAGGCATTGCGCAAACCAAACATTTGAGTAGGTAAAAGTCAAAATGTCATTTTCTATTTTTACTTCACATCTGGGACCAAAAATATATTATATTAAATACCATTATATTTTGTCCAAGTTCACATGAATAATAAATGATACACTTGACTTATGGAATTTTCTCTAAACATTCTTAATCAATTACTAGTATTATTTGCAGACTTTAATATGGTGTGGTCAAAAGATCGGGCTAGAAAATTATTAACAGAAACTGTTAAAAAATATCCATTTTTGTACATGTATTTACCCATCAAAAATATTTTCTGTTCCAATAGCCACAATCTTGTTCTTGATGACCACATGAGCCGCATCACGACAAACCAAGATAATGGGTTTGCGACCAGCATGGATCCAGACCAGCGCAGTCTGATCAGGATCCATGCTGTTCTCTATCAGTTTCTTTACTTGTTATTGGGTTTGTAAGAGAACAGCATGGATCCTGATCAGACTGCGCGGATGCGCAGGCTGGTCTGGATCAATGCTGGTCGCAAACCCATTATGTTGGTTTTGTCATGACGCAGTTCAAATGTACAACCATCATTATAATCTCAAACACAAAGTCACAAACAATTCTGTAATGTTTTACAAAAATTTACCCGTAGAAGAGGACTTCCAAACATTTTTTCTACATAAGCAACATTTTTAATGTTAGAAATCTGAAGCAAATTGCCAGGATTTAAAAAGTATATAAGTAACAAATAAAACTATAAAAAAACTTTTACATGATCATATTAATCTAATGTCTAGTTCTAAGAAAATTTCATCAAATTATCAAAACATTAAAATAACAAGTGCTCCACATGTCGAGGCATTATACCCATTAATTTATCAACATATGATTGTTGACCGTGTTCCATTAATTTATCCCCGAATGTAGACTGTGATCCATTGATTTATTTCAGAAACTGTAGGCACTTCTTCTTTGGTTTATCAGACTAAAGACTGTGCTTCAATGATTCACCGCAGAATCTTAGACTATAAGTCATTAATTTTTTCAGAAAATGTAGACTGTGCTACATTCATTTATCACAGAATGTAGACTGTGCTACATTTGATGTTATAACAATATAGGGAGGGATTATTTGAGTTTGGGAGGTGATGGCAGTGTGTCCATGTATTTACAGATGATAGATAACATTACTTCATCTGCCCCTCCACCGATAGAAACCAGTCGGAAATCCCTGAAAAATAAATTTCCTGTTAAATACTGTCTACCAAAATATCAAACTTAATTTTCTATGAATTAAGTAAACAAAATATCAATCTTTAACAATAAATTACCATTACAAATGATTAATATTTCCCTGAATCATAAATGACCATACAAACAGCAAATGTGAATTACTAAAACAAGAGGGCCATGATGGTCCTAGATCGCTCACCTGACCCATCAAACTCATCCGAACAATTACCTAGACAAGCATTCTGACCAAATTTCATAACAGGTTAGTCAAAATTTGACCACTAGAGTGTTAACAAGGATTATCCATTTTTGAGCAGTGTGACCTAGTTTTTTACCCAGGTGACCCATATTCGAACTTGACCTAGAAATCATCAAAACAAACTTTCAGACCAATTTACAGGATATTTCGATCAAAACAGTAGCCACAAGAGTGTTCATAAGATTTTTTCTATTTTTAGCTCCGGTGACCTAGATTTTCATCCCAGATGACCCATGTGTGAACTCATCCAAGCTATCACCTAGACAAGCATCTTGACCAAGTTTGATGATGATTGAGGCAAAAATGTGACCGCTAGAGTGTTAACAAGGTTTTTCCATATTTTTAGCTCCTGTGACCTAGTTTTTCATCCGAGATGACCCATGTTGAACTCATCTGAGCTATCAACTAGATAAGCATCCTGACCAAGTTTGATGATGATTGAGGCAAAAATGTGACCACTAGAGTGTTAACAAGGTTTTTCTATTTTTAGCTCCTGTGACATAGTTTTTCATCCGAGATGACCCATGTTGAACTCATCCAAGCTATCAACTAGATTAGCATCCTGACAAAGTTTGATGATGATTGAGGCAAAAACGTGACCGCTAGAGTGTTAACAAACAAGTGTGGTCGGACGCAGGATGACAGACGGTGGACGACGGACATTAAACTATCCTTAAAGCTCACCCTGAGCTAGCTCAGGTGAGCTAATAAAAGGGTAGCAGGACAAGGTCTTTTATTCTCAATATAATCTCAAACTATGGAAGGTGAGTGGTACGAAAATGTCTCTTTAGTGCAGTAATGAGTTCAACTCCTATATAATTTAATAAGAGTTAAAGGAACTCCACTGAGGTCCAAAAGCCTAAAACATAAAGTTGGAAATTTAACACAGTTTAGCTAGGGCATGTACAGCAGAAATTTATGCAAACAATAAATTGAAAATCATATTTTCATGCTACTGTTAGTCTGACTTGAGTGAATAGGGTTGCAACACTTTTCAATTTTCGGCCATATTTCACAATTAGAATAATTATTATGGAAAAACAGATTAAGCAAATAATCTGAAATTTTGCACACAAGTTATTGGTCTAGACCTTCTTATGGAACATTATCTCGAAGACTCATTTTCAGTCCTGTCATGTCAAAAAACCTCAGCGTCCCTTTTTAAACCTGTTACTGCACTAAGGTGACAAAATTATGTTATTGGTGATGAGTTTAACAGATACTATTATATGTCATATTGGAATTTTCCAGTTTTACTTGCAGTAAAAAGACTGAAGGTGCATTGACTTTGGCATGATAAATTCTTATACAACATAGAAATTTGTAGAATTGATATCTCAAGCAGTATGATACCAATCACTTATTTAAAGCTCCTTAGTATAATGTACCTCAAGATTATGAAAGAACTTATACTTAAGTATGCTTTAAAAAATCCAAACCCCAGATGCATAACTACACATGCTGACCAATATATTACATGTACATTATATATATGGTACATTTGAATAGCACCATTTCCTTACTGAGTTTCATAACAAGGTAATGTCTTTTACTCAGCAGTGGCTAGTTTCATAACAATATATACAGCAATGACATTTTGACTTTGACAAAATCAATACATCTTTAGTGTTTTTTTTTTATAAATTGTTGTTGACTGTACATGTAACATGTCTTTCTGGCCTTTTACTATACTTATAATAAGGACACTAAACATGTTCTATTTCCATATCCCTTCTTTTTTTCTCTACAGTCAAATTTTTTTGTCATTATGAGGACAATGGCACTGTCAAAAGGTCAAACAATTATTTACCAGCAATATGGTGGAGATAATGGCACTGTCAAAGGTCAAACAATTATTTTCCTAAGCCATGTGGTGGAGATAATAGCAATGTCAAAAGGTCAAACAATTATTTTCCAGCCATGTGGTGGAGATAATAGCACTGTCAAAAGGTCAAATTATTTTCCAGCCATGTGGTGGACATAATGGCAATGTCAAAAGGTCAAACAATTATTTTCCATCCATGTGGTGGAGATAATGGCACTGACAAAAGGTCAAACAATTATTTTCCAGCCATGTGGTGGAGATAATGACACTGACAAAAGGTCAAACAATTATTTTCCAGCCATGTGGTGGAGATAATGGCACTGTCAAAAGGTCAAACAATTATTTTCCAGCCATGTGGTGGAGATAATGGCACTGACAAAAGGTCAAACAATTATTTTCCAGCCATGTGGTGGAGATAATGGCACTGTCAAAAGGTCAAACAATTATTTTCCAGCCATGTGGTGGAGATAATGGCACTGTCACAATGGTATCAAGTCAGGAACCTTGATCACTAGATCATGAAGACCACATAAAGTAAGTTATACCAGTATATAAGACATTGATGTTCAAGGAGACAGCCTGGTATCTGTGTGTGTTCTAATGACAGATGGCTGATGACTAATGTTAACATTAACATTTTCTAAATCAATAATCATCTTTATTATGATTCAGTACATATAATTATTGAACATTTATACATGAGTAATAACAAAACATTTATAAAATGAACACAATGGCTATTTTTTGTTTGTTTGTTTCATTTTACGCCTTTTTCCCCAACAGTATTTCAGTCATATAGGCAGGTAGTTTCCTAACCGTTGTTCCTAGATAGTTACACCAGTACTAAACTGCCTTCCTCCGTGCTAAACTACCAAAGCATCTCCCGGGGATCGAACCCAGGCCAGAGAGGAAACTGGATTAGAAGTCATCGACTCTAACCCCATCGACCACAGAGGCGGTTCACAATGGCTATAATACATGTTATTTTATCATGTATTTAACACTCTATCAAGAATTAGATTGTTATACATGTTATAATAAACTTATTGTGTAAAAATGGGTCAAAGACAGAAAAGGCCGGGTTGCATATGTATACAAAATATCATGAGGCTGTGATGTTACGGAAAAATTTTTCAATTGACCCATTAATGTCGAAAATTAAATACAGTAGGTAAACAGGAAATGGATTAGCTACACACCTAAAATCGAATCCCACAGTATGGGACCATGTGTCAATGCTGTATGCCAAATATCAAGAGGCTGTGATAAGTAGTTGCTGAGAAAACTGTTACGAAAATTTCCTACCATTGACCATAATGTCAAAAAATCTAACTAATTTAACTAAGTGGATAAACAGGAAGTGGATGAGCGACAGACCTGAAATCAAATCCCACGGTATGGGACAATGTGTCAATGCTGTATGCCAAATATCAAGAGACTGTGATAAGTAGTTGCTGAGAAAACTGTTACGAAAATTTCCTAGCATTGACCATTAATGTCGAAAAATCTAACTAATTTAACTAAGTGGATAAACAAGAAGTGGATGAGCGACAGACCTGAAATCAAATCCCACAGTATGGGACCATGTGTCAATGCTGTATGCCAAATATCAAGAGGCTGTGATAAGTAGTTGCTGAGAAAACTGTTACGAAAATTTCCTAGCATTGACCATTAATGTCAAAAAATCTAACTAATTTAACTAAGTGGATAAACAGGAAGTGGATGAGCGACAGACCTGAAATCAAATCCCACGGTATGGGACCATGTGTCAATGCTGTATGCCAAATATCAAGAGGCTGTGATAAGTAGTTGCTGAGAAAACTGTTACGAAAATTTCCTACCATTGACCATTAATGTCGAAAAATCTAACTAATTTAACTAAGTGGATAAACAGGAAGTGGATGAGCGACAGACCTGAAATCAAATCCCACGGTATGGGACCATGTGTCAATGCTGTATGCCAAATATCAAGAGACTGTGATAAGTAGTTGCTGAGAAAACTGTTACGAAAATTTCCTATCATTGACCATTAATAATGTCGAAAAATCTAACTAATTTAACTAAGTGGATAAACAGGAAGTGGATGAGCGACAGACCTGAAATCAAATCCCACGGTATGGGACAATGTGTCAATGCTGTATGCCAAATATCAAGAGACTGTGATAAGTAGTTGCTGAGAAAACTGTTACGAAAATTTCCTACCATTGACCATTAATGTCGAAAAATCTAACTAATTTAACTAAGTGGATAAACAGGAAGTGGATGAGCGACAGACCTGAAATCAAATCCCACAGTATGGGACCATGTGTCAATGCTGTATGCCAAATATCGAGACTGTGATAAGTAGTTGCTGAGAAAACTGTTACGAAAATTTCCTACCATTGACCATTAATGTCAAAAAATCTAACTAATTTAACTAAGTGGATTAACAGGAAGTGGATGAGCGACAGACCTGAAATCAAATCCCACGGTATGGGACCATGTGTCAATGCTGTATGCCAAATATCAAGAGGCTGTGATAAGTAGTTGCTGAGAAAACTGTTACGAAAATTTCCTAGCATTGACCATTAATGTCGAAAAATCTAACTAATTTAACTAAGTGGATAAACAGGAAGTGGATGAGCGACAGACCTGAAATCAAATCCCACAGTATGGGACCATGTGTCAATGCTGTATGCCAAATATCAAGAGGCTGTGATAAGTAGTTGCTGAAAAAACTGTTACGAAAGTTTTTTTCCCCGCCCGCCCGCCGCCCGGACGCCCGCCCGCCGCCCAACATTCACCATACTATAACCCGGATTTGCACCAGTGCAACCCGGCCAATAAAATGTACAGACCAACAAATTATAAACACAAGCAGTTGATTTAAGGGCAAAAACTGTCGTTGTATTGCTGCTGCTATATGTCAGCCTAGCAACTTAAAGTTCAAACAGTGACTTTCCAGCCATTAAATTTGATTCAGGAAGACTTCAGGTGTCCCTCTCTGTCTTATTTCAGACACTATAGTGTTTACCTAAGTGAAATCACTTAACTTTCATAAGCTTTTTAAATATCTTTTTTTTTTTTTGTTAGTCTTTTTTTAGCTTTTAGATGCCCTATTTACATAGGTAATTCTTGAATAAGAATATCAAATAATTCTTTTACATGGCAGATGAGATTCATGTGGACTTTCTTGGAAGATTGTTAAAATGTTATGACAAGTTTTATCACATGACTGCAAGTATGTACATAGCATTTCATATGGCCTAAAATCTTGGTGCATTATGCATAATGCTTCGAGATAAAAAATTTTCATATGACACTTTAGTTTCATCTCAGACCTGAACTGAACTGTTTAGGTGATATGGTAACCTTGGGGTATGACATCAGGTGGTTGTCTGTGATTTATTTAAAGATCTGGACTAGAATGTATCATCTTGGCAGAGCAAGACAATAAACAAAAGAACTACATGCTGTGTTAACACTTATCTGTTAATATAACCACTTTTGACAAAAAATTCTAAGCTAAAAAGGGGCATGACTCCAAAACTATAGCTTGCAGAATTATGCCCCTTGCCATGATAAGCAAGTATTGCAAGTTTCATATTGATACCTTTAACATTGTTCTAGTAATGGGCTACATTAAAGTTTTTGCATGATAACAACAATTACACAGCCATCATAGTAGCTTAACATTTTCTTCAAAACAGACAAGCTAAAAAGATAATCAAAAGCTGAGCTAAATCTTACATACAATATGTATGTAATGGAGAACACATTTTCTGGATTACCTGTAAAATCGACTAATCAGCACTTCATTTGTGAAGCCCATACCACCCCAAAACTGCAAACATTTATCAGTTATCTCCCTTGCTAATCTTCCTGCCTTCAGTTTACTCATAGAGGCCAACTTAGTAACATCATTACCTTGGACATACAAAGCTGGGGAAAAACAAAAAACAAAACAACAGTAAAAAAATTGACTGCCAGCATAACAATCCTTAATGTCATTTTATTCTTTCTTCAATTGACAAACAAGTTTTTAATGATAATTCAGTTCTTAAGTCTTAAAAGGAAATTCCCCTGTCCATCAACTTAACTTCAATATGTCAAAATTTAAACAAAGTGCTTTTCTTAAAAAAAATCTCAATGTCGTTATGGGGCAGTTTTGTCACATAGGCAGTTATACATTATTTCACTTAAAATAACATTTCTATATTAAAGGATAGTCACACCAGTAAAAACTAGAACTGCCACTATCATGGCGTGAATACCCCCGCATACCACTTTGTCAGAATCAACAGTGGCCATTTAGAGCTCAAGGACAACCTCCCTGCCAAATCTGAAGTTACTAAGCCAGTGCATTGCTAAGTTATGTATTCTACATGCTTCAAATGTGAAAATGTCAAAATCAATACATTGCGGACAGGACATTCTTTAGCAATTGAGAAGAAAAGCTTTTTTTTTGTCAAGGCCTCTGTGACCTTGACCTTTGACCCAGTGACCTCAAAATCAATAGGGGTCACCTTATAGTCATGATCAACATCCATGCCAAATATGAAGACTGTGGGTCAAAGGAATCTTAAGTTAATGGGCGGACAAACTTTTTGAAGTCAAAGTCCCTGTGACCTTGACCTTTGACCTGGTGACCTCAAAATCAATAGGGGTCATCTACTAATCATGACTAACCTCCATGCCAAATATGAAGACTGTGGGTCAAAGGAATCTAAAGTTATTGGGCGGACAAACTTTTTGAAGTCAAATCCCTGTGACCTTGACCTTTGACCTGGTGACCTCAAAATCAATAGGGGTCATCTACTAATCATGACTAACCTCCATGCCAAATATGAAGACTGTAGGTCAAAGGAATCTTAAGTTATTGGGCGGACAAGCTTTTTGAAGTCAAGGCCCCTGTGACCTTGACCTTTGACCTAGTGACCTCAAAATCAATAGGGGTCATCTACTAATCATGACTAACCTCCATGCCAAATATGAAGACTGTAGGTCAAAGGAATCTTAAGTTATTGGGCGGACAAGCTTTTTGAAGTCAAAGCCCCTGTGACCTTGACCTTTGACCTAGTGACCTCAAAATCAATAGGGGTCATCTACTAATCATGACTAACCTCCATGCCAAATATGAAGACTGTAGGTCAAAGGAATCTTAAGTTATTGGGCGGACAAGCTTTTTGAAGTCAAGGCCCCTGTGACCTTGACCTTTGACCTAGTGACCTCAAAATCAATAGGGGTCATCTACTAATCATGACTAACCTCCATGCCAAATATGAAGACTAAGGGTCAAAGGAATCTTAAGTTATTGGGCGGACAAGAAAAAACCGACGGACAGCCGGACGGCCGGACAGCCGGACAGCCGGACGGCCGGACAAGCTGATTCCAGTATACCCCCCTTACAACTTTGTTGTGCGGGGGTATAAAAATTACAAAATTGATCTTTTCCTAAAAAAAAACCCCGTGAATTTGCAAAATAAATCAATATTACAGCTTTACAAAACTACTAGGAATATGAACTTTAAGCAAATACAACACACAAGGAAAAGCTCAATTTAACAAGATATAGTGGACTTACCTACAGTCCTATATAGCAAAGATCGGAGAAGTTCCAACTCAGTCTCTAATTCTGCCAGAGTAAAATGTACAACTTGATTGTTAAGGATGGGAAATCCAAAGGCTTTCCTTGTACGAGTGTATTCGATTGTTGACTGTATAATTGCCTGTAAAGGCAAAATTGCTGAAATGTTCAAACGGTTACTTCTCAAAAGCTGAACAAATGTAACTAACTTTAACGTTCCTCAAACAAAGCAGGTTATTCTAACTTTAATGTACATACTATACAGCAGTATTCTTTTAAAAATGTTTTAGAACTAAAATATCATTTGTGAATAAACCTAATACCTACCACATGGCAACAATTACAAAAATCCACTTAAGGTACCTCTTTTCTAATTCTTTCTAACAGCTATACCTTTAATGATCCACCATAGTAAACAACTTTTAATTATCCTGATAGTGATTCAGCTATAACCCTTAATTTGCTATATTTGTGTTACAGAGTTTTCCCTGCAGTCCATCTGAATTTTTATGGGCAGATAACTCAAAAATAAAGTCACTGCCCCCCCCACCCCCCCAATTGTTTTTTGGTAATACAAAAAAAAAAGCTACCAACAGTATAGATCCTATTCAGACTGCATGGATCTGCAGGATGGCTGAGCTATATACAAGTGGCTTTTGGTTCAGGCAGATTAAAAGTAAATAATCCACCATTATTAAAGCTTTACTTACGATCCAATAATTATTGTATCAATAATCCTTAAGAAATAGTCACAGAGTAATCATTTACCTAGCCTGATGGTAAGTGATTAGCATTTACCTACAGCACAAAGTCAAACTTAGCCTACACTTCCATGCAATCTTACTAAGACTAGACTCTAAACTATTATGTTTTCAAATAATTGTGTGACATTTCAACCCATTCCCTTAACCTTTTCCATTATATAAGTGTGTTTCGACGGCTTTTTGGCCCCCCCCCCCTTTTTGAGGCCTCAAACAGTGAAAAAATGCCCTATTTAGGCCCCAAACACCATTTTTCATTTGAGAAATGTTGTTAAAAAAAGTGACCACTTTTTCGGCGCCGTCCCCCATGCAAATGTTACATCAGGGGGTTGCCAGAAGAGGGATGTGCCCCCTTTTGTTTGGGGGGTTTGAAGGGGGGCGGAGTCCCCCTCATCGCCAAGAAAATTTTAGACATGTGACAGGCTAAAAATGACCTCATGTCGATCTTAGGGTAAATAGTAACCGACGCTGAAAAGCCTTTTACTATATCTCAATTCATTGAGAAGTTGCAGCACTTTGAAATCAGTTTTGATGGAAAAAAACAATGCAAAATAGTGATTTTTGGCAATTTTGAGACTTCCCCCCATTGCCATGGTAACAGGAAATTTACGATTGAGCATGCTGTTACAGAGGCAATGGTCCAGTCAACATTTGTGCCAGGTTTCATCAGCATTGCAGCATTTTTCATAGTTTCATAGCAGTTTGAACTTGTTACAGGAGGCTTTTCAATGAAAAAGGCCATTTTTCGCAATATGCTCATGGGGTAAAAGGTTAAGTCGTTTTTCAGGTACCACCTTGCACACAAAAGCTTAACAAAAGTGCAACGCCAGCACTGAAATGAGTACAATAGCTCTCCCTATTCTTCTAATAGTGGAGTTACATACCAGTATCCATTACATTAACATCAATTTACAATGCTAAAATTGACTTTAATATTATCATCTATTAAGCTATGTAAGCTATAAGTTCAGTGTAACATACCTGCGGCCACAGCCCACATTCTCTCTGCCTGAAATTGAATCATCTGATATGTAAAGCCCATCCCTTCCTCTCCAATGATATAGTCTTGTGGTATACGTACATCTTCAAAAAATATCTGAGCAGTATCAGAACTTCTCATACCAAGTTTGTCTATCCTCTTAGCATGATGAATTCCTAGTTAATGATAAAATAATAATATAGCATTTCTTCTTGCCTTCCCCTACAGCTGCTGTTAGTTGTATATTTTTGCAGGCACAAGCAGGAGCCCATATTAGTATACCAGAGATAGGGGCCTTTTATTTTAAATTGATGTCAAAAGAATAATGTGTCTCATTTGAAAGCTATGTGTACGGAATACGAAAAACAATTCCTTAAAAACAACCTCTTTTACAATCATCGAAAATCCAGGCTTAGTATAAACTTCACAAAGGTAGATGGATCACCTCATATGATCAAATTTCAATATTCTGTTAATAGATTTGTACACATCATGATAAAAGACAATCATAACACTTGTCCATCAAGGTCAATTAGTATTTTAATATCCTTATTTTTAACTTTTAAAAATGAAAGTAGTTAGGTCATGCAAAAATTATCAAAATTCCAAAATTCTGCAAACCAAGTCAATCAATGCAGTTTATTAATAGAGACATGTATATAAGACATTGTATGAACATTTATCTGCTTATAAATAGCCTAAATTATTCTTTTAATGATAACAGAAAGCAAAGAATTACTTAGAACACACAAGACAGAACCACAGATACCATTTACATTTTTGGACAGAATAATAGCTGATACTGTTACAAATTTTTGAATGTATGAATTTCTTTAGACCAGACTGTCAAGGATAACATACAACAAGCAAATTCGTTGAATTTATATCCCCCGCCGAGTACTGGTTATTAACACAACAACTGAAGACATAAGGCTTTATTTATATATTAATCATGGCATAAACAGTAATATTCTTTGAACTTGATAAATATTCAGGGCAATAACAGGGCCATAACTTTGTGTTAGATAGTAAAATCTGGAAATGCCAATGAGATGTATGCATACTACATAACTAATCAAGGGCCATCAATCTGAGTTATAAGTATCTGACTGGAACAAGGCGACTATATGCATATCTCCTCTTAGTATCCCATAAAGTTTCATTGAATTCCAGCCAGTAGTAGTAGAGAAGTAGCGAGGAAACAAATATTTTTCTTTATGGATATTGCATAAGTTATCAAGGGCCATAACTCTGAGTTAAAGTGTCTGACCGGAACAAGCCGACGATATGCGCATCTCCTCTTGGTATTGAAGGTTCCCATAAAGTTTCGTTGAATTCCAGCCAGTAGTTGCAGAGAAGTAGTGCGGAAACGATTTTTACTCTATATGCATACTACATAACTAAGCAAGGGCCATAACTCCGAGTTAAAGTGTCTGACCAGAACAAGCCGATGATATGCGCATCTCCTCTTGATATTGATGATTCCCCTAAAGTTTCGTTGAATTCCAGCCAGTAGTTGCAGAGAACTACTCCGGAAACAAAATTTTACTCTATATGCATTCTACATAACTTATCAAGGACCATAACTCTTGAGTTAAAGGGTCTGACCGGAACAAGCTGACGATATGCGCATCTCCTCTTGATATTGATGATTCCCATAAAGTTTCGTTGAATTCCAGCCAGTAGTTGCAGAGAACTACTCCGGAAACGAAATTCGGACGGACGGATGGACGGACGGTCAGATGCGCATCTCCTCTTGATATTGATGATTCCCATAAAGTTTCGTTGAATTCCAGCCAGTTGTTGCAGAGAACTACTCCGGAAACGAAATTCGGACGAACGGATAGATGGATGGACGGACGGACGGACAACGCCAAAACTATATCCCCCTCCCGATTCCATCGGCTGGGGATAAAAATGCAAGCACTTATTTTATTTCCAGTTTGACCCTTACATCAGCAGACTTTTGAGACAGCTATGAGATAAAAGGGAATCTGGGAACCAGGCGCCAGCTCATATTGAATAGACTCCTTGGTACTTTTACATGCCCAGTGTATAGCACTGATACATGAGAGCATTACCTGCATTTCTTACCAGTACACCACTAAGTAGGTGGGAAACACTGATAGTGTTTCTGAAAGATTCCAAGGGTGTAACCCAGGATGGAACCCGGTACCTCAGGAGTGACAGTCAGTGGTCCAACAAACTGAGCTATCGCGCAACCATTTTCATTTATTTAAACTTTGCTTAAGGAATATATTGTAAAAACCATAATGTCACCTTAGTGTTGTATTTTTTTACATAGTAAGGTAAGATCAACTCCTTATATGATTTATATATATTAGGAGTTAACCAACCTGTTACTGCACTAAGGTGACAATTAAGCATCTGTCATAAGACCATACCTTTGGTATCCATAGGTAGACAAATGAGTGATTTAGAACGGTGAGCAGGGCCATCACTTGTGTTAGCTAACAGACACATCCAGTCTGCCTGGAAACCATTGGTGGTCCACATTTTACCACCGTTGATCACATAGTCACCACCTTGTTTGACTGCTTTAGTCTGTATACCTGAAATGTTCAATATACATAATAATAATATAAAATTACGATTATGTGAAAATACAAACAGAACAGAAATTTTGTTACTTGGTTTAACCCTTTACCTCATATATAGGCGAAACATTAAGCACTTTCGACCCCCCCCCCCTCCCCCTCTTTTAGGGCTCAAATAGTGTAAAAATGTCCTGTTTGGGCCAAAACACATGTTTTTGTTTGGAAAATGTGGATAAAAAAGTTGCCCCCCCCCCATCCAAAAGGTACATCAGGGGGTTGCCAGAAGGGGGATGTGCCCCTTCTGTTTGGGGGGTTTGAAGGGGGGCGGTAGTCCCTCTCATCACCAAGAAAATTTTGGACTTGTGAGAGGCTAAAAATGACCCCAGGTCGATCATAAGGTAACATGTAACCAACACTGAAATACCTTTGACTCTTTCTGAATCCATCGAGAAGTTGCAGCACTTTGAAATCAATTTTGATGGAAAAAATCAATGCAAAATAGTGATTTTTGGCAATTTTGAGATGTCCCCTCGTTACCATGGTAACAGGAAATTTAAGACTGAGCATGTTGTTACAAAGGCAATGGTCCAGTCAACATTTGTGACAAGTTTGATTAGTATCGAAGAAGTTTTTATAGTTTTATAGCAATTTGAACTTGTAACGGGAGACTTTTCAATGAAAACAGACATTTTTCACAAAATTCTCATGAAGTAATGGGTTAAGGATAACAAGATCATCACCATTTTAAATATACAAATACAACATATGAGCCGTGTCATGACAAAACCAACATAATGGGTTTGCGACCAGCATGGATCCAGACTTGCCTGCGCATCCGCGCAGTCTGATCAGGATCCATGCTGTTCGCTATCGGTTTCTATACTGGTTATAGAGTTTGTAAGCCAATGGCATGGATCCTGATCAGACTGCGCAGGCTGGTCTGGATCCATGCTGGTCGCAAACCCATTCTGTTGGTTTTGTCATGACACGGCTCAATTATGATACATAAATGACATATGACATGAACATGTATAACTGAAAAATCATAATCTATGAAATGTGAGAATGCTTAATGAGACAGGAAATTTCTTTAAAAGCATTTCAATACATATAAATAATTATGCTCAAGAATTTGTTTATCATTTGTTTATTTTTACCTAACAGGATCAAATTTAGCTACAATACATTATGTTTTATACTGGGGAATTTGTGTATTACAAAATGTAAGTAAAATCCACAAAAAGAAAACCAAAGTTTTAATACATGTATAACTTTTACATTAAAGTCATCTTGCTAGTTGAGATCAAAGGCATACAATAAACAAGCAGCAAGTTCCATGTACTGCTAACTATATGCTCCATGTTTATTACAGTAAAATAAGTTCATGTGCAAAATAAGTGTTGTCCTGCACCAACTTTTAACTTTGTACCAGTAAAGAGTTTAAATCATTTTAAAACACAAATCATGAAATTAACAGTATAGAGCTTGGGCAAATGATGCATTCTGGCTATAGATTAGTAGGAAAAAAAAGAATCCTCTGGCTCACTTTGGCTCAAAAGTAACAAATTATCTTACAGGGTGTTTGTTTTTTCCCCTTCTATAGCAGAGGCCTTTAAAATATGCCTTCCCCTATCAACTCCTCCATGAAAATGCTTTAAAATCATACAGACTTCCCCTAAAGTTCAATTTACAACAAGTTTTTTCTTCTCCTTTTGTAAAAGTACAATGTAATTTTCATAATTTTAAGTTTGTTTACGCAAATGTTAAGAAGAACATCATATAAAGAACATGTTTTAACCAATATGATGAAATGGTAAAAAAAAATGACAAAAATAATATAAACATATTATATATACAGAACATAAGAGACAACAGGGTTGAAACAAATAATTAAATCACATTATTTGTAACTTGTTTTTGATAATGTTAAAAAGTACATTGTTAAAACAACATGTTGTTTACAACCTTGAAATGGTAAAAATTCTATACACGCCATGGACATTAAAGTATGCATCAAACGATGACATTAACTAACCATCTGCAGTAACCAAAAGTGAGCTGTTCAGAGCCAGGCCATGAGAGAACATCCATGTGGTCTGACATTTAGGTTCTTAAGGATGTTTTCGGGAGTTTTCATATATAATACAATTATCGGCAATTTTTTTTTTCCGCATTAAATATTTATATTATCATATTTAACAACATGCCAAGTTTTTAGAAATTCTATAATTGAAGTGTTTTAATTTTGCCGATTAGTTTATATGAAAAAAATCCAAAAACGTCTGTAGATCATTCTATCTGTATTTAATATTGAAATCCATTAAAGCAACTTCACTTAGACCAAAGAAAAATCTAAAATATGAATTCCTTACATAAATCAAGTGAAGCATTAAAAATGAAAAATTCTGCAAAGGGTAATATAAAGATAATACTCAAAACTGAATTCAATATTGATTTTTAGGTCATTTGAGTGAAAGGTGATGAAACACTTTTCATTTTTTAGGTCACTTTGCTCAATAAAAGTAATTATTCTAGAAAAATAGGGTAACAGAATGATCTGAAAATTTGCACACAAGTTATTGGTTTGGAACAACATCAAATGGTACAGAAATCTCATAAATATATTTTCAGGCTCTTGATGTAAAAAAAACAACTCAACCTCCGTGGAGTCCAATAAACTTTTAATGTACTTTCCCTTATGCTAGGCAAATCAATTCATAAAAAACCTTGTGTTAATAAACTGTAGGTTTCTCTCTCACTTGACTGACAAACAGAACTTTTTTACAACATAAAAACAGAGTTTGAATGACAAGATTCATCTTTATTCCACCATAAAACACCATCAACTGTTGCAATCATTTTGTAAAACCAATCAACATTGTATTCAAATATAACATGTATGAGAGAGAAAAACTAGCATGAAATATCAAAACATTACCATCTGTTATCAATACATTCAACAAATTGACAATCACATTACAGATTTCCTTAATAAATCTTCAAAAATAACATCACATACCCTTGAATTCATACTTTATTATGACAATAAATGAATAACATAATCATTAATTATAGAGAAATCTTTTCTCTATTATTTCAAAAATATAAAAACAATTTGTTCTTTTATAGCATTAGTCTTTGTTTGTTAAGTACAATGTAAATTCATCTGCTATGAATTTGTGAAATTCAACGCATTTTTGACAGGAAACCAGGCATGGTTTTAATTACTTAGTACAATTTTAAATTCCTATTAGTATTACATTGTCATAAACCTAATAATCATTACTACACATGGTGACTTGTTTTACGTTTCTGTAAAGATTCATGACTCCAGGTCAAATACTTTTTGGGCTACGCACGACACAAGCTAAAAATTTCAAAGTTTTACAAAGGGCAATAACTCTACAAATACTGAATATATCCACAAGCAAACACCCAGGTGCACAACTACACATGCTGACCAATACTTCTGTACAGTTCATTAATCTAGGTCAATTACTTTTTGGGCTTCACAGGACACAAGTTGAAAATTGCAAATTTTTACTAAGTCAAGGGCAATAACTCTTGACAAAACTGAAATAATCCACATGCAAAACCAGAGGTGAACAACTTCAGATGCTTCATCATTCCTGTAAAGTTTGTGGACTCTAGCTCAAGCACTTTCAGAGCTACATGTGACATAACATGAGATTTCACTCATGGATGCACCGACAGATGGACAAGTGCAAATCTAATTCCCCCCCCCCCCTAGAGTGGGGGCATAGAAACAAAGCATAACAATTACATTATTTTTTCAAGTGGAGGCAATAACTAATTTTCTCAACTTTCCCAGTAAATATAAGATCTACAGAAGTAAGAAAGTTGGATAGCAGCTTAAGAGATGATAATTTTAACTTATAAAACACAGTTACTAAGAATCTAGTATTCGTAACAATTAATAAACCTAAAAACAGTATGGTCATCGTTTTCTTTAAATGGGTATAACAAGCACTAGTTAAAACAATTGGTGTTGTTGAAATCATTGTCAATTTCCAAATATCAAAATCATTGTCAATTTCCAAATATCATAAAAGGGTTGAAACATAAGCATTATAAAGTGTCATTTACTTGTTTTGTTGATTATTTTTCATATATGTGAAACAGCTACAAGGAAGAATTGAGTCTGTTTCCATATATGTCTGACAGATCATATTTGTACTGTGGTTCCCTTAAGTGAAAAACAATTACAATATTTTGATAAGTAACATTGCCACAAATGAAGAGAAACAGCTCAGGTTCAAGACATTACATAATTTTTTTCATATTTCTTTAAAAAAATAATTTTGGACGTATTTCACTGATGCTATGCACTCTTCTTCAATTCATCATCATTTTTGATCATCAAGTTTACGTTAAAATAATTCCATGACAGTTGTAAAATATAATTTGATCATGAAACTTTCATGTAACAGGAATTGCACAAATACTTAGGTGACGGTGTCAGTTTATCTATTTATTTATTATATACATTGTTCACACAAGTTCAGTTATACACATGTACATTTGATTATATTTTAAATACTGTGAAATTGTATTAGTGTTTACAACTGCAGTATTTCAAATGAATCATAACACATTTACTTTGGTAAATCGGCAAACTGTTAATTAGTCTAGTTAATCGACTGTTTATAAAAATAATTCAAAACCGATTAAAGCCAGTTAAAATTTATTAGTATGTATTAACAAAATCAAATTGGTCGCGCAACTGTGCAGCGCCTGGCCAATCAAATTTTGTAAATACGTACTAATACTAAATTGAATCAGTCTAGTAAATCGACAGCTTTATAAAAATAATTCCAAACACTAAATTGGTTAGTGTGTATTAGTAACCACTACATTAAATTGGTTAAATGCTTACAAATAATTTAACATTACTGGTTTCCTTGCAGTTTCCAGCTCCTTGCAGATTTCCAGCTCTTTATCATTTTCATCCAGTAAAGTCTATTTTTTATCAGTTAAGCATTAATGTTACTTTATCAATCACAGAAACATTTGTTTTATATATAGTACAGCGATTGATAATTGTTTTAAAATTTTGCTTGTTATTTAAAGTTACATAAGAGAACTTGCAACATTTAAAAATTAACAACACCTGGGGAATTCTAGTTTGAATGCCCATGCACAATGTCTGAGATCCCATTCTAGGTAAATCAGTACTTTTAAACAATATATTTGCAGACAACACAGAAAAGGTTGGAATGTTATATTTATTTGAAAAAAAACAACATTTCTTAACATTGCTTAATACCAGTACTGAATTATATTCAAAATAAAAAAGGTTTGAAAAATTGCTATGAAATTTTGAATAAAAGTGAGAAAAGTTGTTATATTTCAGGCCTTTACTCCAATTTAAAAGTAAAATTAAAGAGCAACATTAAAACATGGCAATGCTGGACAGGTACATTACTTTGTTCTGTCAAAGTTTTGTACTCTTCCGTAGACAAATTTTTATTTTATTTGTTAAAAAGTGCAATTTGAGGCCAGAAACTACTAGGAAACCAGTAACCTATACTTAAAGATATAATTTGATCACTAAATGTTTGCTTTTTTACATTGTACTTTATAAAATAATTGAAAAAAATAAAAGTTCATGATTGTCCTTTTACAAAACACATTAATTTTATACATCATATAATTATTGGTAAAGATATGACAATATATGAGATATGACCTTTCTCGTTTATATGTGATCCTATATTATATGAACTTATTGATGATAAAACAGATGTTAAAGTTTCATCAGATTTAACACAACATGTTACAAGTATGACTAACTCTCTATATGACAATTTTTTTTTCCTACATTGTATGAGTAATTCAAGTGATCTGTCAGTGAAATGTATAGTGTATTTAATTTTTATTGAGTTTTATTACAGTGAAATCTGTGAGACATTGGATGGTCTCATAGATATTAGTGAGTCAACATACCAACCCAAATACAACCATATTTTCTTTAATGAGTACAAATTCACCAGGAAATGACTTAAAGTTGGATACAAAGAAATCAAAACTCTGGATGTTTTGAAAAATATTAGACCTTTGACCTGAGGAAGGTCAAATCTGCGCTCTTCACATCATTTCATTATGGGATACATTTCTACCAAGTAGTTTCAATAAATTCCTTCTATCAGTCAAAAAGATACAGAGCAGACAGAGAATTTCTAACAGGTGGACAGACTACCAGGTGCATAACAATAAATGCTATAATTTGTTTCGGTATAAAATAAAGAAAGTACAAAGAAATCTTACTAGCAACATCAGATCCTGCTCCTGCCTCACTGACACCTAAACATGCAACTTTATCTCCTGTTATAGTAGGTGCAAGAAATTCTTTCTTCACTTTATCACTTCCAAAACTGTAAGAAAAAGAATAACAGTATTAGCATTCAAGCAATCATAGATATACAAGTATTATAATTATATAGGGTATTGATATACATTGTATATATGAAATACATTAAAACACTACAATCTATCTATCTTACAATTGTGTCAAACCCCTCGTGGGGACGCAGACAGAAAGTTAATTAAAAGTTGTTCAAAAAAGGATAAAAAAATATTAAAAATGTTAAAAACAGGGAACTAGGGGGACACATGTTTAATGCTAGCTTTTTATAATTAATATATATAGAAAAAAAATCTACATAAATAGGGAGCTGTGGCAAAGTGGTTTAGATGTCTACTTCTCAATTCAAGGATGGTAAAGTTTGAGTCATTCTCAAGAAATGACAAAGTTTCCTCATATGATGCTAGTGCTGGTTGGGGCGCCCGTGGCCAAGTGGTTAAGGTTTGACTTCAAACCACTTGCCCCTCACCGCTGTGCGTTCGAATCCTGACAGGGACTTTGGATTCTTTCATGTGAGTAAGCTATCCAGCTAGCTTACAGAAAGTCGGTGGTTCTACTCAGGTGCCCGTTCGTGCCTGAAAAAATGCTTGGAAGGGCACCTGAGGTCTTCCTCCACCAGTAAAACTGGAACGTCGCCAAATGACCTATACTGTGTCGGTGTGACGTAAAACCCAAGTGAAAAAAAAAAAATTCTGATTAGTTCAAGGAAGAATACACCCAAGTGATAAACTTTAATTGAACTTGTTTCACAATCAAGCTTAAATAGATATGTTTTAAAACAACATTTATCTTTGTATCTAGGTCAAATACTCACTAAGTTACCTTAATACCATGCTACTGCAATGCAGTCATGTCATAAATTCAGTAATTAACCCTTTACTTTGTTAATTATCTTAAAAGCCGATTATGCCTGAGAAATTCTTTTATCTTTATTTCTCAAAAACTTTTTAATTTTGATGCACTTTTGTAGTATCCAAAAAGTTCAAATACAGTCAGTCATAACTAAAGAAATGATGTACAAAATCAATAACACAACATTCTAAAATTTACAAATATAAATAAAACTTTTTCACTAAAAATGTTAAGCTTGAAAACAAAAGTAAATGCATTAATGAAGCTGTGACCTATAAATCGGAACCATGTAGCCTAATAAAGAAGGTGTACTACATAAATAAGTTGGAAAGGAAAATTAAACCTGTTGAATGTGTAATTAATGGACTAGCCTGGTCTACATTTTACATTTTCCAAACTGTCTTTTGTCAAATTTTGAGAAGTAATAGTAAGTCATCAGTATAGAACCATATAAGACTTCTGCATGGATATGAAGGCTGTTCAGGCTCTATTCTGGTTACAAAAACTAAAGTACTTTTGATTGAAGAAGGTTAAGGGTTCAACTTACAGTAATGTTTTCTAATTATGAACTCTTGTCAGCCCACCTACAGTAACAAATTCAATAATTAACATCTGTCAGTGACATCTCATATCAAAAATGTTATACTTTTTTTAAAGTATGATAAATCCAATAGTTTATTCACCTTTAAAGTACACATATGGCACATATGGTATGAATCAGCTGATACATTCTTTATAATTATACACTAGCCACCCTAAATATCTTTCATGGACTTACCCATTTTTGAAAACTGGATTTGTCATTTTTTGGTTAAATTTCAGAATGATTCCAAAGAAATAGCTACTAAAGAACACCATGATCAGATGGCATGAATGAGCTAGCTGATTTTGATTTTTGTAATATGAATTAGTAAGGGTGCTACATTTTAGTGTAACTTTAGGTATTATGATCAAGCTAGGGAAATTCTTTGACCACAATCAAGTAATGTTTTATTAGAGAAATATTAACATACGAAGCAAGGGCTGGCGTTGCCATGTCTGTCTGTACACCTATAGCCATTGGTATAGCTCCACAGTTGATTGCTCCAAGTTCCTCAGCTACAGCCACGCTATAACTAAAGTCAAGACCCAGTCCACCATATTCTGTAACATTACCAAGAGTTATGTATAAATTACACAATGAACATAGCTCAATGTCTTCAATCTTTATATCTTAATTAAAGAAAACTATTAAAATTCATACAGTATACTTTGTAACCTTGTTTCAATTTATCCTTAATCTTGAATGACAAAATAATTATTATCTTGTTTTATTTACACCATTACTTTATACATGTAATACTACATTATATTTATTCATTGGCCTGCTGGAATTAAAATAATAATAAGCCTTTGCCACTTGTGCCATCTGACCACTTTATTTAAAGTTGTCATATTGATATCCTTAACATTGATAACTGAAAGTTCCAAAACTGAAGGTGAACAAGTCCATTTCAGAAATTCAGCAGAAAAAGGGTAAGAATAGATTGTTGTACAATATACGGTAAGGGATCTTCCATATAGAATATAATTATGTAATGATTGAACAGAGAGACTGGCATGCAGACTGAAAACACAATAAGCCGAAATTTCCACCAAACAATGCAGACATAAACACCATTTTATTACTAATTGGCTAATGAATAATATAACAATTACAAGATTATCTGCTTAGAATACAAGCATAACATGAATTTTATTGTCTTTTTTTTTCTTACTTCGCTTGTACTATTCAATAATGAGCTCACTTTTTTAAATGCCATTCCAATATTTCATTAAATGTTTACTTAAGGTCACAGTATGAAACACTACATCATAATCACACATCTCACTCTACACTTATCATAATGCAGCAATACATACCTGTTGGTTTTGTGACCCCTAAAAATCCTGCAGACCCTAACTTCTTAAAGACTTCATGGGCAGGAAACTGACCCTCTTCTTCCCACTGGTCAACATATGGGTTGATATCCTTCTCTATAATCTACAACAAAATGTTTAACTTTACACAGTATGGATAGTTTTTAGTTAATTCATTATTTTGGTTTGGATTCAGGAAACAATACAAACTTAAGGTTTTGCCATTCTAGGGAAGTGAGGTTACCTATGGTGGCACCAAAGACTATCACACTGGAGTGATAATCCACCTTTTTTCTGTATCTTAACATCTGCAGAAGCACAAGGACACATTCAAAGCTGGGCAAGGGGCTTAATATAAGTCATAGCCAAAAACACCTCAACATCTCAAGTTCTTGCAGGAACCTACTTGTATAAGAATTTCTTGAAGTAAGTCTTCTATTATCCCCATACAAACATTTTCATTAACAGGAGCTGAAACTGAAGTTCTCCCTTGTGAGAGGCTACACTATTCACTACAATAAAATCCATGGTTGTCCCAATTATTCATTACCCTTACTTTCATAGCATTTTCACAAAACTAGTTGGATACACTACATTTCTTTATAAATTCCACATTATCAATGATTCTTTTTTTGTATATTATAAATTTGTATTTTTCTCTTTTAGGAGTTAGGACTGTTTACTTGGTAATTTAACTTTTTTTATTTACTGCAGTTTTTTCTGTTCATGGGCAAAACAAATTGACTCCATTTTAGGGAAAATTATACTTTTCTAGCACTTATATTTTATAAAATAGACAAAATGCAAATATTTTAGACATTTTATATTTTTTGACTAATATCATAAAATTTTCTTGCCACAAGCATCTAGATAAGCAGTCTTATGTCAGCATCCAACTCAGACAAAGATTGATTGATAAACATACTTTGTGCTTTCTATGTTTATGATGTTATTATGAAAATTTAGAATTTTTATAACATCATGTACAGATCATTTCAATAAAAAACAAAAACTTTTTACAGAGATCAAACAAAACATAATAGTGGCAATTAAGTGTGCCTAATTGGAAAAAGGCATTAAGGCAGCACGTAACTCTTGATGGAAGATTGGTGCTTAATACTCTCCAGATCATAACAGTAATGGCTTTCTAGCAGTTTCCGGCTCCAATCGCACTTTTTAACAAATAAAATATAAATCTGTCAGCGGACAAGTTCAAAACAATGTTAAAAATCAAAAATTAAAACACCCAAGCTTTTATCTGAATTAAATCATGTCATGTACATATCTGTCGGGATACATGGTTCTGTAGTGTAGACAATTTAGGTAATTTTGTAACTCTCCTTGACAAGCCTCAAAAATAAGTGTCAATACAATCAGAAATAAACAAACTAGTTTATTAGTTAGGAGAAGAACCTAGCTGTACTGTTTCGAATTTTTAGGTCTCTAGGTTTCAAATTATGAAATCTGTATGGAAAAATGTTCAAAAAGTGTCCGGTTGATGGTCCCTGTGTGCTCTCCCGTTTTAAAGCTCCCATTCAAAACATGGCTGACTGACCAAAGATTCAATGAGTTTATCTCTATGCATGATGTGTATTTCTATAGTCAATTTGCGACAGTTAAATACAATTCAATAAAATAGTAAATACAAGTTCTTTTTATTTGCACAATTTGCTAGAAATAATAAGAATGGTACCATTGGGGACCATCCAGGCTGCCGAGGCATCCTATTTTTTTTAGAGAATGACATAGTCTATGATTTTTTTTCAAAATGGCTTATATTAGGTTTTTTGAAAATTTTTGGATTAGTAAAATTGCTGGGAGTGAAAAATATAAATTTTATTAAGTTTTAAAAAGGGCCCGTTTGAGTTTCCAAAAACCCCGTCAAAAATTTAAAGAAATGATTTCGTTCTACATTCTGCCCCTTTTTTAAAACCCTCGCTTTTAAATTTTGGGTATAAATCTTTTGTAAAAAGTCATCATCGTTGAGAACACTACTGCAGAAGCTAAATGTCTGCCACGGGAAGTTGTTTTTTGGCCCCTAAAAAACTGTAAATTTTTTTTTTAAAATGGTTTTTTTCTCAGGCTCGATCGAAAAACCCGGAAATGCAAAACGCCATGTTTCTACAAACCGCATTTTAATTTTTTTTTAAGAAAAAATTTCTGTTTTTGGCTAATTGTTTTATTTCCGTTTTACCCTTCCCAAACTACAAAACCCAAAAATTCCCAAAATATTTTGCAGATAAATTTTTTTTTGTTAATTAAATTAAATTGTTCGCGGAAATGTAAAGGGGCAAATTAATTTAGGTGTAAATGTAAAAATTTTGGGTTTGTTTTTAGGGGTTTTTGGGTTCCAGCAAAAAAACTGTATTCATAAATTTAACCCTCGAAAAATCACGCTTCTGGAATCTTTTTAAAAAACTTTTTCAAATTAAATCATTGCAAGTTCCAAATTTTGGTATATTTCAGTAGTCAGATTGATCAGTACAGCTACAGATTTAAAAAGAATGGAAAAGTCATGGCCGAAAGTTGTTTTATTTGGAGATTCATTAACACAGGTAAGAGGAAAGTTGAAAAATATCACACCTGTTTCATTTAAATTGTACATTGACTGTGATTGTATTTTGTAAACCCCTTTGCGAAATCCCAGACAAAATTAAAACCCAAAAAAATTTTTGGGGGTTTTGAAACCCAAAAATATTTTTCCCTTGGGGACCCCCCAAAGGCTTGTCAGTAACAAGGCTAGCCGAGTTACTGCCCATGGGCAGGTTCCGAAGGAACGGATCAATATTCTGATCAGAACAACTGACATATGTCAGATATTTTTTCTTGCATCTTCTTCCATATTTCATTATATTTTAAACTCTTTACCTTAATAAAACAATTTTCCATGGAAATTTCTGACATTACACTATTAGTTACTAACTATTTTCTTACAACAGCATAATTTCATGAAATTACATTCATAATGGTAAAATTAAGTCAACCTATAAAAGCATGCCATATTGTACAGCACTCGACTCATCTGGGGCCCACCATGCCAGATGAAATACACCCATAAACATTTTTGATATGGACTACGTAAATAACCGAGGTATATCGAGTGAGAAACTACGAGTTGTTTCCCTTATCTTCAAGTAAAATCGATATCTCTTACGCTAAAACAATACAAATTTAGCCGTTTTTAAACCGCTAGTTTGTTGTGATTAAATGCCTGATTTTAAAAATTATTACATCAATGGAAAGCTTTAGATCTTAGCTTTGTCACAGTATATACTTCAACACATCTTTTGTCACCAAAGTATTTAACTTAACTATTAAACCTACGATATGTCAGACCATTTTACATACAATTTATACAGTGAGATACGCAACTGGTTATCTCTACTCGAAATACTACTGATAAGAATAGCCTGTCGTTTGCTAGTTGGGAAAGTGTTTATGGGTGTATTCCCGGTAAAGGTAAAACTAACAGAAATGCCAGTCTCATTTGCAAGAAAATTTAATTTTGTCTGTCAGAATTAAAGAGTTTCATATACACAATAATGGAACAAATTATGGGGCCGTTCAGTGGATGTACATGTATGTCATGATAAAGAAGTTTTTTCAATAATTTAGAACAAAGTCTGTATGCCACTAGGTTCATGTAGCTCAGTTCATAAAGCTGTAGAACAGTATTCCTTGAGTTTTGTCCAGGTCAGGCAACACAGTTTTCCCACCCTGGTTACTTGGTAATTAATTACGGAGGTAATTGTATTTTGAATATTGATCTCCAGGTAAGTCACATGTAAAATTTAACTGAATTATCATTTGGTGTAAAATTAAAGATCAAAAATAAGATAAAGCATACATTTAGTAAATAATTCAGTAAACTCTTTAAAAAAATCATGCTAATTCAATTGCAAACAAATATAAAGTTGTTGAAATTATTAGTTGATACAATATAAAACAGTGCTTCAAACTAAGATTTCTATTACAGCTGTTTAAAGTAAATAATATCATAAAACATTTATCATGTACTTTAATTGTAATCAATAATGCATTGCTATTAGTCTTTCCATTCTTTTTTCAGTATGGTTATAGTAAAGATGGTTGCTGGTCAGCCTTGGTCGCTGACTATTTACAAAGGTAAAATATACTTCTTTGAAAATAAAAAAATCTGACAGTGGGTGTTTACAATTGTAATAATTTTTTAACAAAAGAAGTAATGAACATCCTTTATTAGTTGCATACTATTTTTAGGCAAATGCCCCCTGTTCTCAGAACAAATTATTATATACCATGTAAGGGAAGTTTTAATGTTACTATTTTGTTAAGAAACAACGTCTTCTATCAAGTTTTTGCTTTTAATATCAACTTGAGTGGGCGGCACATATATAGCCCGACGTGGTTACTGATGAGACAAGTAATCTAATGATAGCTGCAGTGTGGGTTAAAAAACCCCATTAAGGGGTAAGGCTGTTCTTTCCGTGAGCAAGAAACTTTACATTCATTGATAGTACTGGTTGGCTCCAAGGAATGGAAATTTGAGAGTGTTTCAATATTAAAGCTAATCGTAGCTCCCAACAAAGTTAAGATTAATTTGCATAAACTAACATCAACATGAATAATTATTTCATACTGATCCTATGAAATAAATAGACAATAATAATTATAGTGTTATATTTAACAATTGCATGTACTTAACTGTCTGAATTTCCTGATTTTGTGTATTGTAAATTTTGTTAAAATGATAAATAATGAGATCAAATAGTAAATCTCTTCTGGAAAAGTATTCTTGTCATGTTGTATGATTTGATTTACAATTTTACTTGAAGGAAATGTGATGTGATAAATCGTGGCTTCTCAGGTTACAATACTAGATGGTGTAAGATCATTCTTCCAGGGTTGGTCACAAGTAAAGATACTGCAGATATAAAGTTGGTCACTATATTCCTAGGTGCCAATGACTCTGTGGATAGTACCTTATGCTCAAAACAACATGTGCCTCTAGAAGAATTTAAACAGAACATGAAAGATATGGTTCAGTATTTACAGGTGAGTATATTTCCATGAAGGCTAATTAGAGAGGATAAAAGGATTTATCAAGAACAAATATCTAGCAAGATTACACTCAAAGAGTTTCCATGATTGATGCACATTATTAAAATACTTATTGGTCTCCATTTTTGTCTTAGTTTGTTGCAATATTGAATTTTCTTGTATGATATGGGCTTATCTGGGATACTGGCTCTTGGATTGTTGGAAACAGAGATCATCTTTAGGACCAGGATTATGAATTTTATAAAAGCCATTCTGTAATTGTAAAATAATAATGACTTACCTTAACGGGCATTAGAAAATTCTGTCCATTCATAATTAAATAAAATTAATTATTAATATGTCAGTGGAGGAAATGTCTGATGATTAGCATGTCTGTATAGTGGAAGTCTGATAATGTACTTGCTAGTAGAGAGATGTCTGATGAATTAAATGTTTGTAAAGGGGACGTCTGATGATATACTTGTCTGAAAGGGGATATCCGATGACTTATTTGTCAGTGGAGGGGAATGTTTGATGATAAACATGTCTTTCGATGGAATTTCTGATGATGATTAACTTTATCTTCCACCTTGATTAATCATAACAATTGCTTCAGAGATTCAGTATTTCAGGACTATAGTTTAGATTATTGTTTTCATGTTTATTTTTACTGGATATTGTGAGTTTGAATCATTTACAGTGGGAGGGAAAGGAAAATAAAACAACTTCTACCCTATTTAAAAAAGTACTGTATAGGGGGGTTAAAGGGGAAGGGGGGTTGGAAAATTGGCCAAATTTAAGTTTAATTGGGCTACAGTACTTAAATTTCCCCCTTTTGCCAAAAAAAATTTTCCCAAAACCTGTTTTTTTATTTTACGTTTTTCCAAGATCCCGGGGATTTGCTAATATTTTCACATGCAAAATGGTTTTGGGAAATAAAAATTGGGTTTAACTTTTCCACCCGGGGGAAAATATCCCCTTTATACGGTAATTGCTTGTTTTGGGAGGGGTATTTGGTTAGCACGACAAAAGAAGTGTTTTAACCACCAAAAATTTTGATGAACAGAAATTTGGGGGGGAAAATTGCCAAAAAAAAAGGTTTTGGGAAATCTTTTTTTTTAGCTAACCCAAAAGAAAAAACAAGGGGGTTTTTTATTTTTAAAAAACTATATCTCAAAAAAGGGATATTAATTTTAATTTTAGTGTTTTTAGCTTTTTGGCCAAAACTATTTTTTTTTAAAACCAGAAAACCCTTTTTGGGTTTTTAAAACAAACCAAAATTTTTAGTTTTTTAAACAAATTCCAGAAGTCATATTTCCGACATTAGCCCCCAAATTTATGGGAAAATTTTTATTGGTTTAAAAAGGGGAAAGGGTAAAATGCTTGAAAAGATTTTTAGGGGTGCGACTGGGGGTTTAAAATCCATTCCCCTCAGGGGGCCTTTTTAAGCTGTTGGGAAAAGTTTAAACTGTTTTTTATTGGGCCATAAGGCCCCTTTCTTTGCACAGTTATTTAAAAGGGGGTAACCCTATTTTTCAATTAAGGGAAAGGGGAGGGCATGCCTTTAACTGTAAAAAATTGAAATTTTTCAAAATTTAATGTTATGGGTCAAACTGGGACAGTGGGTGAAGGCAGGGGATGGGGAAAAGTTTTTTTAAAATCCAACAAAGGGCGAAAGGGTTAATTTAAAAATTTATTTAAAATTTTAGGGGAAAAAGTGTTTTGGGGGAAAGGGATAACCCCAACAAAAGGTTTTTGCTGGAAAACATGTTTTAAAAAAGGTTTTTCAAAGAAAGTTGGGAAAACAATTTGTGGACAATTTCACAAATAGTCGAAACAAAAGGGTGTACAATGTTCTTTTAATTTTTTGGCCCTCCCAAAAGATGGGTTTAACGGAAATGTGGCAAAGTGGGTTTTTCCAAAACTAATCCCGCGTACAAAGAAAAATTTTTTCCCGTTAAAGTTTAACCGGGGCAAACCCTTTTGGGAAATAGAATTTGTCCAAAGGGAAATTGAAAAATTTTTCAAAAAACAATTTTTAATTTTATTAAATAAAACCCAAATTTACCCCTATAATTTCCTAAATTAAATATAAAAATAATGGGGGTATAAAATTTTTTTATTATCCCTTAAATAAATTTGGGTTAAATTTAAAGGAAATTTTAAGTTCCTGGTGAAATTTTGTCTGTTGGCGGGGGTTTTTTCAAAAACCCGTAAACTGTAAAAAGGGGTTTTTTATTACCCCGGGGATCCAGCTTGGGGAAACCCCAAACAAAATTTTTTAATTGTGTACAAAAGGGAAAAATCATGTTTATTTGTGTCCCCCCAAATTTTTTAAAAAAAATTTAATGGGGTTTCAAATTAACTTAAAAACCTTTTCCGGGGCTTTCTTTAAAAACCCGTAAAATTTTTGGTATTTTGGTTTTTGGGCAAAGGGTTCCAAAAAATATTGGGGGAAAAGGGGGGGGGTAGTTAAAAAGTAGATTTGGTCATTCCTTTTTAAAATTTCAAAATTCAAAAGCAATAAAAAATTGCACTTTTTACATTTTCTTTTTTATAACAGTATAAAGGTTTAGTTTTTAAAAACCTTGTTACTTTAATTGTTTACAAACCCAAAGGGTTGGGCCCTTTTAAATTTAAAAATGGGTTATGGAAAGGGCCCCATTGACAGATTTTTTCAAATTTTCGGCCCCCGGGGGTGAAAACTTAAAAAGATAAATCGGGCCCCGCCCGAACATGGTAAAGTGCACAAAAATGAAACAATGATGTCCCCATTTTGTTAATTTAAAACATCTAGCGGTAAAAGTGAAGTAGGTGTTAAGCACAAATTGTTTGATTTTATTATGAGAACTTAAGCGTAATTTGTAGAAACACAGTTTTATTGAAAATGAAAGAAAAAAAATATTGCAATTTCATTCAGAGTAATTAAATCGTGCTTCTTGAATTTAGTGGACTTTGTATACAAATAAGGGAAACAACTCTGTAGAAGTTACTGTACAGTAGAAATCTACAGAGACAGGAGTTTCAAGGAAAGAAATATCAAAATTATTTTTAAGAAATGCTTCTATTATAGATCTATAATGTGTATTAAAGACATTAATGCACCTCATTGACTGGCTGGAAAGTGATAATCGGCCCTGAAATGAATAATGCCCTCAGGCTGAAGTCATCAGGGGCTATTATTCTTTATGTGGACTGATTATCACCTTCTGGCCCTACTCCGACATGTTTTCATCTCGTATTGTTTCCTGCCATGAAAATGTAAGCAAATCATTTGTTAATATTAACTTCATGGAAAAAGCCATGCAGAATTATCTCCCTTCAAAGTTAGTTAAATATTTATAGTTTCAACAACAAAGAAAGGGAAGCTATTCAAAATTAAAAAGAATTACCTATATTGTATGAAACTAAAATCATCATTATGGTATAGGCTATTTTTATACGACTTTCAAGTCTAGATTATTACATAGATTAGGAATTGTTCAAAAGTGGTTATTTTAACAGATGAGAGTTAACATCATATGTGGTTCTTGTTTATTATACAGAATAATGGAGGCTGATATAAGACATTATAGAGTGATATTCCATGAGAACACATATGGTTGATGGGAGTTTTACTTTTAAGGATATACTGAAGTACAAAAGACATATATGAGCGGCATCACGACAAAACCAACATAATGGACTGCGGGGATGGGCAGGCTGGTCTGGATCCATGCTGGTCGCAAACCCATTATGTTGGTTTTGTCATGACGCGGCTCATATATTTATAAAAATAATACCAGTACATTGTAACTTATTTTATTTCAGCATTGGGAAGACATGTTGAATGATGGTCTACATTTCTCAACTTTAGGATCCGAGTTTGTGTTTGAACAGTTGAAGCCTGTACTGGACAAACTGACCTCTGACCTTCCTCTTCAGATGCCTTACTGGGCTGATATAGACAACAATAGTCCTCATACCTTACTAGATACATATTTGTAATTTAGTATTTTATAACACTATACATTGGGTCATATTCAACACTATACATTGGGTCATATTCATTTAATTGATATTTCATAAGCTAAATATTCCAAGCATTTAAGTTATAAAGCATTTTTCTCAGCTCTGTCTTGCATCGGAGGATTTTCATTGGTCAGTGTACATTCTGTGTCAGTTTCTGACCAATCAAATTCATGCACTTAAACTTAGTTAATTTCTTTATAACCCATGGCTCTATTATTTTATTTAATTATTTTGCAAATTGTATATTGTTGATAGTTGTTGACAATGTAGTAGCATTTTATGAAATAGTTCTTGTTTTATTTAAGTTTATTTTCAGAAAATCATGTTACTGAAGAAGTTGTCATATAGTTTATTGTATTAAATCTGGTACTAATGTTATATTCTTTCCTAGATTAAATTTAAGAGTTTTAAGTTTGTGTTTTCTTATGTCATAAACTAAATTGAACATATGTAGGATCTCACATGAGTTGCCGTGTAGTATAAAATTCTATTAATAAAGTGCAAGAAATAGTCATAAGCAAACTTCTGGCAAACATTTTCATGGGCAAGCTTAATAAATTTAATGTTATATGACAACAAATTGGAGATTATTTTTTATAACATGTCTAAATGCATTGATATTAATTTATAAACGCTTGTTTTTGAAGTTTTATATGTGCTTTTACAATCTGTACTGCTAATGAAATGTTAAGATGAAAATTTGGAGAATAACCATGCTGTACAATACATAATTATGCAATATAGGCAAGTTGCATGTTATTGTTATGAAATCTATTAATAGTAACAAATTGCTGATAAGATATACAGGTAACTTTCGGGTGGTTGGCAAAAAATATGGTGGCTAATAAAATGCAAAATATAGTAATTTTATATTTACAATAACAAACTTATTTTTTATGAAACAGCTTAGTATTTTATATCATTAGAAAACACATGATAGTTATTATTACATGGAAATAAGCAACATAATGTAATATAATTAAGTATAAACTGTATTTGTTTATATGTTTATTTTGCAATTAGAAGAATAAAACTGTCTGTTAATAACTTTAAATCTGTAGTTAGCATTTTTGTCATAGTCATCATTTATGTAGCTAGTATAAGTATTTACAATAACAGTAGTGATGCTGTACTTGTAAGGAACTTGTTGTGTGAACCAAACTGGAACATAATTGAGCCGCCTCATGACAAAACCAACATAGTGCGTTTGCGATCAGCATGGATCCAGACCAGCCTGCGCATCAGCGAAGTCTGATCAGGATCCATGCTGTTTGCTTTGAACCCTTTTACAAGTTAAGAAACTGATAGTGAACAGCATGGATCCTAATCAGACTGCGCAGATGCCCAGGCTGGTCTGGGTGCATGCTGGTGCCAAACTCACTATTTTGGTTTTTTCATGGCGCGGCTCATATAAAGTCATATCAAAATACCTTAATATGACGTTTTTCACACACTGTGTAAACAGTGTAACTCCTCTAAATTGCTTTAGAACATTTAATAATTAATAGTGTAAATCTTGACCCTTATATCACTCTAAATTGATTTTTCTTTTATGGACTTGCCCAATAGACCCAAAACCATTCATCATTTGTTGGGGAAATTAAAAAAAAAATAAGTACAGACTGAATAGCAAACAATGCCGACCCTAATCAGACAGAACAGATGTGATCTTAGTCTCATTGGTAAAATCAGTGGATGATGCGTCTGTCTGCTAAAGGTTAAAAAGCTACAAAATATTTTATATATCTAAACCATCTTTGTTGAAATATTAGCTGAGATGATAGATGTGTTTTATTATAAGCTAGAATTAATGATTATTCATTATACTGAATTTATTGTTGTTGTTGTTTTAATGTTGCTGATTTGAAATGATAATTGTACACAAGTTCTAGGGTTGGTTTGTTACTATGTTAGGAAAATCAATCAATATAAATATATCCCAATGTAAAGAGTTGCCAGTATAGATTTATTAAACATTTATGGTTCTGCACAAACTGCCATCATAGATTTATTATATAGTTCTGCACTAATTGCCTTATTGATTAATTGTTAAATTCTTAAACAATTTCTGTATAGATTTATTGTAAAGTTTTTAAACAAATTACTATATACCTGTGATTTTATTGTGCAGTTCTACACATTGCCTTATTGATTACTTGTATAGTGCTTCATAAATTACATATATAGAGGCTATTGAAAGAGAGTAGGTTCAATTCTGATTTTTTTTTTTTGGGGGGGGGGGGGGGGGGGGGGGGGGGGGGGTGAGGCATTTAGATTTACCTTCATTTTTAACAAGTTGAATATATTCATAATTATTATGTGAGCCTTTTGTAAGCATATTATTATTTTATTCTATGAGTTAAAGAATTTCATTATTGGACCTTCACACATGTAATATTTTATTTATCACATATCCATAATAAGAACTGTTCAAAAGAACCACTTTTTCATTGATGTGCTTATAGTGTAACATTTAGCATGTCTTTACACTAAGTTTGTTTATGGCAAAATATATGCAAAGCAAAAATTTCTTACACAAATTACTATATAAAATTATTGTAAATTTCTTACACAAATTACTACATCATTTTACTGTAAATTTCTTACACAAAATACTATATCAATTTATTGTAAATTTCTTACACAAATTACTATATCGATTTATTGTAAATTTCTTACACAAATTACTATATGAATTAATTGTAAAGTTCTTACACAAATTACTATATATATTTATTATAAAGTTCTTACACAAATTACTATATAAATTTATTGTAAAATTCTTACACAAATTACTATATAGATTAGTTGTTTAATTCTTACACAAATTACTATTTAGATTTATTGTATAATCTTACACAAATTACTATATAGATTTATTGTACAATTCTTACACAAATTACTATATAGATAAGTTGTATAATGCTTACACAAATTACTATTTAGATTAGTTGTATAATTCTTACACAAATTACTATATACATTTATTGTATAATTCTCACACAAATTACTATATATATTTATTGTATTATTCTTACACAAATTACTATATAGATTTATTGTACAATTCTTACACAAATTACTATATAGATAAGTTGTATAATCTTACACAAATTACTATATAGATTGGTTGTATAATTCTTACACAAATTACTATTTAGATTAATTGTATAATTCTTACACAATTTACTATAATTATAAATAAGTTGTATAATTCTTACACAAATTACTATATACATTTATTGTATAGTTCTTACACAAATGTGTATAGATTTATTATACATGTATAGTATAGTATACAATAAAGTTGTATAGTAATTTTTAGAAGACAAAAGTGAGTTCAACACAAATTGCCTTATAGAACTATTGTATAAATGCTCACAAAACACAATATAGATTTATTAAATAGTTCAACTCAAATTGTTATAACTTAATTGTATATTTTTTCACCAAGTATTGTTAACTTTTGTCCTGGTTCTATAATTGTACCATTTATGCTGTAGTGTTTAAAAAATATGCAAAATAAAATATTTGCATCAACTGTGTAATGCAATATGTTTTGCCATTATTTTGTCAAAATGTAATACATTGTACTTGTGCAATTTATTACAAATAAAAGAAATTATTTTATTTTGATTGTGTTTTTTGTGTATTTAAAATACATGTAGTTATTTTTACAATGTCTCACAGCACTGGTTCTAATCAGTTGGGTTATATAATCATCCTGAAAACTTCTAAATGGGTTGAATGTCATATGTCACGTGTTGCCACATATATACTGTATATGTTTTGATAAACAGAGTGTATGGATGTAGTTATTGATTAATGAGGGTCCACCCATCTGTTAAGGCACAAAGTCCTACTTTCACTGTCAATTACTTACATGTCACCAGTCATGCCTTTTAATTATGAAGTAATTTTGAACTATAAAGTTGTGATGATAATTTACCACGAATTATTTTACTACGGAGCATAAGCCAAAAATGTTAATTTTAAGGTCAATAAGCATCTAAAGGTGCAGTAAGGAGGTAGTTCTGAGAAGGGCCATTGGTGTCAAGCAAAGGACCTGCCTTTCTAGCCATGATATGTTGTTGATGTTGGTAGTTCACCTTCCGGAACATATTCAATATGCTAGAGCACAGTTCAGCCACCGCATCGTTCCTAGGAAGGCTGTCAAGCACTTTACCAGCAGAACTATTTGCAGGAACTGATAACTTTTGTATATGCCAGAGCACAGGTACTGTTCGAATGACCGTCGAAAGTATTTCATGATCAATCACAAATTGACCAGCCCCGTCCGTAGATCGATCTATTGTCGCCCGATTGACAGTCCAACGCATTACCTATAGAGCTATCCGTACGGTTCTCAAGCTGTGAGAAGTTTCTTCCGATTATCTTTTTATATTATGGAACAGTCTATTTGAAAGCTATTAAGGTCAATTTGAAATGTTGCATGAAACTAGATTGGTTGTAAGATTTATTTATAAATATAATATTCACTTATAATTGCCATAAAAGCGTAATGAACAGGGCATTAAACTCGCAAAGTCGTTCGGGCTTCCAAAAACTGAATTCTTTTATTCCTTTCCATACATGTATAATGCAAGCAGCATAGTTAAAAATTGTTAAAACATTCAATGTATTTTGGTATTTAAAATTAGTTCTTGAACATGAAATGACTTGAAAATTAATGTATAGCCATTAAAGACTCAAATCGCAGATGTTCCATTCTACTGATACGGAGGAATGACATATTTGTCAAACGAAACCAAAATATGTTAAATTTAGGTCATATATAAATTTTAATGACTCTGATTCCAACACGAAAATTAGCAAGACTCTATTCCATATTGCAGATATTTTTGATGATGTTGATGATTCATAAAGAGAATTTGAAACTCTTTTCAAAGAAGTTGTGGATGAACATGCCCCAATAAAAGAATGTAAATTGAAATAAAAAAAAAATCATGAATGTGAATTGAGAAATCAACCTATAAAACAGCAACTAACAAAGAAATTTGGTGAAATAACTAAAACAAGAGTCCGCTGAAAAATACTTCTATGAAAGTCCAAAATGTAGTCACTTCTTGCCAACTATAGCTTAATCTAAAGGCAAATAATTCCTTGGTTGGTAATATTCTAATACCTGTAAATTATCACGTGAATATTGTTTTGTGATATTGATATTAATTAAATTGATGAAACTCGTCCGTGCATATCACAAATACATGTATCTCAAATTCATCCTACAATAGATGCCTTCCAATTTGCTCCAATGAGCACTGATCAAAAATTAAAATTGTTAAAAAAGTTGCAAAAAGACTACTTAGTATAGGTGTAGACAGCCTACCACTAAAGGTAACCAAAGAGTTGCGTGTGCTCTGACAAAACCAATTACCTTACTAAGAGCTTTCAAACATCTAAGTTTCAAAAAGCTTCAAACTTAGCAAACGTTAAACCTTTATTCAAAAAGGATGATCCTTTCTTAAAGAAATACATGCCTGTCATTAAAGTCGAAACATCTAGGTATCAACTATTATATCAAAAGTATGTTGACAGGTAAAACACATTTCAGATTGTAGGCATTATGAAACAACACTTTTCATTACTTTTTCATTGCATAGTTTTGTCATCGTCGGATACCCACGGTTGGTTAACATGTAACATAACATAAAAAATGTTAATGGTTCGGCCGTGCGTATCCTACGATGAGTTTTGTAGGTTTTGATAATTAATTTATTTTGAAAATAAAATTAAAGAATATGCGATGTTACTTGCTTTTCCCCATAGTTTTTCCAAATTATAAAGATTCAGATTAAGTAAAATAATTAAGTCGGATTTCCATATCTTCATATATTTAAATTATATGAAAATTGTTTTACAAGACCTAATAAAATATTGCAATACCAACTACACAAATTTAGGGACCGTAAATTGTCTTGAAATTGACAAAATACAGAATACAAAATATAGATTTCTTGCTCTATCAATCATTTTAAATTACTAGTGATATTCTATGTTTAAGATGTTGAAATATAATATAAATATCGTTATAGAGGTATATATAAGAAAGTTCTGTTATTTACTGGAAATAAGTGATGTACATTTTCACTAATGTATTCTGCCTGTGTCCTAGATTATGACCGTCCTAGTTTCTGTTTCATATAGATATGTATGTAAACAAATAGAACATTTTAACATGTTCTATTCAAAGTATTGACATGATTAAACATTTCAGACACAGACGTTGTCTGTTATTTATCTATACATTTTCTGAAACATTTAATTGAAACGCTTGGCATCTTCTTATATTTTATTATTTGACGAATTATTGGACATCAGTATTTTCGGATTGTTGTTTTCGGATATATGCTGAGATTCGAACGGTTTGTTTCTATACATTTTCATAAATTGTGCTTGTAAGCGAGTCAGTAGGCTAAAGTTAGTTGGTAATTTTACATTTTACTCAATTTATTCGAATAGTTTAAATGATATCAAAGAGCCTTGAATGGAGGTGTATTTTGTACACCTTATAGATGTAAAACATAAATTACTACTTGACAAAATATTTGATAATTATGTTTTAAGCATCACAGCGACCAATTTCTTTTATATGTTTGCATACCTGATTTGCTCATATTTCAATCAATTTCAATGATATTGTAAAATAAATTGAAATTGTGAAAAAGTGTCGTATAATTTAAATTATAATGTATTAGTATTTTGTATGGAAGTCAAAATATTGTTTTGTTTACATTTTGCTACTGCACGCTTGAGCAGAGCTACTTCCTTCAGTATTAAAACATGTAACATACTGTAAATTTATGATTAAATATTATTCTATTTGATTTTGTATTGTAATACAATCATATCATTTGCGTCGCTTAATATCTGTTCACTATCTTTTGTTTTAGATGAAATACAAGGTGTTACTTTGTTCAATTGTTAATTTTTTATGCAGGTAGAATCAGCCTCAGGTAGGAAATGCCACGTTCAATCACCAAGGTCGTTACACCAAAGATGACCCGAGAAGGTGGAGGGTTCATGGTTAGACGTGTGCTTGGTGGAACGGCTTCATCATGTGACCCATTTTTGATGCTCGATCACTTCGGTTAGACAATTTTCAAACATTTTTCGAAATTTGATTTTTTAAAATATAGTTTTATGTTATTTATCAATCATTGCATCTTTCAATTAATGAGAGTAATTTAGATCCAAACACACGATTACGAGAATAATCTTAGATAATCGGTCAGAATTCCAACAGTTATATTATCTATGAATTACGGACATACGATAAAATTATATAAAGCAAATGAGATTACCTTAAAATCACCATTGCAGATACAATTTATTTCAGCATTAGGTACTATACATTATTTCTAGCCAACAATAATAAAATTATGAGTAATGATAGGTCGTACTAAGCTTCCTTTAGTGCTCTCATTTAAATAAAGAAAACTATGATAAATAAAAAGAGATTGTGTCGATTTCTTTTAACATTATTACAGTATATTTAAAAGCTTATGTTTTCATTATTGCTATTTTAGGGCCCGTAGATCATGGTCCAGGAGAAGCTATAGGGGCACCAGATCATCCACATCGAGGATTTGAAACTGTAACTTACATCATTGATGGTGAGTCACAACACAAGGACTCACAGGGTAACACGGGGGTTCTGGGTCCCGGCTGGGTTCAGTGGATGACCGCCGGAAGTGGCGTAGTACACTCTGAGATGCCGACAGAGAAGATGCAGAAATATGGCGGGCGCATGGAAGGTTTTCAGTTGTGGGTGAATCTTCCCGCTGAGGTTAGGTTTCAATTGTCAAAATGTAGTATTAAAATGCATCATATTGTTTCGATAAATTTCTTGCTAGAATGTCATGGTATATTTATATTTTGAGTGATTAAAGGAACCTTATCGAGGTACATATCCTAAAAATATAAAATTTGAATTTCTTCCAAATATCAGCATGAATACTTTAAACAGAAAGACGTGCAGAATTCAATGAAGGAATAAACTCGGAAAAAAAGTTGAAATTCGTATTTTTGTGTTATTTGTGAAAAACGTTGCATGATCTGAAATTCTTGTTCTAGACCTACATCAAATTGAACATTAATCTAAAAAATATTATTTCCAGTCCTGTCATGTCAAAACGCCTCAGTGGAGTCCATTTAAACTAATACAAAAATGCAGAAATATTGTATTTCACATTGGCAGAGCATAGCTAAACCATGAGTAAAATATAACTTGATGATTTTATACTAAATGTATAAAAAATCTAGTGTTTATACATTGATAATATTTTGTGCAATTGTATTATTGATGATGTTATATTTTTCAGGATAAAATGATTCCACCCAGATACCAGGATACTCCGCCTGATAAAATCCCTGTGGTTGAGTCACGTGACAAAAAAGTTCGAGTCAAAGTGATAGCTGGAGAATCAATGGGTATGTTAGATATGTCAACGTTATGATTACCAAATTATAAACACTTAACGATCGTGTCTGCAAGAGAGAACCGCCGCCAGGATTGTAAATGTCTTGTAAATGCATAAATAGTCTACTGCACAACGCAGTGAAAATATAGTTGTAAATACTGAAAAATCAGTCATTATTCGCACATAATATGTAAAATATAACTTAATTATTAAATCTTGAAACTTTTTACTTTTCCTTACATCATAGTACATTTTTCTCAAGTTTGATTTTATTGAAATATTTCGACTCACATCTGGAGGCATGTAGCTTTTAACACTGGAAAGCATGAAATAAAATATTTATATTAAATATAGAATAAATTACGTGCTATATATATATTAAAATGTTCAGGTACAAAAGCTTACATCGACACGAGGACGCCAATTATGTATCTGGACATCAGTTTAGAACCATTTGCAAGTTTCAGTCAGACTGTACCCGACAGTTTTGATGGGTTCGTCTATGTCTGGAGAGGATCTGGTAAACATTTTAACAATATTGAAATATCATACTTCCAAATTCATGACTTTAAAAAAATATATAATTTGTGAATGTGTTATCAAGAGTATCAATAAGTTGATTTTACCAAGCCGCATTGTTAAACTATTCGCAGTAAGCAATATAACCCTTTTATGGTCGTCGTGTTTCTTATAAAAGAAATCCCATGAGTATGTGTGGATTGTAAGACATAAAATAAAACAAGGTAATATTTGTTGTTTTAAGTCAGTAAAAGACTGAAACTGTTACAACGAGAAAAAATTCATAACGTGTCAGAATAGGCAAAAAGAGCCAGAATTGCAATAAGATGTTTCTATCTTTCATATATTAAAATAATACATACAATACGAGGTACAATGTGGTTATTTTGTGGGTTTTTTTGCAGGAAAAATAGGAGGACGTGAAATTGGACTTTATCAACTTGGGTTTCTTGGTGCGGGTTCAAATCTTGATATAACAGCAGACAAAGATGGTACGTGTATCTTTACTATAGTTTGATATAAAAACGCGGCACTCAGGTTAACGCAATTTTGTAATTTTACCGCTTTGACTGATACCCATAACTCTCAGCGAAGAACCACCTCGGTTGTGGTTGACAAATTTATCGACGGAATTATCTATTCCTTTTATATGTAGTTTTCTATGTTTACAATTCTGTGTGGAAGCAGTGTTCACCAGACTGAGTTGATAGAAAGTCAAAGTTCAGTTTAAACTGTACATGCTCAAGATATTTCTTACTACCCAACACCACGTCTTGTTTCTGTTTTATGTGTTCATGTTTTGTTAAATATACGGTACTAATTTATTTTATTTTTTACAATTATCTTGTGAACAATTGGAAGGTTGTCGTTTGAGTCTGATAGCGGGACAACCATTGAAAGAGCCTGTAGTATGGCATGGACCTTTTGTGATGAACACAAGAGAACAAATAGAACAGGTCAGTATACTTAAATCTACCGGAAATGTTTAGCCTTTGCCAGCAGTATAGAGCCAGGTTAGCTGCTTGAACTTCCATACAGTCTTATCAGGCTTAATACTTTATTCCCTGCGGTCTGGAGACCGCAGGGTATTGGTACGCGTTTAACTTTTGAGGCATTGAGGAGCACGTGACCTGTTTTCGGTACATGGAGGAGCATGTGATCTGTAAACCGTATATGATTGGTTAATTGACCTTTTCGAAAACCCAGCTAAATACCGTTTGCCGGTACGTTACGGATTTACCTGACAGTGTAGAGAATAGTCCGAATTATACCTAATTGAGAACTAAAAACTATTACGTGATATTTCTAATTTTCTATAATTATTTTACCGTTTAAGGTGGAAAAACTTGAATGATGTGTTTGAAAATTATCAATGTTTCATTAATATCTATCTCAAATTTTACAAACAATAAATTATTTATACCAAAATCTACAAAATTAAAATATTCGTAGTGTATAGAGATAGAGATATTTTCTGCGTAAACTTGTGTGTTTACTTTATTTGTTTTTTGCTCGGAATCATTCATAAAATGGTAGGCCTATTTAATCATTTTCTTAAAAAGAAATAATTCTTTTATGTTCGACCTTCTCCGGTCTTCAACGGTCACTAGTTTCCAAAGACCTTCTTTTATATTGATCGATTATTGTCAACTATATTCCTGATACAAACGTTTATTTATCCCCCCTCCCCCAAATAATGTTGAAAATAGTTAAATGAAATATCTTAATATCATTAAAATGTTCATCGCAGGAAACCATTTTACTTGTTTTAATATATACTTTCTATGATTATGATGTCCCCAAACCTGATAATTGACAGTTCGAAACAATAGAAGCTGGACTAGCAGGAAGTTATATAGGTTAACTACACTTGGTCAATACAAGATTGCCCTCTTGTGAATTTTGTAGAGAGGAGCCTCGTTGCATGTCACCTTTCCTGACTGGTCTTCATTATCAAATTGCATATCTAAAATTTTAACCCAGAACGATAATATTGTTGCTTATTTTTAATTATCGTTTTGCTTATCACAACTAAAGCGGAAACGGGGAGGGCGGCCGACATTTGTCTAGTATTTTACGACAAGCGTTTCGGAATCAGGATCATCCAAGTCTTATGGTTTTCTTCAGCTACAATGCTTTCTCCCCTATCCCTGTGTTAATACGTACTTACTCGTGCGACTTTAGTGTTATTATATTTTTCTGGTCCTTCGGGATTATCGATGCCAGCACTATTAAGTGTTGAGAATTGAGTACCGCTCAAGCCGGTGCTAGGGGCGCGAGGGATGTTGCACGTATTCATTATACCTCATGTACAGACTAAATCAGACCGACTCTGCAATTTTCATGTAATTTTGTTATGATTAATGCTTCCGAGGGATCACTTTGTTCCAGATTTTCATTCCATGATGCCAATTTTAGTATGTTGGCAATTCTAAGCGCGAATAATAATGTTTACAGCGAGCTGGATAGACCCAAATACCATGTGTAAATCTTTTAGTCAATATGCTAAGTTGTGACTTGTACTTTAACATATATTCATTACATGTACATATTCATGTCTGATTTCAGGTTTTATAATGTAATAATTTGTTGTTATTTTCAGGCTATATCAGATTATCACAGTGGTAAACTCGGTAAAATTGATGGAATGGAGGAGAGAATGAAACAAACAGAACAAGCCAAACAAAAACAAAAGCAATCAGGAACATGGGATAAAAGATAACCATGTTTAAAATTGACAAGAGATGAGCATAAACATGTGTACTGAATTTTAGTATGCCTAAAGTTGAGATTTTTTATTGTCTTTCAAAGTTTGTGTGTGTTGTCTTTCATAATGTGATATTATAATGTAATACCTTAACGTATTTTAATCGTGTGATTGAATCATATTCACTTCATCAAATTATTCTATTTTTCTAACAAGTTTTGTTGCCTGTCATATTTAATACAAGGTGCCATGTCTAGCTATTGAATTTTCTTTCTCTTTTTTCTAATGTGTGCTATTATTTCTTCTGCCCCCTATTTCAAACAAATACTTATGTCCTTTATATTTATTATTTAAATTGCCGTATAATCCTTATAAGTTATGATGGCTTATCAGTTGTCTTTTGCGTTATTTTCATATAAATTCTGTTCTCATATAATTTATATAAGTATTGCTGACCTATATTCCAATCAAAAGTCATATAAATTACCGTATGTTTTTTTTATGTTTAAAGCACATTATTTTTTGTTTATCTGTAAAACTTATACTTTGTCCTTTTTGAATGCGTAAAACTAAAGTGTCACCTACAAACAGTTATCATTTTATCTTTTAGTTGTAAACACTATTTTTCTATGTCCTTACATTTTTCATATTCACAGGTTTGTAAACTTTACTAAAATTATTTGTAACGTTAAACTTTATGTGCCCTTATGATAAAAAAACTTGTCACATGTCTCCAGTTGTTTTCTTTTTCGATGAAAGTTAGTTGTCAATTAATACGGTGACATGCATGTCCGGCTTTGCTTCTGTAAAGAATGTAATAAGTCAATATAGAGACTTCCATGACCGACTGGTTGAGTTCGTTGACTGTAATTAACTTGCCTCTCACCACAGGGACGTTGGATTCTTTCATGCGAAGAAGCAATCCTACTAGCTTGCGGATATCGGTGGTTATACACGGGTGTTTGTACCTGTCTGAATTTATGCACGTAAGTGTCTTCCTTCACAAAAAAGCTGTCAAGGTCGCAATATGACCTGTACTGTGTAAGCAAACAGAAAAGATCGATAAAGATACAATTTATACATTTATGTGCATTAATACAAGATGACAAAAAGTTTTAGAGGGAAATGAGGCGAGTGTCACATAGGTAGTCGGGGAGAGGGAGTATCACAAAGGAAGTCCGGAGTGGATGATGACCAGGCGAGTGTCACATAGGTAGTCGGGGAGAGGGAGGTTGGCATGTCAGTGTCACAAAGGAAGTCCGGGAGGGGAAGGTTGGCAGGCGAGTATCACATAGGAAGACTGGGAGTGGAAGGTGGGCAGAGGATGGAAGAGGATTGTTGTTAGTGTGGGAAATGTCTTCAAGAAGTTCAAGAACATATTGGTGTATGCAGTTTGGTTCTTGGTTCTGTCAGTAATGTAACAAGGAGTTGTCGCAATCGAAGATTTTGGTGTGGTGACAGATATTGTGGTCACAGAAGACAGACTTGTAGAATCTCTAGAAACTGAATGGAAACGTGTTTGAGCTGTTATTCTAGCAGGAAAAATATAGTTTAATTGAATATGTTAATGTGGTTAACTCGGGTAAAATATATATGTAAGTACCTGTAATTTAACTTCAGATACAATCTACAATCTTACTTACTTAAAAACTTAATTTTAAATAGTTCCTGTGTTAAAAAAGGAAGCGTACTACAACATATAGCAAATCTTTGTTTAATGAAATTATAATGCATTATAGGAGATGGTTAGCAATTAAATTCTGCAATGTAACGTTCACTTTATTGGCGGAATCCGTCCGTTAATTTAATTGAGGATTGAACCTCCGTTAAAATTTAACAGATGGATTAGAAACGGTTTGTGTGATATTCATTTTTTGTATGCATTGCCAGTCATATAAATGAAACATATGCAAAATTTCAAAATGGATATAGTGAAGAAACAAATTTAACTAATTCCTTATACTAGTATAGTTCCTCTTGCTGAAATTGGAATAACATTGTTTCAAACGTATTCTGTACCATGTCACATTACATTAAATGGGTATTCTCAGATATCGTAAAAAACAATCAATCCGCGCTAAAGAATATTATGATAATTGGTTATAATTTTAAACTACTGACAGACCTCACAAAGTTAGTATTACATTTTTTCCTCCGCCAACTCGCACGGCAAATGTCCTCATGTCAAAGTTCGAAGTTTGTTACTGTTAAATAGACTATGTTCTATGAAATTTAGAAAAAAACAGTTCATCTCTAATTTTTTTTAATTTTCTTTAATTTTCCGTACAAAATATTAATTTAATATAATCATACAAGTTACCAACAGAACTCAAGATACAAAAATTGGAAACTGTACCAAGATACCAACAATAAACAGTTATTGAAAAATAAAAAATGATAGCATTTCTGAGACATTATCGACCTTTCAGGGTTCTAATTTCTAGCAGACATGTTATATTTTTCGAAGAGGAGAGTTTGTGGTGGTACATGACTGTAATGCGGCCACGTTTGTATAAGTTTGTACAGTGTATCTCCCGGACAATCCGTATTGTTATTAGCGTCCCTGTGGCCGTAAAGTCGGTAATTCGGATACAGCATATTGTTAACTTCTGCACAGTGTATCAATCCCCGTAACGCTGTAATGATAATATATACTCTTTGTTTCCACTTTTCCACTGTATTATATTATTACTTGTAACTTAATCAGTAATGATAACATATTTGACAAATACATACATGTGCAAAATATAAACAATATTATTATTCAGTTACGTACGTAACAAGGTGAACATAGTTTACAGATACAAAAATGCGTTCAATACAATATGTTAAGATATTATGTATTATAAAATAACGTCCAATGTAAAAATAATTCCATTTAACACATGTGATTAAGGCATTCAACATTTCACAGAGTGATCAAGCTAAAAATAGTTTCAATTATTATTATAGGTAACAGAAAATGTATTATGTGTATTCATTTTGCTGTGCCAAAACAAGAGAGTATACAGAAATGACGGTTTTACATGGGGTTATGTGTATCATATTATTACTTGTAACTTAATCATTGCCAACATTTCTTTAATCTCCTGTCTTAATTCCGTACTTACCGTCTAGAGCCTTTTTGTTTGGATTTTTTTTCATGTAATCTCCAATAACAGATGTGCCCAACGACTGAGAATTGTAGCCTTTCGTATGAGATCCAACGTGAGTCCAGCCTCGTCCCTCATACACAAAACCGTCTTCACCAACCAAGAAATTATATCCGATATCAACCCAGCCTAAATAAAACAATTCCACTGATTATATCTTCGTTCCTGTATGATCTTATATAAAGATGTATTTGTACCCGTGGGACACGTGAGTTATTTTTATGTGTAAATAACGAATTGAAAACAATTTGGACAAATTTAAAATTATTAAGTTTAAGTTATTTTCCAGTTCACTCAACATTTACACTTAGATAGACATAATGCCACATAAAATAGATGAAAGAGGAATTTGTTACTAGGGTTTTCCTTTTTAGCTAATAAAGATATGCCACGAGCTTGCGGAGCCGAAATCAGGGGTATGGACGATAGGTTACTTTGACAAAATGCATTCAAAAGCAGCCTCAATCAAAATAAAAACTCTCAATTAGATTAAGCTTTCAACGTGTTCAATTGTGCCGTACTGGACAAATTCCAGGGCTTTCCTTTCTCCCTTTTACTCTGCCTACGATCTTAATTGTTCTAAAAGAGTATACGAACAACAAAATGAGACGCGTCATGACAAAACCAACGTAATGCGATTGCGACCAGCATGGATCCAGACCAGCCTGCGCATCCGCGCAGTCTGATCAGGATCCATGCTGTTCGCTTACAAACTCTTTTACAAATAGAGAAACTGATAGCGAACAACATGGATCCTGATCAGACTGCGCGGATGCATGCTGGTCGCAAACGCATTACGTTGGTTTTGTCATGACGCGGCTCAAATAATCATGTTTTTGATACCTCTGTAGTCCATATGAAATTTCTGTATGCCCCTTACTGCAGCCGAACACGCCTTCAAGTCAAAACATTCTGGAGTATCTGTATGATGTATAAAGAACTCGGGCACGGGTAGTGTTAGGTTTTCCGTGCTTTTAGGTGCACGTGCTCCCCATTGCGCACGTGTGATAATTTTAATGTCCGAACAGGTGGGACCCTTTCCTGTAATAAATTTATAGTATTTAATTTGTGAAAGCAAAACAAAGTACACAAATAATCAGTGTTCATCTTATGTACTCTGATTTTTGTATCCATGATTTTAATACAATTTTACAGTTAAATAAAGTTACAATTAGAATATTTTGATTTTTGTGCAATAAAGGCAAATCTTTACTAGTGTCGAATAAAATAAAACACGTCAATAAATCAATACATCAATAAAATGTAAAAAATTTAAACAGACAAGTGTGTTGTGTATTTGTTTAAGATATATTTACATTATGATGAACAATATTTACACAATATATTTGGGATTAGGCAGAAAGCTATAAAAGCTTATGAATGTCCTGTTTTAGTATTTATCAAATGTGCTTTATATCTATATACATGTAATTAATCGATTTTTCTATTATTGAATACAGTTTAATATTTTTTTACATTTAATGATTTCATCGTCATTAACATCATTAAAATGTATTATTTTAGGTAATATATATTTCTAATTGCTTGGTATTCATGGTATTCAAAATGTCCAAATCGAGTAACATATCAACCTTTTCCTTGTCATTAACCTTAATATACCGACGACAATCGTCTTAGAATAACGTATAGCCATCTTTTCATAAAAAAAAAATGTTTTCAATTTGCAGAATCTGATATAAACGATTTTACCCTCTGTTTAGTTAAATATGTGGGGGTGGGGCTGATAACTTGAGAACATAGTTATAGATATATAGAACAGATCTATTTAAACGTGCATTGCCAATCAGTACGATTTTTAGAGGTTATAAAATTCTATTTTCTTGAGAATAAAACCTACCTGTTACAACGATTTTTAGAGGTTATAAAATTTTATTTTCTTGAGAATAAAACCTACATGTTACAACGATTTTTAGAGGTTATAAATTTCTATTTTCTTGAGAATAAAACCGACGTATTATGATTTTTATATTATATTTTTCAAAAAAACAGAGCAATTTTCTTATATACATTTCTATACATGCAAAGTACGTACATTTAAGGTACATGTACTTGTATTTGATTTACTAGTGTATTTATCAGTGAACTTGGAATATATATAAAACTGTTAACATATTATAAAGTATAATTTACCTTGTTTATTTGATAGAATATATCCATTAACAGTATATCCAAACAGTAATATTAACACTGTATATATGCTAGTTAAACCCATATTTATTTTGTTGTTCACAGCAGCCAATAAGCGAACACAATCTTCCTGTATCTTCAATATACAGACGGTTATATAGGATTTGAAACGTTCTTTTTAACTTCCGCATTTATCATTTATACCTCTTTTTTTCAAAATGTAGCATGTATAACATGGTTATGTTTAATGATGCATACAGTCTCATGTACATTTTTTTAATCTCTGTATTAAACTTAAACGCTGAATTTCTTAAAATTTGTAAACTTAATTAGATAGACCTAGGTACGAAAAGGCCTTGATAGTGTTGGTATAACATTTGACCGAATCCTTTAATAAGTACTTTATAATTATTATATTAAAGATATTAATGATGATAATTTATGTTTATATATGATTTGTTTATCAATAATGTTCAAATATAAAACTCCTAAAAGGAAGTTAAATTTCCGATATGACATGAATATAGCCGGGTGAATATGCAAACAAAACAGAGAAAGATTTGTCGTCTCTCTTTGAAAGAAATAAATTTAGTGATAGGATCAAACTATATGTAAAACTTCCCTGCCGCAGGTAAACATATATTTTTCCTCAATAAAACATAAGGAAGGAAATAGATCTATTTGGTTTGATATGCTTCCTTTTGTACAACATCATTTGACTGTCAAATCATGCAATATTACAAAATACCGAATATAATCGTTCAGTGTAGGTATATCCCAGGATCAGATCACTATCAGATTAGTTACACAGATACTGTTGTAAGAAAATTGTTTCGCATTTCTTTTTTAAGACATATTCAAATTAAAGCTGTGACCCATTTACTTAACCTCTGTGAAATTAAGCATCCCTGCGTAAGGCCCTATGATCTATACTATAGGACCCGGTAACAAATCATGAAGGAAATCAGTGGCAATATATAAATGAGACGAAATTGATGCATATTTAGTATTGTATCAGAACAGGTTAGTTGACAATTCAAGGATGGGTGTGACTATAGTGAGGCCAGGTTTGAATCTCGTGATAGAGAGAATCTCCTGGACAGTCCGTCTGTCCGGCATCTCGGTGCCCGTACAGTCTGTAGTCGGCAGAGATCTTCCCCAGGTGAACACCGCATGCGATCAGATTCTTTACAGCTGTAATAAAATAACTCCAGTTAATAAAATAACTCGAGTTAATAAAATAACTCGAGTAATAATATAGATTAAGGTAATATCATGAGTTAGCACAACCATACAGACTAAGGGTGATATAAACAAAGCGATCATCAATAACAGCAGCAAATAAGTAAGTCGAATGCTTAATAAGGCCAGAGGAGTTGGGCGTTAGATTTCATTATGAAATTACAATAACTAAGAGAATAAAACAACTATTAATCTCCGTATAACTTAATGATATGAGCCATGCCACGACAAAACCAACATAATGGGTTTTCGACCAGCATGGATCCAGACCAGCCTGCGCATCCGCGCAGTCTGATCAGGATCCATGCTGTTCGCTATCAGTTTCTCTATTTGTTATATATGGTTTGATAGTTTGAAACCATATAACAAATAGAGAAACTGATAGCGAACAGCATGGATCCTGATCAGACTGTGCGGATGCGCAGGCTGGTCTGGATCCATGCTGGTCGCAAACCCATTATGTTGGTTTTGTCGTGACGCGGCTCATATATCCAATTAATTTGCAAGAAAAGAGTCTAAAAATCTAACCAAACACCAGTAATACACGCACCTGCTAGTGCCTTTGAATTTGGCAGGTGAGACATGTAACTTCCAATCATAGAGGCAGCGAAAGCTTTGCTGTTATACCCAGCTGTATGTGCACCCACATGAGTCCAGCCCCGACCCTCATATACGTTTCCATCCTCACCCACCAAAAAGCTGTAGCCTATATCACTCCATCCTGTAATACACATAAAATAATATCATGTGTGGTGCTAAATGTCGCAGCATTGTAACTAAATGTAGCTACAACCGCTATATGCCGCACACCTCCAGCTAAAATGTACTTGTACCATTTGATGGAATATATATACTTCTTTTCTTAATAAATATCAAAGTCAGTAAAACTCTGTTCATATGATGGAATATCTACTTTTAATTGTTAAAGATAACCTTTAACCCTGTGAAACGTGTCGCCGATTTACACTTACTTAAATGTACATTGTAATAGCACAAAATTCTAAGATGTTTCTAACCTCGACTGTCCATATGATAATTTTGTATGCCCCTTACTCTAGCCGAACATTCACTTTGTGAGCTGCAGGAGGGACTCTCTGTGTGGTGTATGAAAAATTCGTGCACAGGCACGTGCATGGCTGTCACGTGCTTTGGGTTACGTGCGCCCCACTGACTACGGGAAATAATGTTTACATTTGAGCATCCTCCGCTTCCTGAAACATATTTTCCTTTAAAACTATTTTTTAAAGATTTGAAGTTTAATTATGAAAGGAGGAGAACACCATAAACGAAAGAAAAAACAACAACAATAAATGAAATTACTCTTTATTCAAAATTTATTAAACCGAATAACTATCGGAGGATGGTTGACCATAAGGGATAATTATACCAGCGTTAAAATTATTCTGACAAACATTTGATTACTTGTGTTTATAGCCAAGCAAACAAAACTTGAAGCCTATACAGTCAAAACAACTAGTTAATTAATGTTCCCTCTGGGAGAGACAATACAGCATACCTGAAGGCATGCAGCATCGCCTTGACGCATGCCCAGAACACAATCCGCTGACGTAACTTCCGGAACAATGTATATTGTCTTCTTGACATGTACCAGACGCTGAAGTGCAAGGGACATCAGACCCTGGAAATATTCGTTCAACAGAAATGTCATTGAAAAACTACAAATCTTCTACAGAGTATAACAAATAGAACATGATGGACTAACATTTACCATCTAAGCTTGCATATTCGTAAGTCTGAAGTTTTGAAGAACAGTGCGTACTCGGAGCCACCATTTAATAACATACAAATTTCTTTATTATTTACCCCCCCCCCACCCCCCACACACAAAGAAAGGTAATAAACTCTTTCAACAAATAAAACTACATTTAGCATGTATCTGTGTCGAGTATTTTATATTAATCAGTTCAATGAAAACAAACGCTTTTCTTTAGCGTTCGACGTTTAGTCCTCTTCAGAAAAAAAAACGTTTATTCTTTTTTTTATTTATTTGTTTTTGTTGTATTGATACATAAAAACATTCAAACATGTTTGGCCTTAAAGCGTGCATCTTTTTATAGCCAAGTGTAAGATAAACTCCTCTACTAGTTCACAACTATCTACCACATTCTTTCTATCTATGGTCTAGGATTTGATCTGTATGTTATCTTGCCCAGTAAAACAATCTGACAAAAAGTGATCCCTCGGAAGCATTTATTACAACGAAATTATATAGAAATTGCACGCTCAGTTTGATTCAGTCTTTACATGAGCGATAATGAACAAGTACTACGTCCCTCACGCCCCCTAGCACCGGCTTGAGCGATATTCAATTTTCAGCACTTAAAGTGCTGGAATCAAGGTTCCCGGAGGACCAGAAAAATATAACAACGCTGAAGTGAAGTAGGGGGTATTTTTTTACAGTTGCCACAAGGCTCTTGACACCTGCTGTTGTGAAGTATAAAAATTTGGGAAAAAAATGATACCTTGGAAGCATAAATTACAACAAAATTACATGGAAACTGCAGAATCGGCATGATTAAGGTAGTTAAAAATGATTTAGTGATGGTGTTTTTTTTGCAGAGACTTTTTCTTAAACCATCGATCCATTTTTCGTCACTAAAGCAATACAGCTAAAACTTATTAACGTATAAGTACAAAATGTGATGCGCATATTATATACACAACATCGTATACGTTGTTTAATAAAGCATAAGCATTACTAGAAAATAATGTGACAGTCGAAAGGACTGCTGTGGCGAATGAGACGTTGAGATTTAGACGTTGAACACAAATAATATGATAGTAAATATCACAGAGTGAGACACCAGAAGACTGACACACACACACACACACACACACACGAACATGGACACTGAAACGGTAGAGTGCATTAAAATAAGCATGTGGCAGGGATATCAGCATCAAATTAATTCTCGCCCAAAAATCTGTTAAAGAAATGGTATATCTGCATATATGCTCAAAGCAAGTACTTACCAAGCACGGCTCTGGGTACCACACCTAATATAACAGCTAAACATATTATTATGTTTACAGCCATCGTCATCTAAATGTAAACTTGTATGACAATGTAGATATCGTCTGTTTAAAGACAAGTGTGACACGTTATCAGCCGACAGAATTGCTTATCTATTTAGGTAAGTCAAACAGGTTCAGTGTCAATAAATCTGATTGCTACTGAATATTAATTATGTCTTCCACAGTCTGTGTAAATTGAGCGTTTTTAATGTTTCTCCACTTATTTTCAGTTTGAGTCACATATTATGACGTAAGAAATTATACTTAGTTTAGTTGATATGTAGACACTATATCCTCACATGTATAAGTTGATAGTCTCGTCCATATATTCAATTCCATATACAAATAAAGCAATGCCCTAATTGTCACAAGTTGAATGAAGACTATCACATTGTTATTAGAAGTCCTGGTATTTTGGAACTGAGGAAAACAATTTTATCAGAAAGCATTTTGGCGGCACCTTTATTTGTTTGAAAGGGAATGAGTCCCCGAATCACTGTACACAAGATAAAAAAAACCCAGAAAACAACAAACAAATAAACAACAACAAAACAAACAGCCATTTTTAAGTAAATATTTTGGCCACATGAGTATTACAGGAGATTTTCTAATATTCTTTATCCTATCTCTTTAGGGGGTAAATATTAAATGCCTACTGTAGTAGTGTTGTATTGTGCATTACTTCATATGTCAAAATAAAAGAGCTTGATCAATAAAGAAGAATTACATTAAATAATGCACGTATTTTATATCATTATTTGAATATACTTTCTCCCTTTCTTTACCTTTTACGACGGTTAAATGCAAAACCAGGCATAAAATGGCTAATAAATCTGTTTTCCCAGGACCACATTTAATCATTGTGCAATTTTATTGCTGTATTAACTGCAGTGTGCAAATGTTGAAAATAAATTTAAAGTAATAAAATAAATCGCTTGTGTTTTGATCAAAAGATTGTTGCTACGTTTTTGTTGTTGTTGTTGCTATGTTTTTGTTGTTGGTGATGTTGTTTGGTGTTGTTCAAGTATAAATTCCGCGCATTTTTCTTCGTGCTTGTTTGTTGGTTGGATGATGTTTCGCTATTTTTTGTTTTTGTTTTTTTTTGTTAAACTCATAATGTAAATATTATCTGTGAGAAATAATAAATAGACACATGGGATAATTAACTTTCTACAAACAGTTACCATATACAATGTACTTTATACCTAGATAGTATATAAGGATATATACGTATTCTACATGAAAGTTAAGAAGTTGTAATGTTTCAAACATCACCTATCTTTCACCTTTTGATAATTCAGCTATTACCAGGCTAATGGCAAAAGTATGATAGACAGCCTTAAGCATTTCAGCTTCATATTTACATAGATTTTTAACAGTTTTAACAATTTCTTCTTCATTAAATTCAGGATTTCAGCTTCAATATCTCATAACTACGGAAGAGCATTAGTGCCAAGTGTATGATTTTTATTAACTCGAAATTTCGAGTTACTTACTCGAAATTTCGACTAACTTATCTCGAATTTCGAGTTACTAAGAGTTACTTATCTCGAAATTTCGAGTTGCTAACTCGAAATTTCGACTAACTTACCCGAAATTTCGACTTATTAACTCGAAGTTTCGACATACTAACTCGAAATTTCGAGTTACTTATCTCGGAATTTCGACTTAATAACTCGAAATTTCGACTTATTAACTCGAAATTTCGACTTACATTGCACGACTTTCATTGGTTGCCGGTGAAAGCAAGGATTGAATTCAAGATACTTTCTTTAGTGTGTAGCTGTTGCACATTGATAGAGCACCTTTAACATTTATTTGACAGAGCAATTTAATAGGGTCAAATTGTCCATATGTTTCGCTTATTGTGGAGGGGGGGGGGGGGGTGTAAAATCACACTTTCCACATTTCCGTGTTAACCGGATGTTTCTTTTTCTTAAGCACACATACAACCATCATGTGGAGAAACAACAAGTCCAAAACCTACCCTATTGTAAACTGTGCAATATCATGTGTTAAATAAGTTTTAAATGGCGTGTATACGCCAGTTAGTCTGTCACGTTCTGTTTTTGTAACATTATTCATTATTTACTAATACTTTGATTCATATTGTGTTGGTAAAAGTTGATAAAAGTGGAACTTGTTGTTATATATATATGATTGGAATAATATAAAAGCATCCGATTTTACAAGAAATATAGTCAGTCCAACAATTTTGACAAAGGCCTAAGCACGCCCTATTTTGGCCACGCCGCGATACTTTCCTCAGATGTCCCACACGTGAAGTATAGGATCGTTTTATTCACAGGGATGAGAAGAATATGATTAGCGAAAAGATATGTTCGAACAGATGGGATACAATACAACGTGTGAAGAACGCCTGAACGTACAAATTAAAGGAAGCTTTGTTTTTTTTTTTAGGTCGGGTGTGTACATGCCATTACTAAGTTTAAGTTTCATTTCAGTAGTTTTTGTCCAGGCACCCGTTCCTCCATCTCCATCGTTCAACGGCACTCCCTACTATATCTTATACCATCTAACTAATAACTTTGGCCATTCTTGTAATGTTAATAAGCCGAAATTTCGAGTTACTAAGTCGACATTTCGAGTTACTAAGTCGAAATTTCGAGATAAGTAACTCGAAATTTCGAGTTAGTATGTCGAAATTTCGAGTTAATAAGTCGAAATTTCGGGTTAGTAAGTCGAAATTTCGAGTTAGTAACTCGAAATTTCGAGTTAGTAAGTCGAAATTTCGAGTTAGTAACTCGAAATTTCGAGATAGTAAGTCGAAATTTCGGGTTAGTAACTCGAAATTTCGAGATAAGTAACTCGAAATTTCGAGTTACTAAATCGAAATTTCGAGTTAGTAAGTCGAAATTTCGAGATAAGTAAGTCGAAATTTCGAGTTAGTAACTCAAATTGTATGACTGAATACTTAAAGTTATTAAAATATCTCTGTCGGTTTTTAGTACAAAAGCAGTCTAAAAGTAAAGCTACCAGGGAAAGGAACGAACACGCCTCCAGATGAGCCAAATATTTCATGACAGCCAGCTTGAGAAAATGTGCTCGGATTTTAAAAAAAGTCAAAAGATTCAAGTAATAATTTACATGTTGTGTGCGATTATTGCCTGATTTTGCAGTAATCACTGTCTATATATGACATGTTGAATTTTGCATTACGTTGTTCCGTATAGGGTCTACTTTTTGCCGGCTTCCATTATTTTCCCACCTTACAATGTGTTAAGTTTATAAGGCCAGGGATGCAAACAATTCCTTTACTACTAATTATGTAGTTGTTGAACCAGCTAAAATATAAAATAAATGGCATAAAATAAAAATAATGGTCTGTCAAAAATTCGAAAATACGTTATGTTAGAGTTTATTCACAAGTATCACTAGTAATCATTCTATCAAAACTGCTTATATCCGTACAACTTGTTCAACATTATCTGAGGGGTGTAAGGATGGGTGAATCGACCGAAAAACATTACCAGAAAAAATAGATATATTAACTTTTTTAAAGCTATAGGAATAGTGCATACATGTTACAGTGCAATGGAATGTATTTTAAACTGCGTTAAATGATATATAAATTAATATTATAGATTCAAGAAGTCAGTGGTGACAATTGTTGTAAACGTGACTTGATGTGTAACATCCTGTAACACAATTACATGTATAGCATAACATGTCCTGGTTTTTATGTAATCTTTAACAGGTCTATATTCACTATAAGTGCATTCAATCATTCAATGAAATTTTCATTACAAGGCGAACACGTAAATACAAATGTTATATATTTGGTAAGCTGTGGACATGACTGTGACACGTGTTGTGCTGCCAGGATAGCATATCAATTATCAACGATATTCAGAATACATCATTTTCTTGGAATCTACTTTCTCTTAATTTTCCCAGTCTGTTACCTGTCATATTAACAGCAAAGTGACATCCACTGATGTGTGATCTAACATATATATAGGTTGCACAAACACATTAAATTCTAGCCAAATTCTTTACATTATGATTTTATTAATACGAAGGAAAATCAACAAAATAGTACCCTTAATGTTCATAACACTAAACCAGCTGGAAATCGAAAGTGTTTTTCCATCAAGTTTAGAAACAGTCTCAATTTTTGTATTTTCTCATTGAAATTCCTTAAACTTTTAAAGGACCGACACAAATTAAAAGCAGGGTAAACCTATCACAGAAATTCTCTTAGGGGACATTCTCATTGCTCCTTTCTCTGATATGCCCATCTCTCAGACAGCATAACACAGTTTGTGAATGGTTGATTGGCGGAAAGTATCTTAAACACAAAAAAACACTCGGTGGATACAATCCGTTTAGCTGCCAATATTTAGCGCCTTAAATGTACGACACATTACGTATGCAATCAATTGACTAAAAATAGATTTTTAAAGAATAATATTTGTCGCCCGGCGTCGAATTCTTACGTCACAGCGTATATATAAATCGTGTCGCATGTCTTCTATTATACTTTGTCTAAGCTCTCTTGCTCTGGTGGAATAGCTGGATCTTACAATATCTAACAACTTACATGTTTGTGATGTGTTATATTTTCCTTTTTGAAATAAAGCAAATGCTGAGGGTTTTATTTATTTATTTATTTATTTATTTATTTATTTATTTATTTATTTATTTATTTATTTATTTATTTATTTATTTATCTAATTTATCTTTTAATTTGTCTAGATAAATATTTATTCATTTCATAATGCATTTAACTGTTTTCCAATTTTGTTTCAATTTTTTGTGTCATAAGGACATGTATCTCAAAGCTTTCCTGAGTTAATTAATTTGAATTCTTTTGTTGTCAGTCTGTGTCAACATGATTAATATTTATGTGTGTATTTTATAAGACTTTTAGTAAGCCTATTCTTCTAGTAAATATACAAATTTATGATCACGAATCAACATATTTAACTTATTATAGTTATACATCTGTATTTTGTAGATTGTACATTCGGAGAAAATGCAGTTCTTAAAAGTAATGTTACTTGTGGCGGTTGTCTGTTTCATTTTCAACTTTGAAGGCGCCCTTTCAGATAATTGCGACTCTGTCAAATGCAGTGAACCCACTAATTGCAGAAAAGGAACATTTAGACTTAAGAATCAATGCTGTGACAAATGTAAAGGAGGTATTGAAGATATTTCTCTCATTTCTTTGTTAATTTCACCTTAAATTGCATAAAACTATCAAGCTTACTAGTTTTAAGCTATATGTACATCTTATGTTGCACGTAAACATAATAAAAATCGTCTTGACCAAAACTATTTTGCTATTATTTAAGATAGGTTTTTAACCTTATTGCAACGATTTTCTGCATTTGCTTATAAGAAATTTACAAAAATCTAAAAAAAGAGGGGATCCCTCAAAAGCAGTGAAAACGAGAAAATTACATGAAAATCGAGGTCGGTACATATCTGTTTCATAACTATTCTTCCTTTAAAATATGCCGATCCATTCCCGTCTATATTTTATCTATTTCACATCTTTATAACTAATTTCGTATTTAACATGGTCAAAAAAGTTTTGTTTTCATCTGCACAGAATGTGTTTGCTTCTTACAATAAAATGTATTTATCAATGTGCTTTAAATACAAAATCTACCTGGAATATTTCCCATTTGAATGTGTACGACATTCTTTACTACTAACATCTAAAACGTCTTTATTACTTGAGGCCTAGTCATTTCCATGTTCAAACATTGCCTTTAAACATTATAATTTGTGTTAAAGTGTGACTATTTTATATCGTTATTAAAGTCATTATCAACACCATTACTAAGGTGGAAACAAATATGGAAATACCAATAAGATATACGCATCCCATGCGTAAGACTTAAGTATTGTAATGTAGCTATACTATTTAAATTTTAGCAATATAATTTCCGTTCAAACGTCTTCAAATAAAGTAAAAGTAAAAAGTCTTCAAATGCTTATGTTATTATGCTTATGTTATTATGTACATGTATGTTTGTAAGTTTTCGCCTTTTGCACCATGCTTGTAATGGCATAAGGTTCACATTGTCTAATGGAATTAAAAAATTAAACATCGAGTAAACTGCTTCTATGTGTCACTTTCAGAATATGTCTGCCCTGCAAATCTAGAATGTAAAACTATAACGTGTAAACAAGATGACGATTGCGATCGTGGTAAAAAGTGTTGTGATTGTGTAGGTGCGGGCACCGTCTGTTCTAAAGTGACCGGCAATGCAGACAGCGACGAAACAAACAGTGAAGATACAGAGAGTGACAGCAAAAAGACAGTGTCCTATGAGAACACAAACCTTTGACATTAATAATTATATACATGTAGCTGATTTGTATTCAATAGTAGTATACAATAACCTACCATAGTGCGATCAAGAAATACTAGAAACAAAATTCATTCCGGTATTTTTATAGGAAATTTTGTATTAAAGGGTATATAGCTATATTTTATGAAATGTTTTTCTATAGTTTTTAAACAGTAAAATAATGCTGTATCGATAATCTTATGACTGATTCTACAAAACTAGTAACATAAAATGTTTCTGTTATTCTGCACATTAACAGTGTATGGACACTGAATTAAATGATCCGGACAAAATACTTTTCGTACAGATATTTTGAATGTACATTTGTATTATTTTTCAAAACTAAAATGACATTTTTGTTTAGGCAGATATATAGCTTTATGATAAACACTTTAAGTTAAGTGCGCATTTGGAATATTCAAAATCTGCAGAAGTGTATATTATATTCAAGAGAAAATAAAGATAAAACAAACATATTATTATATCATATTTTGAACTTCATACACAGTATTGTTGACATACTAGTAAAATAAAGAGAAAAAATATAATAAAAAACATTATTCATTATTTTACCTCATTTCTTTCATCAGCTGTTTAAAAAGAAAAATATGGCAAAGCTTTTCTTTTCTTTTTTCAGCGGTTAAATTTCAATGACCCAGAAATCAGTGCGTCTGCCCAAAATGTTGCCTGCAATCGTAAAACATTGGATCTTCCCGTATATCTCGGGTCAGAGGCTTCTATTGCGAGGCCTAATGGCCGAGGGGATCAGATTAAAATTAGTTATTAAGGTCCGATTAGATTAGATGGCAATATTGGAATTTCCCATATTGGCCACAAGCGGTGAAAATTACTTCATATAGTAATTGAATATGATTTATATCTTATCTAAGGCCATGCATTCACAAGCATTGGTGATAAAAGTCATTTAACGGTCATATGCAATCTTTTGAAGACTTGCAATATTGTTTGTAAATATTTTCTCCCAGAAATTGACTAGAGCTCAATCTGACTAAAGTTCAGATATACTTACATGTATTAGTTATTTGGGAACTGATTTAATCTTAGAGCAGGAATATTTACAGTAAAGTTTGTAGTCTTACCCTTTGATATATATTTACCAACTAATAAACATCGCCATATTCTAGTACTAGTATTGTCCGAAATCAGAGGAAAAAATAGATTTGTAACGCTGTCATAAATTGTTCAAACATTGCTACGTTATATGCATTTTTAATTAAACAAAATTTGTCTAAACAATGATGATTTAAATAATATGAACGTTTTGTTTCTTTGTCACAAGTGACAATAGCAGTATAGAGACAGTCAAGGCAACATAATCGCACAGTCATTCATATCTGTTTATTTAGGTAATATATATGTTATGGAAGGTACATTATGCCTCAAAATGCGTTGCTGTTGTTATTTTTGTTGTTGTTGTTTCTTTTTTATTGTTGGTGTTGTTTCTTTTTTTAATGTTGTTGTACTCTTAAGCATTTGAGTTATATCGCCCTGATACATTGAAAGAAAAAGAACTCACAGGCAACAAAACTATACCGTCTTTTAATTCTTATGCTTTTGGCAAATAGTACGATAATAATGATTTAGTATTGCGTATGGAAAAAAATCACTACCAGAAGTTTACATTTTGATACTTTGACAGTGCTACTTTTCTCCGATGATAAGTATTTCATTCATAAACATAACATAAAACATAACATAACATATAGTTTATTAGCATAATATTTTTAACAGAAGAACATGCTATTTCAAGTCCAGTTTTGTCATGTTTATATTAAATATTTATTCTATAAGAATAAACAATGGAGAATGTTTAAGTTTTTAGATTTGATCCTGATCCTTAAATTTTTGTGAACACGGGCCCCCGAGGTTAGTCAGTCATCTTTCCTGTTTCGGCGCCATATGACCAAAGTCTTCCAACCAAACAAAACAAATAACACAAAGCTACGGTATGTTGAACTATTTTTATCATTGATAACATGCCAAATGAAAGAAAATTGAAATACTTTGTTTCGAAACGTAGTTTTCTTGAGGTAATTTTTGGCTATTTCCAAACAAATGGCTTAATATGTAACAATCATTAAGACCTTCTTTATAACGTGCGTGCTCAATGCCTCACGTGACTTGGCCTGTTACAGTTGTCACATACAAATCATTATAAAACAAGTTGTACTTCCATCCTGTTTACTTCGTTATACAATGTTGCGTGTGCTGTGTTACGCTATGTTGTACTGCAATATGTTGTGTTATTCAGTTGTGTATGCTGCCCTGTGTTTCATGTTGCGATTTGTTGTGTTGCGCTGTGTTACCTTATGATGTAATGCAATGTGTTGTGTTGTTCTATATTATGTGTGCTACCATGTGTTTTGTTGCTATGTGTTGTGCTGTGTTGTGTATTGTTATGTTGTGTGATGAGGCGACGTATTGTGTTGTGCTGTACTACGTTGTGCTTTGTTGTGCTGTTTTACGTTTTTGTGCCCTATAATGTTGTGCTTTGTTACGTTGTGTTGCCCTTTGATTTGTTGCGATGTGTATGTCTTGTCTTGTCTTACGTTGTGTTACGTTGTTTTTTGTGAAGCAATGTGTAACATTGTGCCATGTTACGTTGTGTTGCCTTGTATTTTGCTGTGTTGTGTTGTGCTCTGTAATGTTCTATTTAGTATGTGACATAATACATGCACATATGTTGCATTATCCGTAGGCGGTTATAGATTTATATATACTGCGATTAACATATTCACTCAAATGTAAAAAAATAATTAAAAAAGTTCACGCCTATATATAATACTGTAGAGGGCGCGCGTCTATACAATTTGCACACGTCACTATTATTTTGCATTTGCGGTCTTGTAACAGACTTGTAAAAAACTGTGTGTATTTTATTTCTTACAATTTGCAGGAGTGAGATATCAAACCTAAGGCTATATACGAGTATATTAAGGTATGTATATTTTCAAAATAAAATTGTCATAAGATTTTATTATAGGTTAAAGCTCTGTTAGATATCTTATTCGTCAGAATGTTAACGTATCATTTTAAATAAAAACCAGATTCCTGATAATGCATGTCAATTGACTTGTCCATCTTTGAATGCCGACAATACCATTCATTATTTTTATAAAAAAGTGTCAAAATGTATTGACTGACTAGCTGACAATGCCTACCATGATCAGATCTTTGTCTGGGCTCTCACACATACTGCGTTTCAACACTTTTAATACATGTATATACTGCCAATGTTTTATTTATTTTTGTTTGATTTATTTTTGTGGCAGGTTGTGGCAAATGTATGTTTAGAAGTTAAATAGAAATACATTGTTTATCTACTTGTTCCTTTAAAAAATAAAGTGTGTCAGTGCTTTTAATGATTTTATTTGAAAGCCATCCTAATAAATAAAACAACGGCATCGTTTAAATCAAAAACCCGTTTCTGTGTTTTATTATTATTATTATTATTATTATTATTATTATTATTATTATTATTATTATTTAAATTAATTACCAAAATAAGAATAAAACATACGCGTCAGACATAGATACTGTAGTCAGAATTGTTTCAAGAAATGAATACACAAGTTTAAATTGCGAAAGTATTGTATTCTGATATTAAGCGAATACTTTGGTATTTTATGATATAACACTAAATTCAATCAAATAGAAAACACTTTATTTTATTGATCGAACGTTTCTGGCTGTAATTACAATTTCCTTACAGCTGTCAAAACCTTTAATCTTTACGTTCATAAAGTAACATATCACAGGTTTTCATTTAACTCCAACCAGTAAAAAGATATATTTTGCCGATTTTAGAAAGGTCAATTGAGAGTCATATTCGACGGCTTTTCAGTTTCACATTTGTGACATAAAATTTAACTCTTTAGGCATTTCGGACACGATAGGGGTTCTACGTCACGAATGAGTACCAATCCATCTCCCTCCTTACTCCCCAGCAATATTTAGACAATATTGTGTTGAAAGACAAGTAAATGAAACGAGCGACTTTAACCATTGTGTCAATGAAATTCATAAATCATAAATAAGATAAAAATCAAAAATAGACTACGCCAACAATCGTTCAAATGACACACATAGAAACAGTTAAATAACGTTTACTGCTGATTAAACAATCGCCTGGTTTATTTAAATATATTTTTCAGACATCTAAAGAAAAAGAATGTTGTTAGTGAAGGCATCGTTTGTATTGTTTATTGTCGCCTACATTGTGATCCCAGTGAGAGCACCCCTACCTAGTGATTGCACCTCACAATGTCCTGTGTTTGATTCAAGCTTATGCACGAATGGCTTTCATATACCGCCAGGCCAGTGCTGCGAACAGTGTAAAGGAGGTTAGTATTAACTCTTTTAAATGTTGATAGTATTTGTTAATTTGCCATAGGTGTAAATTGTGATTCAATCAAACATAACTTGTGCAAAGTAATGTAAGCTGTCGATTTAAAGATTGATAATTCACACAACTCTTAAGTTAACTAATGCATAACTAAGCGCTTTCAAAATATATATTTTAATAACAGAAGTTAAAAGCCGAAAAGGAAAATTCAACACAGCAAAAATAATTTAATGCTTCATTAAAGAGCCGTATATTTGTAAATTGTTAAGTTGCAACAGTCAGTTGCATTAGTTAAGTTGCATTAGGTGAACTAATGCATAACTAAAGGATTTAACGACTTTGTATACTTAACTTAAAAGCCGAAATGGAAATTTCACCAAAGAAATAAAGTTATACTTTATTGGAGTCAATTTGCGACACACCTTTTATGAAGGTTGTTCAAATATGAGTGCATATAGAAAATGTACAATGCAGGAACGCTGATCAAACAAGTTTATACTGTAATGTCAAGTTCGCAGTACATTGATGCATGTAAAATCAAAGCACAGAAGGCGCTGAATTTGTTTGGGTCTCAGAATGTCAGAAAGGTGAAGGTTGTGAGATTATAAAACAATTTGTTTTTGTATAGTGCCACAAATGCTGATTCCAGTGTTATAACTGTAATAAATTGACTATAAAACTAATTGCAACACTGATATTCAATTCAATGTTTCTTTGGCTTAAACAATTTGAAAGAAAAACACCAAAAGAACATGAGTTACCTTAACTGGGATTTGAACTCCAGTCCTCTCGCTCCCTAAGCGAGCGTGTAAACCCGTAGACCACAGGGAAGTTATGAAAAAAACCACATTATTCTAAATTAGGGTTTGTAACCCTAACTAATTTCGATATATTTTGATTACGGTAAACCTGTTGTTTAACACTGATGTAAATAATCATGGAGTTTAATATAAGCATGTATATCTATAAAGAATAACACATTTATTAGAAATATTCGACCAATCGGGAACTATTTTCTTGCTTGAAAATTAATGCGCCTATCATTTGACAATATTTACGCAGTGATCTCCCCTTAATTTTCGGCGTTAGTGTACATATAAAGGGAAGTAACCGCTTCGAAGAGTTTGGACTACTTTCGGTTTTTTGCAAATAAGCACACCAGGATCTGAAATTTCGCTACCATTATTTGTTTGGTCTGACGACCCAAACAAATAAAAACCACATAAGGGTTAGTTTCAACAGAACACTGATGCAACACATGACCGTATGACCACATTGCATTACATATACATGGTAACATGGCCGTATGACCACATTGCATTACATTGGACTGTATGACCAGTATAAAGTAAACGTATAGTTAACAGAAAAAATTGTCTTGAATAAACAATTATGCTGTTATTATAAGATAGATTTTTAACCACCCTTTTGCAACGATTTCGCGCATTTGTTCATAAGAAATTTACAAAATCTGGAAAAGAGGGAATCCCTTAGAAGCAATTAAAACGAAAAAAATACAGGAAATTTGCAGACTTTTCATATTTATTTCATAATCATTCTCCATCAAAATGTAGGTTATTATTTTGTAAACCACGGGTCGGAGATATATAGCATGTATATGGCTTTATCGGATGTTTGTATCTTTGACATAATGCAATTTTTAAATCATTTTTATCAGCTTTTTATTACTTTTTTCTTTACTTTCTTATTTCACATCTTCATAACTGATGCCGATTTTAATATGGTCAAATATTTTTGTCTCCATTTGCATTAAATGTGTTTGCTTATTACAATAAAGTTTATTTATCATTATGCTTTAAATACAACTATGTCTCAGTCAAACGGAACCTTGAATATTTCCCATTTGAACGTGTACAACATTCTTTCCTCTAATAGTTTTAGATCTATTTAACACTGAGTATTATGCACACAGTCTTGATTACATGCAGCTAAGTCATTTCCATGTTCAAACGATGCTTTTAAACATAAAACAATTTTTGTTAAAGTGTGACTATTTTATATCAATAAATATATGAAGCGTAAGACTTAAGTATAGTAATCTAGCTATCCTATATAAATGTTAGCAATTAGCAATATAATTTCCGTTCTTGAAAACGTCTCAAAATGTTAACGTTATAAAGTACATGTTTGTGTTTATAATTGTTCGCCATTTGTACCATACTTGTAATGACATAAGGGTCTCATTGCTTAACGGAATAAAAAATATAAACTTCGACTAATCTACTACATGTACTATATGTCACTTTCAGACAATGCAGACAGTGACGATTCCAACAGTGAGGATACAGACAGTGACAGCAGTTCTAGATGAGAACACAAACATTTGACATTTATAATTATATATCTGATTTGTATTCAATAGTATACAATATGTAGTACGATCAAGAAATGCTAGAAACAAAAAACACAAAACAAAAAAAAAAACAATAACACACGCTTCATTCCGGTATTTTTGACAGGACATTTTTGTATTAAAGGGTATATAGCTTTATTTTATGAAATGTTTTATAGTTCATTAACAGTAAAATAATGTTGTTACTTATTATTATAATGTAATGGCTGATTCTAAGAAGAGTAGTAACATAAAATGTTTCTGTTATTCTGCACATTGATAATGTATGTACACTGAATAAAATGATCCGTAACAAAATTGTTTTCATACAGATTTTTTGGAAGTATATTTGTATTATTTTTTTTAACTAAATTAACATTTTAAGCAGATATATAGCTTTATGATATACACTTTAAGTTAATACATTGTGCGCATGAAAAGATTCAAAATCTGCAGAAGTGTATATTATATTCAAGAAAGAAAAGATATAAAAACAAACATTTTATTCCGTCATATTAGAAATCTATACACGTTAGAATTGACATGTATTAGATATAGATACAAACGCTTGTAAAAGTTCTAGTAATAATAAAGCAAAAAAGCATTATATTTTACTCTGTCATTTCATACGAATACCCTTCTTTTCGATCTATGAACATCTCCATTTCTTGGATAGAAAAATATAGATCGTCACTACAAAAGGTGACGACACATGACAGTGTTGTTTTTTTTCTTTATTCTATTTTCTCGGTGTTTATGCACTTTTCAGTGGGAAGATTTCAATAACTCTGAAATCAGTGCGTCTACCCAACAGGTTGCCGTTGCTGTAACTTATCAAATATCTGTTCCTGAACGTCTGTTATGGTATTATTTTTGTATGTCAGATTGCCGGTGGCATTTGAAGTAGCAAATACCTCTATAACTTTCTTCTTACAAGGAAATAGATTCTTTTATTTTGACCATCATATACAAATATATCTTCCGCTCAGCGTGCACTATATTATTGGAACAAAAATTACAACATGCAACAAATATCTGAGGCAAATTGGTTCTTACCCACAGTATTTGCTACTTACCTCCGCCATTATTCCGCATCGCTTAAAAAAGTATCGCACCGCTATACGTTCGACTCCCTGTATAATTGCTTATTCTAAAGAATAAATGGAGCTTCTGGTCTATACCTTTATGTGCGTGTTTAAACAAAATTTTACAATCCGATAAGTTCCGATTAGATCTTAGAGTGCAATATTGAAATGTCTCATATCGAACGAACAAACGTGACCATATACTAGTTAATATTGTCCGGAAAAAAAATTGTACCGATGTGACAAATTGTTAAGCCATTAGGACCCTACGGCCCTATATGCGTTTTAATTAAACGAAATTAGTCGAAAAGTTAACCATTTAAAATATATGAAAATTGTGTTTATTTGTCGTTGATGGTATAACATACCAGTATAGAGCCAAACATGGCTTCATAATCGCAAAGTCCTTCATATCTGTTTATTTAGGTAATAGATGAGAAAAAGAAAACTGTCGTTTCTGAAGAATAATGTGTCTTTTAACTTTTCCGTACATTAGAATGTATAACAAGAGGGCCATGATGGCCCTGAAGTCGCTCACCTGTATATAGGCCCACAGAGCGAGGCCAGTTTAAACCTCAGGGCTTTTATTTGAACAAAATTGGTAGACACCCATTAGAAGATGTTTCATGCTAAACATCTAAGGTCTAGCTCGTTGAGTTTTAAAAAAAAAGATTTTTAAGTTTTTACTATACACATATAGTTAAAAGCAATGACATCCCTAGGGCGGGGCCAGTTTTGACCCCAGGGCTTTTATTTAAACAAACTTTGAAGACACTTACTAGAAGGTGTTTCATGCTTAATATCTAAACTCTAGCTATTTGTTTTTATTCAAAGAAGATTTTTAAGTTTTTGCTATACACATATAAGGAGAATTAATGTCTCCCCGGGGCAGGGCCAATTTTGACCCTAGGGCTTTTATTTGAACAAACTTTGAAGACACTAACTGGAAGATGATTCATGCTTAATATCTAAACTCTAGCTATTTGGGTTTTTTTCAAAGAAGATTTTTTTAAAAAAGCTTTTGCAATACACATATAAGGAAAATCAATGACCCCCGGGACAGGGCCAATTTTAACCCCAGGGCTCTTATTTGAACAAATTTGGTAGACACCCATTAGAACATCTTTCATGTTAAGTATCTTAGCTCTAGCTCTTTGGGTTCTCTAAAAGAAGTTTTTTTAAGTTTTTACTATATGCATATAGGGAAAATCAATGACCCCCTGGGGCGGGGCCAATTTTGACCCCAGGGCTTTTATTTGAACAAACTTGATAGACACTCATTAGAACATCTTTCATGCTAAGTATCTTAGCTCTAGCTCTTTGGGTTCTTTAAAAGAAGATTTTATAAGTTTTTACTATATGCATAAAGGGGAAAATCAATGACCCCCTGGGGCGGGGCCAATTTTGACCTCAGGGCTTTTATTTGAACAAACTTGGTAGACACCCATTAGAAGATGTTTCATGCTAAATATCTTAGCTCTAGCTCTTTGGGTTCTTTAAAAGAAGATTTTTTAAGTTTTTACTATATGCATAAAGGGGAAAATCAATGACCCCCTGGGGCGGGGCCAATTTTGACCCCAGGGCTTTTATTTGAACAAACTTGATAGACACTCACTAGAAGATGTTTCATGCCAAATATCTAAGCTCTACCTCTTTGGATTTTTTAAAAGAAGATATTTTAAGTTTTTTCTATCGGTTGCCATGGCAACCAGAGTTCTGCATGGAATTAAATTCTTTGAACAATTTTTAAAGGTGACCACTTTGTGACAGGTGAGCTAAAATGCACGGGTCAATTTCAGATGTACGTCAATATAATTAAATATCATTTGAATTACTACTGTACGTAATAGGTTGCCTTTACAGGTTGAGGCATCAGAATTGCAGCCACCCATTAATTTGTTTTAAGTTTGTAACACCTTAGGTTAGCTAAAATCATCTCTCCTGTTTCGGCGCCATATGACCTTAAATGTGTAGTAGCGCCGTAAAACCAAACAAAACAAACAAACAACGCAAAACAATGATATCTAGATCCATTTCTATCATTGCTAACATGCCAAATGAAAGAAAATTGAAATACGTTGATCGGAAACGGATTTTTGTTTATGACGTCATATTTGCAATCTGAACATCTGGGCTATTATTCATGATAACCTTGTACTTAATGCGTATTGAAAGTATTTCAGATTTAAACAAAAACAAGGGATGTTATCTTTGATAATGTATAACGAATGTATAAACAATGTATTTGAAATCCAAAGGAAAATAAGGTCTTTTTCCGTAAAATTATTTTTTGAAATATGTCTAACAATCATAATCAATTTTAAAAGAATGGTCAGGCCTGCGAACTTCAAACTTTGTATATCATAATCCTCAAACTTCGTAGGTGCATTTGACTTGGCAAATAGATGACCCCTATTGATGTTGGGGTCAAAGGTCAAGGTCACATTTACCTTTCAGGTAAAACCGGTTTCCGATCAATAACTTGACAACCCATGGGCTGTTGGCCTTCGAATTGCATTATTGTTATGGTCTTTGCCAGTAAATGATCTCTATTGATTTTGTGGTCAAGTGGTCGAAGGTCAATGTCATATTGACCTTGTTGGTAAAAACGGTCTCCGATCAATAACCTGACAACCCATGAGCTGTTGGCCCTCAGACTGCAAAGGTGCATTGGTCTTGGCCAGTAGATTTTGAGGTCAACGTGTCAAAGGTCAAGGTCAAATTGACATTGAAGGTAAAAACGGTTTCTGTTCAATAACTTGACAACCCATGGGCCCTTGGCCCTCAGACTGCATATGTGCATTAGTCTTGGCCAGTAGATGGCATCTATTTATTTTTGGGTCAAGGGGTTAAAGGTTAAATATCGACCATGTATGTCAAAACAGTTTTCTATCAATAACTTGACAACCCATTGACCCTTGACCTTCAAACTTCACAAATGCATTGCTTTGGTCAGAAGGTGACCTCAATTGACTTTTGATAAATTTCTCAACAACTTAGGGGCCCTTTACCTTCAATCTTCACATGTGCATTGGTCTTGGCCAGTAGATAACTCCTATTGATTTAAGAGTCAAAGGTCAAAGTCGCACTGGCCTTGTACGGGAAAAACGCTTTCCGACCGATAACTCTACAACTCAACCTTGGTTGATATCTTTTATTAAACAAAATGCTTTTTGGTATACACATTTCCAGGTCTAATGTAACATACTTAGTAACAAATTGGCTGTCATTTATGAGGCCTACATAATTCATATAAAAAAAATTAAAAAAAAATTTGGTAAGATTTTTGATAACTTTGTCATAAAATTGCTGCAAACAACCTCTACCGAGTGACTATACATGACCAGTAGATAACCCCTATTGAATTTTTGGTAACTAACTCTAAAGTCAGTCACAATAATCTGACGACATGACTAATTAGCTGCCGATAGGGGGGTTTACATGTTTTACAAACATATCTTGTTGGTTTACAGCCGGAACATTTAACATAATATGTAAACTTCTTATTTCCTTATTCCGTGCATTATCATGAAAAATAAACCTCACATGACTTTGCCTGTTTCAGTTGTATACAATGCATCATAAAACAAGTTGTACTACCACCCTAATACCCACCTGTTATACCGTGTTATGCAATGTCGTGTGTGCTGCCCTTTGCTTTGTTGCGATGTGTTGTGTTGCGCTGTGTTATGTAAAGCTGAACTTCAATGTGTAGTGTTGTACTATATTGTGTTGTGCTGCTCTGTGTTTTCTTGAGACGTGTTGTGATGCGATGTATTGTGTTGTGCTGTACTACGTTGTGCTGCGTTGTGTTGTATTACGTTGTGTTGCTCTGTTTTTGGCTGTGTTGTGCTCGTTTGTTTTCCTTGTATTTTGTTGTGTTGTGCTACGTTGTGTTGCCCTTTGATTTGTTACCTTGTTTTACTTTGTATTTTGTTGCAATGTGGTATGTTGTACTGTGTTATCTTGTGTAACCATGTGTTTTGTTGTGTTGTGCTGTGATGTGTTATGTGCCATTGTGCATTTTGCATGTACATATGTTACATTATCCGTAGGCGTTTATTGATTAATATATACTGCGCAAAAAAAACTAATTATAAGTTCATGGTTTAATAGGAAATATCGCCTACATGATTATAAAGTAGATGGCGCTTTAATACAATTTGCACACGTCACTATATTTTGCATTTGCGTTTTTGTGGCTGACTTGTAAACTGTGATCATTTTATTTCTTACTCTTTGCAGGAGTGAGATATCAAACCTAAGGCTATATACGAGTACATTAAGGTATGTATATTTTTTAAATAAATTAATGCTTCCGTCAGAAGATTTTATTACAGATTAGAGCTTTGTTAGATATTTTCTTCGTCAGATTGTCAAAGAATCATTCTAAATAAAATCAGATTCCTGACCATTCTTGTTAATAGACTTGTCCATCTTTCAATCATGACAATACCATTCATTATTTGTATGGAAAATGTCAAATAGCTGACAATGCATACCATGATCAGATCTTGATTTG